AGTGTTTAGAGTTGGCTGAAATAGTCAAATGGAACTATTTATTCCTTAAAAAACTTCAACTCAATTAATTTAAATATATATACCTATATACTTATATATTTTATAATACGATAAATGCCATTATTTCAAATTTTCATAAATTACTGCAAATTATTTCAGAAAATTTTCTTTATAGCATATCATTGAACAATTTTCAAAAAACCATAAAGCCAACTAGAATGAAATATTAGTACACACTGAATTACTTCAAATAAACATTTTTGTAAAGTTTACCAAATCGAAAAAAAAATGTATATATGTATACCAGCGAGCCTTCGGAAGTTTTTCAAATCAGCGAATACTCCAAATTAGTGTTGCTCAAAATCGGTCTTGGTCCTGGACTTTGCAAGACCACGACCAACACCACCTAACTGTTCCAAGACCAAGACCAAGACTTGTAAAAAAAAATCGATTTTTTGAAAAAAAATTATGCAATAGTTACTAACACTTGTCAATTTTAGTTACTAAATGTAATGAATTAGTATAAGCAATATACTTTTGCATTTAACTCTTCTAATTTTTCATTCAGGCTTAGTTAGGTTTCTCCTATCTAAAAAATTATAGTGATATCTCTATAGTAATAAGCTAACAGATAACTGCAAGACTGAGTGCGCAAGACCAAGACCAATACCCAAAGACTGAATGCGCAAGACCAATACTTGTCTTGGTCTCGCATTTGGCCAACACTACTATAATTAAATACTAGAAGATTTACCCATGAAATATTTGTTGTAAAAATCATATACTTCGCAATCTGCCGGTAATTTAAAATACAGGGCCCACAACAATAATGTAATAAACAAATAAATAACTATATTTAAATATTTATTCAAAACACCTTCATTCCAAACAAAAGTAATAGTAAATAATTATATTTACAAATATTAATTGCAAATGAAAATTCTTAATGGCTAACTCAAAGAATCGTTTGTATAGCTGAAAAACAACAAACAAATTTGACATTGGAAACCTCTTTTTCAGACTAGTCTATATTATTGTTTAAGAAATGGTTGCTGAAATTAGATACGGTTATTGAAACTATCATTAACAAAATATGAGATATAAGACTTAGGATACTGTATTTTGTAAAACGTATCTAATTAAACGGATCTAATTATTATTTCATTTATTTAAGATAAATTAATATTTCTCTCTCACTCGGTTCATATCAAGATTATTCAATGGCAAGCGCGTGAATAGTACACGGAATAGTTGATTGGCTTTAGATTGTAGGATTTGACATGTATTTTTGAAAATCGAACCATTCAAGTACCTATGCCAAAAAGCTCAACTTTCCCTTGATTTTTTTTAACTCAAAAACTGGCTCCCATAACAAATGCCAAGTTTTCTCCTTTGTAAATTTTAGTCTGATTCCGTGTGAAGGTGCTTGAAAATATTTTAGAGAATATTGAAAAGTAATAGGTTTTTTTTAATACTAAAAAAAAATAATACATCTTTTTTTATGATTTTTTTTTTCAAATTTTTGAACTTATTATAATGGCCTAGAAATGACTCATGGGACCAAAAAAAAGATTGTCTAAAATAGACAACCACACTGCGACAACTAAAATAGAACCACACTATTCCAAAAATTTTACAGGTTGAAAGTGAAGAAGATTGAAGATTGATTGGAACCATTTTATTCAAAATGTTCCGTTGAACAGCCATTGCATTACTAGTTCATTCGAAATTTCACTCGAAATTAAAAAACTATATTCAGATAAGATTAAATTTTTAGGTTTATTAAATCACATTAATTAGTGTACTCAACGTTTCATGGTCCATAACACATTTTCAATATTTACATTAGGGGATCCTAAAAACCTCATATTGTAACTATTTTTGAAGATAATATTTTATGAATAATAAATATTTTTAAAGAATAATTTGATAGATAGAAGAGACCAATATTGTAAATACGTTATCTTACTAAAAATGTTATATTAACTCTTTAAAAAGGGGTATTCAACATGAAATGTTTAAATAACCAATGTTATTTAATAGAAAATCCTAACTTTTAATTGACAATAAATTACTGATCTATAAAACAATCCTAAAAGCTATTTGAACCTAAGGACTGGAACTGTGGGGACAGCAAAATCCTAGCATCAAACACATCCAATCCTTTCAATCCTAAGTTCATCGAACAAGAGCGCCGTTCTATGTAACCAACAAAACCCTACATCATGACCTTAATATCCCATTTGTCCTAGACATTGTCCCAGAAATTTTTTTTCCAAATTTCATCATAACCTTGCATATCATTCCCCTTGCACTATCCTTATTTAGCTCTCCTCCCATCCTTACAATCTTTCTCTAAACTTGAAGCGGCAGAGACCCTGAGAACAACTTTTGTAAATAAGCATACAACGGAGTTCTGGCAATGGCCAAATTCTCCACTCAAGCCATGTAAGACTGTGGTTATAGCGCCTCTGTTAAGCCTCCACTGGTCCTTAATACCAGTAATGCGGCTGAGTGAGAAGCGCTGGGATCTCCGAGAGTCCTGCCTTTCCTTCCACGAGTGGGGAGAAAGGCTTGACTCGGACTTCTCCTGAGTGAATAAATTTTGTAAATATTGTACAAAAGTTATTTTGGTTAGATTTTTTTTTTTTTTTTTTTTGTTTATATACATTTAGTTTCAGTAATATTATTTTTCCGTTTAATTTATTTTTATTTATTGTACAAAGAGTGTGACTGTGTTATCTGAACGCTACTGTAAATGTTCTTAATTGAGACAGATCATAATATTTTTCAATAAATAGAAAGTTCTAATAGATCAAACAGAAAAAAAAAACATTATTTAATACATAAAACTCGTAAAGAAAGATCTGCCCTTCACTATTACCTACTTGATAAAAATCGATGACTTTCAGTAATATAAAAAAGGTATATGTTTTCTAGTGTTAAAAAGAGAACATAAGAAAAATACAGTTTTTTATATCTCGGAAAGTTAAAAAAAATGAAAACCTCAAACGGCTGCTACACAGACATGTTTAATAATTATAAATATTCAATAAGCAATAATGTTTATTGTATAATAATTATTAAGTGAAATTATGTATTATTTCAAGTATATATATACAATGATATAATAATTAATGTATACATATTTAAAAGGCCTGAAAAAAACTAAAAGTCACTAATTAACGAGGCGAATGCCCCGCGGAGGCCAGGAGTTCAAACTAAATGATTCTGTTTCAAAAAGAATTATTCATTAATGTCAAGTGAAAATTCAGGAACCGACTCTACACGTCTATGCAATAACCGGGATGTTTGGCCAACTTCCTAAGGCAACTATTATAGTATAAACCTTTTTAATTAATTAAATATGTCGTATAGAGATAAATGTTTAGAATCATACGTAAAAATAAAGTTCAAAATTTATTTTTTTTAAATATGTCTTGCTATCACTCGCGGATTAATGGAGACCGAAGTCGCCACCCCTCCAAAATAAATATAGTAATTTTTTTTCAACACTAAATATTTGTTTTAGTGACCTGAGCTATACATAAACTATCACTATATGTACTATTTTTAAATTATAATCCACATACAGCTAATAAATGTAAGCACGTGTCAAGATTCCAATTCCTGCATCCACTACTGACCACAGTATAAGTAATAACAAAGTTATTAAACACAATTTCCCAGACGGAGTATTAATGCAAAATAAAAAAAATTAATTGTTACGAGGAAACGAATAAAACCGACAATTTTACATATTTATACGAGACAGGTATCCGATCCATGTTTCAACATTTATATTTTTAAAATTAATATCATGATATAATCGAATTCGTCAATTATTATCGATATAAATTTTTAAGCTGTTTAAACATATTATGGTGTTTTTATAGTTGAAAAGCTAAATCATATATTTTACTTTACCCTATTATAAAAATTTATTGTTTGTTTAATGATTAACTACGTTTGATAATGTAAAAAGTCAAACTATGAAAAGATTTTCTTTTTCCCATACAATCTTGGAAGGGCTTCAGCCCGAAAGATTTTTTTTCATATATATAACGATAATTAATTTGAAGAAAAAAAAAGAAAGAATTGAACTACCTATATGAAATGGTGTTTAAGTGATTCTTGAAGTCTTATTAAATGTAATTACACGAACAATAATACTTTAAGAGATCGTTTTTAATATTTTTTTTCTATAAAACATGGTTATATTTTACCATTTTGAGGGGGCTTCAGCCCGAAAGCCCTTTCCCCTCCCCCGTAAATCCGCCTGTGAATCTTGGTGTTCAATAAATAATTTTTAAAAAAGAAAAAACAAATTTAAAAAATCAAACAGCGGACTTGTTTGTAAAAACTGTGTTATTTAATTTTTTTTATTTTTAAATAAACGCACAGAAGATTGTATTAATACATAATCAAAACATTCCACATTCTAACAATGCTAATATGTTTGTAGTTTTATAGTTAACTTTATAATATTTAGCCGTTTATATTTATCATAAAATACATTAATTTTCAATATTAAATATATTATTTTATTTTGATAAAATTTGATTATTTTTTTTTAAGTTTAATTCGTGGGTAAATTAAACAAATATATGTTGGATATATTATTTAACTATATAATATATAGCTTTCTATTATTATTACTACTCCTACGGTAAATTAATGTAATATTGAAAATACTAAAGAGAAACAGAAACTTAATTGTGATTTTGAAGAATCTTTTTCTTTGTTAGTATAATGGTTGTTTATTAGCGACTGCTTCTTGTTAATTGATTTGGTCAACACCACACTCCAAACTCATATTGATCATTAGAAGTTCAGGGTCATTTTTTCCATCGCCATGGATTCGCAGAAACTCTTTATCTCTGACCAATCAAAACACAACGCTCTGACCATATAGATAATGATAAGTGATAAAAAAAATAAAAATGTACTCACTATTCTTTGATCCCTCCTTCACTGAGTAGGTTAGGTCGGAGAAGGCGATGTCCACCGGCGGCCTTTTCGGAAGGTGGGTGAGCACCTTGGGCTGGCATGGTGTGATGGTCACCTTGACGGAACCCCTGTTGGACAGAAGACCATCATCAGTCTTTTCCACCTTCATCCTGGCTACTGACTGGAGGTACCTGCGGCCGTGGCGGGGGGTATGGTACCCCTACCATCCGGTTTCAGGTGCTGCCATCCAGCGGCCTAGCGGGGAGCAACAGGTCGCCTCCGGTGTCAGTAGCAAGGCCCAAATTTAAATTAAAACCACACAACAGCAAAATCTTTGGTACAATAAAAGACTGTTTTCCGAAATATTATAAATTATAAGACAACCATAAAAAAAAAAGAACTACGGTGTGTGCTTGTGAAAACATCAACAAGGCAGACTTAATAATATGAAATATATATATTTGTTCAACCTTCAAAAAGTAATAACGAAAAATTCGCAGATAATTTTGTTTAGTAAGAAATATTAAAACAATATGGAAATGAGTAGTTCCTGTGTATTATGTGAGGAAGGAATTAATATTTTTTCCTTAGTCGATTACAATATTCCATTAAACATAAAAGACCAAAATATTTATACAAATTGCTATGCTAGGACCTATTTTTAAAAGCTGACTGGAAAGATAATAAAAGTAATAAAGACAAAACCATGCCCCGATCATAAGATGATCTAAATTATTTTTAAAAAAATGTAAGAACAACCGAATGTCTTTAAGAAATAATAAAGTTAATATAAAAGCCAGGAAAAAAAGTGTAGTAGACTATTCTACTCCTTAATGCAATATCTTTAAACAGGAAGACATTATTGAGTATACCAAAACAAATGGACTGTATCATTATTAATAATTGTCCGAATTTTACGATTTTTTTTTTGTTTTTGTAGGTAATTTAGTAATCTTTCTAATTATCATGGGTACAATGCAAGAGAAAAATGCATACTTTTTGAGTTATTCGCAAATAAAGTTCTTCCATAACTTTTTTTCTAGAAATTGCGGGGGAATAGGACTATTTTACGTCTGAGAAGGAGCAGAACATCTTCGAAATGAATGGTCAATCATTGCCTTTGATGAAGAATAGAAGAAGTTATGGCGTACCGACAAAAAAACACCTTTTAGAAATAATATATAGGATTACAATTGTGTTAAAGTACTCTAGTAAACTTTCCTCGGACTTGTTATACTAAGCCTATCACACTCTAAAAATTAAACAATAGATTTATGATAACGAAATTATGTGATGATCATATATTTTCAATATTTTAGTATGATTCGTCATATTTAATATTACAATATTTAGTATGGAAATCGTTAATATTTGGGTATTGACACTATATTTTTCCTTTGTTTGCCTCTCTAATACTGCGTCACGTCAATATACAATTTTGAATAATAGCTCATTATAAAGAAAATGAGATGGTGAACATTTCCCTCGCTTACAGTATGCATGTCCGATTTTTAGTTTCTGAGATATTTTAATCCATATGCAAAAACACTTCAATTAGTTGATCCCAGCCGAGTTTACCCGAGCGTTACACATCTGAAATCTGACGACTCAATTTAATTCATCCTCCACGCAAAAAGCGCCTAAAGAAGCTTTCATTTAAAAAAAAATTTTCCTTTCTCTAAAAATCTCTTAAAAACCAATGCATGCAATAATGTTAAGGATTGCTTTGTCTATAATCAACTTCTGTTTAGCCGCGTTTACACATTATCAAAGCCATGGCGACGAGCGTTTAAAATTCTAGTTTTGCTTGGCTCGTGTTTTGTCCCTGTGCAACATAAAACACAATGTTGCTTGTTCTTTTAGAACAAGAAGTTTTAGAAACAAAAACAAATCTTTAAAATATCTCATAGCTATGTTTTTAGAACTGAGCGGATAATTCGCGAATACTTAGGTTTTCAGGCGCACTTGAATTAAATAGATACGAGTTGACACATCGTCAAAGTCAATCCTATTAAAGAATTAAAAATGGAAGATTAAAGCTACAATCCAAATCAGCAAACCGAATTTGTAATGTACATAAAGTTTAACTATGCTATTATAAATAAAATTAATGTTCTGCGCTGGTTTCCTGCTCTCCGTTATGGAGAAACTTATCAATCAAACTACTTACATCAAGCCCGCCTGCGTCCGTTATAGACAGGTCTGGGATGATCGTATAATCAATTTATATGTAAAGAATTGTTATAACCAATATACTTTTACTTGTTTATTTGGGCTTAATAGGTTTCTCAAATCTAAAAAATTACAGTAATATCTCTATAGAAATATGCTAATAAATAGGTAACTACAAGACTGTCGCGAGACTCTTGCGTAAGACCAAGACTCGTCTTGGCCGCGCATTTTCCAACACTAGTTATAGTGGATTAATAGGACCCAAAACATCACTGCTGTATCGTTAAACAGATAGAGGATTGATAACATCTGTCCAATTAATCTCAACGCTAAGGGTGAAAAAAATTGAACACTGTCGTTTACATTTTTTTCCTAGATCATGTAGCTCTGTTAGATAAAATGTCCACATTTGACTATAATCATAAAAGATTCGAGACGTTATACAATTTTGAAAAAGAGCACCAGACTGAGAAGCAATTAGCCTCCACAATAACATGTGAAACTTATGATAATATTTTTTTTTTTTTTTCTAAATTAACTTCTGGTGCTGATGATCTGGTACTGTTAAGCGAAGACGTTGAAACTATAAAACTAAATACGACAACGTTAATGAAAGCCGGTAAAGAACTAGGACTTCGAAATAAACGTGGATAAAACAAAATACATGGTTAGCTGCAAAAATGGCAATACTACTGGTGATATCGATATAGATGGTAATATGTTTGAACAGGTAGATAAATTTAGGTATCTAGGTTCTACGATAACTAGAAAAAACGAAATTGAAGAAGAGATTAAGGTTAGACTGAAGGCGGGGAATGCTTGTTATTTTTCTGTGACAGAACTACTTAGTTCGCGCCTCTTGTCCCGTAACTTAAAAATTAGAATCTATAAAACAATTATCTTGCCTACAGTTCTTTATGGATGCGAAACTTGGCCGCTTACATTAAGGGATGAGCAGCGTCTTAAGGTTTTTGAAAATAAAGTATTGCGTAGAATATTCGGACCGAAGAAGGATGAGTTAACCGGAGAGTTCAGACGGTTACACAACGCCGAATTGCGTGAGCTGTATCCGGGTAATATAATTGAGGTAATTTCATCGCGGCAAATCAAATGGGCTTGTAAAGTTGTTGGGCTTAGTAACGAGAGAATTCCTAAAAGGTTAATATTTGCTGTGCCGAATGGTAAGCGTCCGAGGGGTAGACCGAAGCGAAGGTGGGAAGATTGCATTAAAGCCGATCTGAAGGGACTGGGTTTGGACGGCGAACGGTGGAGGGAGGTGTGTAACAAGCGATTGGTGGTGTCGGCATCGAATCTTCTGGTTCGCTAAGCCTTATTATTATTATTATAAATTAACTTCTGGATAAATACATTATTTCCGAATTCCTTTCGATATCTTCTCAAGAAACCTTGGCAAGAAGCTTGGTGAACGATCCATGCAGTTGCCTATTCACGGGGGCCCCAATAATTAAAATATATTAAAAACTACTTTAATGTAATACTTCCACTCAGTGAGACTAAAATTCCGAATCAAGAAAATGACATAATGTATCTGGAAATATCAAATCAGAACGAACGATACTGACAGGCCTTAGGACAATAGAAGTTCCAAGATACAAGGCTGACAAAGATGACGAACGGAGTGGATAGATAAGACCGTTCGATAATACCACCACAGAAATTTATGTGGTTCAAAGTGAGGATGATAACGTAGTTACTGGTAACTAACTGCCAGAGGCGGACTTAGACATTATGCGCCAATGAGCAATGACGTCATCTCTCCTCTCCCCCCCCCATAAAAAAAATTAATTTATTTCTTACGATGATTTATATATATTTGAATTTATTCTATTCAACATTTCTCTTTAATAAATTAAGTTGCTTTAATTATAGGCTAACATTGAACATTTTAATACGTTTTGTATCTTTTTTTTTAATTTCTAACTAGTGGCAAGCACTCTTAAAGATCGGTGAATGCCCTGGTTGCTCCACCCTAAGGTTGGTACTGCCAACAGCAATCTACCTTGATGTGAAGGGGAATTATAAAAATATTTCAATTGAAGCAACAATAAATAATTCCAAACACATTTAACTCTGATATTGTCTTACTCTAAATTAGTATTGGAAAAAAAAAACACAGAGAAAACTAAACAATCGCGATCAGATGTCACCGAAGATGAGCTGCAGTTCAAGCAATAAAAAGTCAACCAGTTTCATAATTTATTTTTCTCATCCTTCACATGTAATATCTGATAAATGGATTTAAAGGACACGGGGTAGAAAAAATAAAAAAACATTCGAAAAGATACGTGCTTGCTAACACCAGATAGAAGTTCTTAAATTAAAATGAGAGGAAATAAATCGAATTAGGATATCCAGTATAGTAACGAGTTAAAAATGAGAGAATTTTTATTCTTTGTTAACTACGTCAAATACAAATAACGTAAAAAAATGGATTTTTTTATGTGATATATTACTAGTAATAATTCTGAATTATTCATATGAATTATTGCATCGGTACACCGCATTATTTTTTTAAAATACATTTCGAATTCGTTTTATAATTTTATGGTCAGTTCACAAGTAAAAAATCTAGGAACAGAATTATTTTAAGTTCTAAAAGAGCTGGAATTATACAAGAAACGTTTAATAATTGCTTACTAAGAATATTTCTAAAATATATCCAATAAATTTTCATGTATAATTGAACAGTTTTTTTTTTTTAAATGGACGTCTGAGATTTTATTTCAAATCTTTTTCGTTTAAATTTATCATAATCACTGATCAACACAGTGATGAGGGGAAAATTATCGGTTCTATTAAAAAAGAAAAAATATATGCCTGGTATAATTATGACTATTTATAAATCTATCTTATTATATTTTATAATTTTGCAAAGATTACTTTTTTGGAGTCTCCAGAACATTTCATTTATTGACAACTTTATTGTTAAAAGTTAAATTACTGTTAAAATAGTTTAAATACGGAAGCTTTATTCATACTTTTTAAGTTATACTGGTCTAACCAATTAGAGATAATTCTAATTATTATACTCTTAAGTTTAAGAAACATGCTAGAAATAGTAGTACAAGTAATTATTATTATTTTATTTATTTTTATTTGTTGCTTGATTTCGGACATTTATCTTTAAAATAAGAACCAATACTAATTTTAAGTAATTATTTCATGAGCACAATATTTCACGGAACTATTTTAACCTGACATAACTGAGAGGGCCTGTGCTGCCATCTTGATATTCCAATAGGAAAGTTTTTACTCAAGAAATCCGGTTTTCTTTTCGTCATCACTTTCTTCACAAGTTCTGTACTTCCTACCAATTGATACATAACTTTGTCGGAATCATTTAGAGTGCGTTTGCAATCATGAGATTCAGTCAATAAAATAAAAATATTGAGTTAATTTAAACAATTTTTAAAATCTGATGTTTTGTAATGAATCATTATATTGAGAAGTTCCAAAGAATATTTTAAAGAATCGTATTTTAACTAGGTTATTGTAATAAGTTGAAAAAATGAGTTATAATTAAGTACTTTTGGTAGTTTTTAAAAGTTATTTAATACTTAGATCTCTTTACTTATACGTACATTCATATATATATATATATATATATATATATATATATATATATATATATATATATATATATTGTTGATTTTTGGACTTCTTGAAAACAAAAATCGACTAAGAACTCAGGGATACTGGCACCTCTCTCCATATTTTAAAAATCTGTGGGAAATCGGTAATAAGGGCTATCTTGTTTTGTTCAACTGGATTTAGCAATATGACAATCTATAATTATAATAATAAAGACATCCACAAGTTCACTTCCACTACAATCAAATTGAGATTTAAAATTTAATTGTCATGTTTTTTAAATCAAGAAGGAAGTTCATATTTTTTGTTTAATGATATAAATTCCAAGAACGTTAATTTTTTTTTTAATTAAAAAAACAAACAAAAACCGAAATTTTTAATATATTCCAGCAAAATATAACATTACTAAAATACATTAAAATTAATTACATTAATTTAAATACCTATTTTAGGTTAAATGAAATATATTCTTTGGATTTTGTTACTTTGTTTTTAAATAAATATAATTAATTAATTCTTTCCTTCCTATCCTCTATTATTCACCCACTCCAGCCCCACTATCTAGCTCAATGGAATCCCCACTGCAGGATACTGCTATTAAATGATCACAGAAAAAATGATCACAGAAGAAATATATTATTAACTGAATTGTATAAAATAAAGATTCTAAAAAAAAAAAATAGAAACTACTACTGAGTAAATGGAGATAAATGATTAACATTAGCACTATAGTTTAATTACTACAGCAAGTTTTAATTTTGAATTTCATAATTAAAATTTGAATGTAGTCTTCCTTCATATGATATCTATTTTTATGATAAAAGGGAGGAACAAATAATAAAAAGGATGACAGTTCACACTTTAATTATATATTAAAATTTATATTTACTCTTTTCCAACAATGAAAATACCCATAATAAATAGTAAGTATTTAATTTTAGATATTTCATAATAGACAAAAAATTAATATTGAAGATAAAATTATATAATTTCTTATTTACATTCTTATACCACTCTTTCTCAGAACGTAACTACAAAATGAAAGAGGAATTAAGTCAGTCATTTTAATATGAAATGTTAAATGTCAAATAACAGTATTTAATTTTAAAAATATTTTACCATAACAAATAATAAGTGATCTGCACTTGTATGAATTAGAGTAAGATGAGTTAAAAAAACGATTCAAATTAAGGAATTTATGAGAAGTGTGAACTCACAATACTCAGACAAATAAGTTACATTCAATAATTCTAAACTAGTATCTAGACAAAAAATTAAAAATCTAAACTCACTTGTTGTTATTGACGATCAGATTCTTTTCCATACTCTGATCTTATAGGGCCAGAAATTTATCAAGATTCATAAATAAATGCGAAGATCTTTCAACTAAACCAACTCTTAGGTTGATCACACCTAAAATGAAATCGATACAATATCAAAAATCTTATCAATTGAACTTTGTACACATTTGACACGAATCCCGGAATAGAAGACTAATGTCAACTTTCTAACAGTTACTCAATCTAGTGCCTGTCTTCACAACCAACCAGATTCTTATCAAGCTCTTACCGAATCAGATGTTTAGTTAGAGAAAACGGCGGGTTGATAAAAGGCGCTTGTTCCTCTTAAGCTATCGATGTTTAAGTTACAAAGAGGTACAAAAGAAAACAAAGAAACATTATTCGAAAAACTAACAATTTAATTTTTTTTTTTTCTTAATGGTATGGTGTTGAGAACAGAATGGTAGTTCGAGGCTTGAACATGAACTCTTGTACTGCACAGAGTGCATTTTAAGAGGAGGATGAGGAATTAGGAATACTGTGGTTATTCCTAGTTACGGTGCGTCTTAGTCTAGTGAGGGGTCTCACTAATAATTTAATAATACCAATTAATTTTATATTTCTTAAATTATTGGGAATGTATCTACCAGCTACGAATAATAAGAAAATCAATGGCACTTGCTCTAACCCCAAACAATTTTTATTTCTCTCCTCTTCATAAAATTAACAATTACACTTACCATTGTTTGTTCCATGTTTTTTTCTTTTGTTTAATCTTGTCACTCCTTCCTCCAATGAAATTCAAAGTTACATAAAAGATAATCTATTTCGAAATAAATATGGATTCCTCACAACATTAACTCATTTCATAACTGATTTAAGGTCAGAACTTCCAAAAAGCCGGAACAAACATTTTTACTCAAGATAAAACAAGATTTCGCTCGTAATTATCTGTCCCCTAAATTCAGCAGGGCAAGTATTCCCTTTGCCACTCCTTCTAGTTCTAGCCTTGTCTTTATATTGAAGTTAATATTACTATTTATAATTAAAGTGTGTTTGTGTGAAAAAAAATATTTCAGGTTGAAGCCCCACCAAAACTAAATCCTGGATCCACCTAGTGCTTATCACATATACATAATATGGGATATAACTTATATACATGAGGAAGATGGCAATTTAATGTCCTTTCAAATTAATTGTAATGAATTTCTTCTAGAGAAGCATAGATTATAAAGTTTGGTGAAAAAACGATATCTTGCGAAATAAGCAAATAGTCAACTTGATCTAACTTCTCACTCACTAATACTACATTAATAAAAAGCTATAGTTGAAATTTTCAATAAATTGTATGTTCTTTAGCTTTGTGAACATTATATTTCGTTAATTATATAATCACAGTCGTGGCAAAAAAAAAATACGAAAATTTTCATTTTTTTCATAAATCTGATAGATTGATTAGATAGATGGGAACACAGTGGAAAAAGTCGTTTGTATTCTTTTAATTCAAATTCAGCGTTTCAAAAAAATATAAGAAACTGAGGAAAAACCTACTATTCGAATTTTATCCACATCCCATTATCATTTAACTGGACTAATTAGATGATAATGTGATAGAATATATGTGATGATAATCACAGATAGATTAGCATCATATTACTTACATAATAATACTTCTAGTGACTGGTCAATATACCATGCAAATTATTTTTAAGTGTTAAATAGTTATCTAAGAGGGTAACATCACAATGAAGTACACTTAAATATTTCATATTAACATTTTATACCCATCCATAACTTAAGCAATTGGTATCTATCAGAGTTTTGCCACCTGCTCTCCTTCATCATCACATGGATTTGATAACAGACTTGGACCAAATTTGTTTCTTGATATCTAAAACGTAGAAAATGAGTGGAGAAATTCAATTCTGAGATCGTCTTTGGCCTTACGCAGGAATACAACAAAGCATCTTCAACTTCAATAGTGAGGAAGAAATAAAAGTTCAAATAGCAAATAAAAAGGATAACAAAAACAAAAAAAAATAATTGATTTTTTTTATTTATTTCTTGTCAATTTAAACTTAATGAAATTTTTTTAAATCCAGGATAGAAAAATAAGCAGATGATCTACTTCAGCTTCTTCTTGGGGCGAATATTGTTGGTATGACCACATTTCTTCTTGCGGCAGTTAGTTGCTCTTGGGTGAAGTCTAGCATAACACTTGCGGCAAATCATTTTATCACAATTGTATTTCTGTGCGAGGATTTTCAGAGTTGGTTCAATGACGCCACCCCTGAGACGAAGAACCAAATGAAGAGTAGATTCTGTGGAGGATAAAACGCAACAGGTTAGATATTAAATTACCAATGAAATAGTTTTAATAATGGCTCATAAGCCATTAGTAATTAATAATTACAAATGAAAATTCATGGCTTAAATAAAGTAGTACTTCAGAAAGACCAATCTAAATAATCATCAATAATTAATCAGAATAGTTTTCATCATAAGCAGTCAAAATAATTTCACAATGGGATTATTAAAGCTTAAAGCCAGTGAAATATGAGGGGGAGGGGAAACAATCATAATTTATTATCAGTTAAAAACATAATTTATTTTTATATACTTCCAATGACTGCAATCCCTAATTTCTTTTATCATTAGTTAAGAGGGATACGAATGAAGATCAAAATACAGATAATAAATACTCCTATGGAGAGGTTCTACAATCTACATCTACTCATTGATACGTGTCCACCAACATAGCATAAAAAATTCAATGATATCTAAAGACTTTATATGTAAAATTCAAGGTGTTGTTTGTCAATTCAATTGTCTAATTTAAAAAATAATAATAATACAAAAGACAATAAAATAAATCAATCCGTATTCTTTTCTTCTTTTTTTTTAATTCTACAAATTGCGGAGAAATATTGGGTTAATTTAATATTTTTTAGTTTATTTGTAAGTAGGGTAGCCATATGAATACTTCTTAATACAATTTCTTTTTTAACAAAAAAAAAAATTATTACCTGCTAAATGCTAATAAAAAATCTGACAAATAAAAAAATTCTTAATGGTCAAAGATTACTATGAAAGGATGAAAAGTGGTCAGGATCTGCATTCAAAGATTTGTTTATTGAGTTTTAAAACATTAAAACCCAAACATGTGAGTCATTACCAGGGCTAAATATTAAATTTTTAGTTTAAAATAAAATATGATAAATTTAATGTAAAATTATAAAACTGCACATCCTGACCAATTTTATTTCTTACAATTTCAACAGTGAACTATATTCCCATCTCCAAAATATTAAAATATCTAAAATACTATAAGATATTATTTTTTTTAAACAAATTTAAAAATGAAGTCCCTCTCCCTAAATTAATTTTTTTTGGGTGATAGTCAGGGACACACAATTTTTAACGCCAAATTTTCAATCCAAGCTAAGTATCTTAAAAACTGATTACATCCCCACTCAAATGTAGAACAGTCTACTAACTTCCTACAATAATTCAAATTTATTTATGTTACTCAACAGCATGACAGACCAGATATTTATAAAATGTGGTATACTACTTAATTTGTATACTTCAAAAAAATGTATTCTTCAAATTGGACAATTAATCATCAAAATAACTCAAGACCAGTTTCAGAATGACCAATCGTAATTATACATCATCACATTTTATCAGAGGAGTTTTCATCATAATGTGCAAATCTCAAAACATCTCATCTTAATCAAATTTCATTCATTAAAATGTAAATAATAGTAGATAATTTAATGTATCTGTAAATAAGAAACATTATCTGTGCTTCCAATATGCACATCATTACAAGAGACACATTAGAAAAACAAGAATAAAACGAAGAATCTTTATATATAAATTAAACAAAAAAGAAATATAAATTAAAACTTTACTCATTTATCTTAAGTTACTTCAAATTGTTAGTTATCGAAAAAATGGATGATCGATTCCTTCAACACTAATATAAGAATAAAAATACATTAAATTAATAAATATAGTACATCAATTAATAATTATAGGGCTCAAGGACATAATGGAAATGAAACTTGAAGGAAAAAGACAATTTATATAAAGAAACTTCAGCTTAAATACAACTTCGCAACCTCAGGAAGACCAATCGTAATAATATCACTCATCATATATTATCAGAAATGTTATCATCACAAGTTGCAAGGTTATATACACAATGTAACATCAAATACTTTGACATAAGAAACACTGGCTGTAAATCAAGCTCAATATCAAATCAAGATCATATCATGAAATACCTGACATTAAAAAAACAATCACTCCTAGAATAATAGACAACTTTTAGACAAATTACAAAAACGTAAATACTTGCCTTTTTGAATATTGTAATCAGACAAAGTTCTTCCATCTTCCAACTGTTTACCAGCAAAAATAAGCCTCTGCTGATCTGGAGGAATTCCTTCTTTGTCTTGAATTTTAGCTTTCACATTTTCGATAGTATCAGAAGGTTCGACCTCTAGGGTAATGGTTTTACCCGTGAGGGTCTTAACGAAGATCTGCATTCTTAAGATCCTGAAACAAAATTCATAATTTAAATAATTTAACTTAGCAAATTATTATTTTTTGTAACAATAGCGTAAGAGAATAATACTTTTGATAGATCCTGGGAAAACTAAAGAAACTTTATGCCATGATAACAAGGAAATTAATGTCTATATCATTGTTCTAAACAAATGAAAACAACAATAACAACAGCTGGACAAAGAACATTTATTTCCTTTATTTATACAATCCACTTATCAATGAACACTTTTATTGAAGTAAACCCACATCTATGAAAAAATTGTATTATACTCAAAAGTTCAGAGACTGGAAAATTGACTTGAGGGTTTATTACAATTAGTTTAATATTATGATTGTAAATACATTAAATAAAAAGAAAAAAATTAATATTAAATAACCAAATGTAAGTTCCTTAACCTCGTGTTTAAGAACTTTCCGTACAAACCTAACAATTAAATTACATCAAATGTAATAATTAAATAAGATCTACAGATAATTATATTGATAATTACTGAAATAAAATCAAGAAAAATTCACAAATATTTTACAACTTACCTCCAGCAGTCCGAGCAATTCTTTTAAATTTTAAATCGATACAGTGAATACAAAGAAGTGTGAAGATCTGGGGGAGAGGAATTAATAATTATCTTTCGGTCATACAAATTCACAATTTATTAAAGTACGTTTTAGACATTTCACAGACTACGGGAAAAATCTATTTATTTTATTTCTCTTGATATCGACGGCAATTTGAAAATATCAAAAACAAGAAACAAAAATACTAACATAGTAAAATAATCATTTATATATATATATATTTGTTTGTCCCTTAGTTTGTGAAATAAACGCATCTGAAAGCATTTCCTTAATAATATTCAAAATAGTTTACGTAATCTAATTAGGCAGATGATTTTTTAAATATATTTTATATAAATAGATCTCTGATATATTTTTAAAATTAAATAAGTACCTCCATTTTTAACCATTAATCCATGAAACTGTATACAGCTTTTCATAAGGTGCAACTTTGTTTGTAAATTTGTTCATTTTATTAGTATTATCATCATTACTTGCTTACTTACTATGCAGCTCTACAGAAGGAGCTGGGCCTTGGCTTCCTGGATTATAGCATGTCAATCATATTTATTCTTCGCCCTTTCCTTCCACTTCTTCAAGGTCGCTTTCAACATATTGCAGCCATCTTTTCCTTGGTCTTGTACCATACATTATAGATAACAATGCCCTATAATGCATCCTGCTGTTGTCCATTCTAACCACGTGGTCTACCATTCTATGCGTCTAGATTTAACAAAATGAACTGTCTTCTGTGATTATTACCATTATTATAACCGTTTAATCCTTGTGGCGCACCGGGCATCTACAAGTGCGTTCCATTCCGCTCTTTTGGTAGCAATCATTCTTGCTTTGTCAGCCCGGCTCTGGGCGTTTTCCACAGATCTCTGCTATTTTCCCCTTGGTCTTCCTCTTCTTCTTGTTCCTTGTGTGATTCCATTGAAGAACTTCTTTTTCAATATCACTGTCTGCTTCCCCTAATGTGTGTCCAATCCATTTCCATTTCTTCTTCCTTGTTTCGAGGAGGATAGGGAGCTATTAAGTAGTACTCCAGAGCTCTTTCAAGCCACTCGATCCCCAGGATTCCTCGCAAGCTATGGTTGATGTAGGTTCGAAGGGGTTGGGTGATGAATTCAGTCCTTTACAACGAATTTACATAAATATCGTCGGCGTAGTCGAGATCTTCAAGCCTCTCTCTTAGACTTCACTGGATTCCGCCCCCAAGCAAGTCTTCGGCCCCAAGCATAGCTCTCATAATGCTATCAAGAACGACCATGGAGAGAGCACACATGTCTGCTTCAAGCCAGTTTCAATCCTAATTTGGTCCGACAGCAGTTCCTCGTGGATGGCTCATTGTCTCATAATGGATGACGCAGTCCCTCATAACGACATTTGAATCCATCATACAACCTCCTAAAGATTATTATCTTTTTAGGAATGCCATACCTTTCACAGATTCGTCATATGATATCCTGGTTTAACGTATCTGAGGCTTCCTTAATATCAATAAATGCCACATATAGGTTTTGCCACTCAACACTCTGTTCCATGACACAGGCGGATCTACGGGGAGGGCTTTCGGGCTGAAGCCTCCCTTCGGCCAAATTGGTAAAATATAACCACGTTTTATGGAAAAAAATTATTTCTTAACGTATTATTTTTCGTGTAATTATATTTAAAAGGACTTAAGGAATCACTTAAACACCATTTCATATAGATAGTTAGTTTCTTTCTTTTTTTTTGCAAAGTAATTATCGTCATTTTTATGAAGAAAAAAAGGCTTTCGGGCTGAAGCCCTCCCCCAAATTAAAGCCTGGACCCGCTAGTGCTTCAAGATGATTCTCAGTGTGTTTGTTAGATCAGTGCAGCTGCGCTTTTCGATAAAACTATCTTCACAATTTGTCTACTTTTCCACTCAGCCCTTACTTTTTCCTCCTTCCATATCCTCTTGAAGAGAGTTGTCAATAATTCTGGAAAATGCTCGAGTATAGACTTTCAAGATTTATGCAGGTCTTCCATCGATTCCGGGGGTTTTCCCATTCTTCATTTCGGTGAGGGCCATAATGTTAGAGGGATTCGTCAACACTAGGGACTTCAAGAGACGCCATACGAAACTGAGGTTCCTCAGCTTCGTCAGTGTTTCTGTTCAATATCCCCGAGAAATATTCTTCCCAACGCTTTAACTGGTCCACTTGAGAGGTAAGGGAGTACAGGGTACCACCTGTTAATTGATAAAGTCTTTTGAATCTTTGAACTTTGCTTTTTTCAGCCAATTGGAGGCATTATATTCCTGTTGTGCACAGGTTTTCTATTGTCTGATCTTCCTTTGGATGACCTACTGAAGCTGCGTTCTTTCTATATTTTTCCAGATATCATTGGTCATCCATTTCTTGTTCAGAGAGTTTTCATGGACAAGACAAGATTCATTACTTACTCATTTTAATTATTTTGAAGTAAATATAAAAAGCTATAATAAACAAGAATAAAAATATATAAACGAGATATTCCTGATTATTTAGTTGTATATGAAATATATTATTTATGAAAAGTAAATTTTAATAATCAATTGGTGTTAAAACTTATCTCTATATTATTTAAGCTTTAAATAAATTCTTTTTTAAATTAATTCTTTTAAGCTTTTGCTGTAAGAGAATTGCAGTGAACAGGGGTAAATATATCACTGGGATTAAATATTAATTTTACTGTTTAGTCATTCTGTAAATATATGTCTAATTAGCTGAAAACATCCAAATCAGCTGCTTAGTAGGTGGCTGGAAGCGATTTTGCACTAATGACGTATACAAAGCCAGTTTAAAACCAATCTATGTTCCAATATATAGCAGTAACCGGTTGTAAAGTAGCTTATAATAATTGTAACAGTATAGATTAATTTTTAAAATAATATTTCGTTGAACATTAATATCTTTACTTTATTAATAATCTTATTATTTAATACATGAGAAATTTTAATAACGATTTAGATCACGATAAACTTAATAAATAACGATAAATTTAGAATCTGATTAGAATAGGTTATTATGTCTTACAGTTTTGGATTAACTTCCTGTTCTTTGAACATTTAGTTACATTTTAAGTTACTGTTACTTTTCTCACCCTCCATTGGTTACAAAATGTTATTGTTTTGAAAGTACTGAGGTGGGGGGATGGGGAATTCAAAAGTTCTTTGTTTCTAGATTAAATTAAAATTGTCTGACATATTCACTGTATTTAGTTTTTCTCATTGCTCAATAAAAGGATTGATATGGAAAAAAGGTAACAGTAGTTAATAACTAATTGGCCATTTAAACACATACTCTGTACGTATGTGATATAGAAATTAATCTATCTGAAATCTATTTTGTAAGTAATTAATAAATAACAAATATATTGTGTTTTTTTAATTCAAATTTTGAAAGTATTTTTATTGCTGCTTTACTATTTTCAATTTTTCAGAAGTTGAACATTTTCTCTTGGTAATATATCCTCCAAAGGTAAAGTTTCACTTTTTATGTCTAGTACTTTTGGTTTACCTTTGAGAGGAATTCCTTTCAATTCATTTCTGATTTTGTTAAGGATCTTAGCCTTCTTTTCTGTAGAGCAGTTGATGACCTTAAACTAAATAAACTTTGTTAGAACTGCCATTTGTTATCCATATATTTCAAGAAAGAAAAGTGTAAATTTATTATTTTAATCTAGAAATGAAAGTCGCATTTAATTACTTTAAATTATAATAATTGTGACTGTCATTATTTAACTTATCGATTCACATCTTTACAAAATAGCATATTTATTTACTAATTTTCAGATAGTTTTATATTGTTACAAGAATGATATGATAAAAAAGTTGGAGTTTAGAAAATAATAATTCAAATTATTCCAAATAATATTAAATTACAACTTAATTGATGTTTAGGTTTTATGTTGAATCAGATCAAATGAAGCTGTTTTTTTTGTTTTTGTTTTTTTATGGATATAATTTGTCTTATCGCCTGTTTATTTATTTTTCTTTTTTTAGAAAAGATATAATCATTTTTTTATTATTGTTTCTTGATAAGACAATATCCCTTTGTATTTAATATTATCTGCCACTTATTCTCATATTATTTTCTTGTCACATCTCATCACCACAATAATCTTTGTTTAGTGTATTGCTGTTCTGTCATTATATTCATAATTTATCTTGTTAAGGTTTAAATGATAGGTTTTCTGCTTTATTTTGTATGTATTTGAAAGAAACTTTCAATGATTTATTTATTTGAAATTATTTTTTTCAGAACTCCATATTATTCTACTATGGTCATTTCTAAGTATCGTCATATCAGTCCAACAACTTTGCTGATTATTGCAACGTTATTCATATTTTGCTGCTTTTCACTAGTCCCCAGGTAATACTAATTATGTATCCATTTTTGTTCTGTGATAATAATACTTTTGTGATATTACTTCATTTGATCGATGTTCTTTAAAATGATTTTTAATATTATTCTTGATTGTAAAATTACTGATTTAAAATGACTAAATATTACTACAAAAAAATCTCTTACTATTTTCATAGTAATTGTATTTGACATTTCATGTATTTCAAATTGTGCATGTTTTGAGTCTTGAAATCTAATTGAAATATAAGTTGGAAGAAATTTTTTTATTGTCTTTTTTAAAATATACGTTGTTTACACTTAATGTTTTCCTATTTGTTATTTGATAAAAAATGCAAACATTATCAATTGATTTCTTTTAATAATCTGAAACACATCATAAACAAGTAAATATTAATATTGCTAAAAGTGATGGGAAATATGTAATATATGGTTTTTGTTAACTAATGCTTGTAAGGTGAACTTTTTGTTTGATTTGTTATACTATTATCACATCAAATCTTTGTAATTAACCAAGTAAAAAAATAAAATATAATATCCCTCAAAATTTGAGGTTTAACACATTAATGAATTATTAAAGGAAGTTAGTCGACTGTTCTACATGGGTGATAAATAGTCAGTACTTGAATACCTTCAGTGCTCGAAACTCGCCCTGATGATGACCCACATGTTTGGGTTGAAACGTCGGCACTAATGAAAACTTTATAATAACTGCTTCCTGAATATTTCTCACTACTTTAACATTTTAAGATATGTAGAATCTGAAAATCAATTTAATAAAATTAATCTGCCATACGCTGTTTGTGTTACAAATCAATTTATTAATTTTTTTTTTTATCCTTTCCATGTTTAGTAAACTTAAGTTTATTCATGAAAGAAAAGAAAATGAGGAAAGATACCAAACTATGTAAAAATAACATAAGTGTGAAATTTTTAAAAAGATGTAAATTTTTAATTCAATTAAATCAATTTTTAATTCAACCAATTCAATTATGACAACTTTCTTAATTTTATTAAAAATTATATGTTATATTATTAATATTTGAAAAAAATCATGATGAGTCTTATTAGATATCTGTTCAGTCTTTTAATGAATTCAAAACTAATTATGTATGATCTCATCTATTGAGACAGTATCTATTATTAATCATATCTTTATTATAAAACCTAGTCCATCATCGTGATAGGATTTATAAAGCAGCTCTACATAAGATAGCAAGCTTAGTAATAGCTTATTGTTATCATTAAAGACCAGATTTATTTGTATTTAGTTTTTTATTACATACATTCTATAATTAAGTTATTGAAAAACAAAAGACAATAATAATTTATTTCCATATTTTCCCCCTTTATAAAATACATTGATCGCAATATCATGGAATGAAGCTGGTGTCAGGAGGCAATTGCACACAACACATATCCCTCCTCACCCTCGCCATCTTCAAATCATTTTCCTCTTTCGGCTTCAAGAAGTCTAAACAAATGGAAATCACAGAGTAATAGGTCCAGGCTGTATGGAGGAAAATCAATTTGAGTCCAGTGCATTTCCTGTTGTTTGTAGATAGTTAGAGCTATAGTATGGAGCCAGGCATTGTTATGCTGTAGGATTATCTCTTGAATCAGTTGGTCTCATATTTTGCAGTGATATGCAATTTCTTATACTCTCGCCCATAAATCGTCTCCAAGAGCGTCTTGAGCGGAACGAATGTTTCTGAATTATATAATTCATTTATTTTATTTTATTTTCACCATGTACCTTTTATATTTTGTATCTTTTGTAGCCCTGATGAAGACCTGCAAGGTGGGTCGAAACATCGGCATAATAATTAAAAATACTATTTTTTAAAATTTAGTATTTATTTGACCGCACCTCCCGACCAACTCCTTCTCATATTATACCACGGTCAACCATCTCTACATCATTATAAATAATAAATAGTTAAAATAACAAAAACATTATGTAAATCATAGTGTCTGGATGTAATGGTAATCACATGTATTAGTTCATCTGACCCTTATTGTTCTGCTACCTTCTTAACTACCCCTGACCCATACAATCCTCAGTACTTTTTCAAATTGCTTGGAAAACTGTTGTGGCAGTTGCACGTCCCCTCATGTTATACTTTTGGTTTTTCTTGAATATTTTTGGTGTTAATGGTTGAATAGAAGTATTCAAAATGTCATATTTGTGGAAGAGAAAAGAACATGAACACTACGAAAACATGTTCCAAGTTAAAAAAAAAATACACTTGCTAAGCTTATCTTGTAATTGAGCCTGTGTGCATTTCGTGTCATCACCAAGAGGAATCTGATTGCGATTAATTTGAATAAGTGATTAATTTGTTGCTTTAAATATTTTAGTTTTTACATTTTCCTAGTTGCTTTTTATAGTAAACTTGTGTTGTTTTGTAATCAAACCTTATTTTATATGTTATCAAGTATACATAGCTTATATTTTTTTTTTTTATCGTCGGATGTAACATGTTAAATTAAAGTTCATAAATTATTTTATTTAATATGTCCTGACTGATATTGAATATACAAAAAATAAAAAATGGGTGATAAATATTCAGGTCGTTAAAGATCTTTATCAAATTTCATTACTTCTTTTGAAAATGTATGACTCTGGAATTAACAAATAAAGGATGTGACAATGCCTCTTATACCATGAAATCTGTCAATTTATAATTTTACAAAAATTATTATTGAAGGATCTGTCCATTGGAGCACTACTAGTGAAATTGCATTTTGACTCTGAATTATATTGAAGGGTATTAAAATATATATGTTATAAATTTTTCAGAGTTGTGTCTTTTGATAATGAACCTTGGGATTTACTTATCTTTACACAGAACTGGCCCAGGTCTGTCTGTAACCAATGGACTGAAAAAGGGCACCAATGTCGATTAGTACCTAATGATACATGGACAATACATGGCATATGGTAAGCTTTTAGAGTAATTGATGGTTTTTTATTTTTTGTTTTAATGTAAAGATACTTATAGGAATAACTTCCACAAAAGATATTACTATATTCAATTATTAAAAGATTTATGTTGATTGAAATAGGAATAGAAGAATATTCATATAATATTTTTTCATTTGGTGGGAGACGTTGGAAAAATATATTCTTGTTAATTTAGTTTCAATTGGGCGAAATAATTTTAAATCCTTCGAGTGGTTGTGTACTATGGCAAAAAAGTAGCAGATAAATTAAGTTGATCCACTTAATGTGTTTGATAGCTTAGTTCCAGCCCTGGATCACAGACATACTAAAAGTGTGATTTTGACAATGCCTTGGTGACCAAGAGTTGCAAGTCTGAAATGTCACTACCCTCCTAGGAGATAGAATATTTCTTCAGATAAAAGAAATAAGGAATGTTTCTATTAATAAGTTTTTAAAAAAAATTAAGAAAACCTATTTATGGTACTATGATCTTAAAGTTGACTAAATTATTCTGCTCATTTCTTATATTTAAGTGCATTTGTTTAAACTTTATGTTTTATTTTATTATAATTTCTTTAATGCAAATTTTTGTTGTTATAAGTTTTATTATTATAATAGGCCCACAAAATATGGAACAATCGGGCCAGGCTTTTGTAATAAAACAAGACCTTTCAGCCCTGAAGCTTTATATGGCATTGAAAAGCAATTGGAGCAGTTATGGACACCAGTAGAAAAACACAAAAAGATCACAGCTCTGTGGTCACATGAATGGTTAAAGCATGGTACATGTGCAGCCGTAGTTCCAAAATTATCCACCGAGTTCCAATATTTTAATCAAGGATTGGAGTGGATGAAGGATTACAATATGTATTCTGTATTGACAAAAGCTGGAGTAACACCTGGCAATCAGTATAACATAACTAAAATCTGGGATGGGGTACAAAGTGTATTGGGAAAGAATCCACAAGTAGCCTGCTACCAAGATGTAAGTTTCATGAGGTATGTCTTTTATTTATAATTGGAAAGTGTAATTCTACTTACATATTTGTCTGTTTTAGAAACAAAATGCTTCTATTCTGTTAGAGGTACGAATATGCTTTAACCGAACATTGGAATTAATGGATTGTGATGGAACTGTTGTTGGTGGTCATAAACCAAGCTATCATAACTTGACAAATTGTGATATCAACAAATTAGTTCAATATCCTGTATATTCTGTTCATAATATCATTAAACAGGAAACCTATCGAAATACGTTAGTAGAAACATACAAATTCTTGAAACTAGTCCAGTGGCTTACGGGTAGCTATTAAGTAATACTGATAATTAAAAAAAAAAAAAAAATCAGGGTGTGTTCCACTTTTAAATGAAAAAGAGCATATATTATTTTTATTTTTTCACGGAAAGTGGCTAAAACATTGCATAAAGATACCTAAAAGTGTAATAAAGTAGAAGACACCAAAGTTCTTATTGTTGTCAAAAATTAATTTGATGCATAGCTTATACAAAAGTGTATTACTACACTTTTCAATATTTTTATTCAACCATAAAAATTATAGTTCCTAACTAATGCTCAGATCGAATATATTTCAGATCAGCCATACGCATAACTAAATTTTTTCAAAAAATATCTTCTATCCCTTTACCTTTAGGTCTCTGATACTATTAATAAACAAAAAAAATGAACATGAATAATAATATTCTTTTAAATATTACTTGAGTTATTAGAATAAGAAATAAAAATGTGTTCTAGGTCTAGAACTTATTGCCAACAATAATTGTTCAAATAGCTACTTTTGATACAATGAAATGGAAATCAATTTTTAATATTCATTGAAAAGTTAGCTGAATATATTTTTCAAATTATTCTACCTTTCCAATTGTGGCAATGGTGGAAAAAAAGAATTACCGAATTAGGATGACATTTTGGGAATAGAGTTTAAAAATAAGTTTAATGTGGTTTCAATCACGTATAAATTATGGGAATAGAAGAAATATTAGTCATTTAAAAAAAATGATGTATATATGGATTATTGATCATTTATAACTTCCTATTAAATTATGGAAGTTCCATGGAGTGCGTCCAGTCTAATTTGTTTCTCTATTTACAATAAGATCTCAACTCATGAGTGATAAGATTTTCATAAATTAAAATTGTATAGAGATAAGTTGGTTTGAAATTTATTTATAAAAATTTATTCCAAGATGTTTTTTTGAAAAACTATTTATTTATTTTATTTTCCCTCAAAAACTTTGGGATCAGTTTTATTTAAACCACAAAATCATTTGTTATTTAGTTTCTTCTTTAACAGAAATAATATTTCTATTGAAGGATTTATCCTCTCAACAGATTTTTGGGTGTCTACATTTTATTTTTATAATTTATTAAAAATATATGTTTTTTTTAGTTTTAGGGGTCTTTTAGTTGTTCCTATATCATTTATGTAACTAGCTTTATAAAATTAATTTAATTTTCATAACTATATAAAAATATCAGATTCCATTTTCAATTCACCACTTTCTTGTTTTCTAACATGTTTGTATTATTTTCTTTAATTTATTGATTTTCATGTCTATCACAACTTTATAAATTCAAAGACTTTCACAGTATTTTGTCCATATTTTATTAAATTTGTATATACTGCAAATATATTTTTGGACTTATAATAAATACATTTATTTTCTTCAAATTTTTATATTATTATCCCATTTATGACTTACAAATCAAAAATCTGAAATATGAGCCAATAATGAGTTGTTAAAACATCCAATGAAAGTGAACTACTTAATGAAAGTTCATACATTTTGATTTAACTTTGGGTTTTGTTCACATTAAATACTTCGCATTATATTAAAAAATAAAATTATTTCAATTTTATTCATATGCATATTTGTAACACTTATGAATTATTATAAATTAGAATATAAAATGCTTCTAAGATTTGGTTTTTAAAATTTCTATTACAAGCAAAATACAAGATTAGAATTTTACATCAGGTTCTGGTATTTCAATTGCGATTTCTGCTTTATGACTAGCCTTGAACTGAGCCATGATGAAGTTGATACAGTTGAAACAGATGATTTCATATCTCCCCAAGATATCGAGTTCGCTAACTCAAACACGTGGTCATTCCTGGAGTCTGAAGACAACAGTGAAGGGGAAAGCGGAGAATCTTTTGCGAATGCAGTTGACATTTCACCTGATGGTATAGTTGCAATAGCTAAGATTCTCAGATAGTGCTTTGGCTTGGAATATAAATGATTAGGTGCTATATGAATAGGTCAATATTATCAAAATTCTAATAACTTTCATGCCTAAACACATTCTCCAGTTGGATAAAAGAAATATTTTACATAAGTATTAACTGACATTTTAAATTATTATTTGCTTAGAATATAATTTTTAGTTTGTAGGTTGAAAAAATTATATATTTCATATTTTCAAATGATTAAATTTTATTTATATACCATGTATTTTTAATTAACTTCCTTCTAAAGGTCTTTAGTTGCATCAATATATTTTTCTGGTTACCTTCAACAGATTAGGGAAATATAACTACAAATTATCGTTAATTACCTGAACAGCTCATCTAGAAGTTCAGGTCTCCATAAAGGTTTGTTCAGTCATCTATATTCAAAACAATTATTCTCTTGTTCCCCACACTTAACAGATTCCTGATTTATTGAAAATGGATAGCCATCTCTCCATTTCAACTTGATTTATCAATTCATTCTTGTCACATAGAATTCTTAGTTTAGCAAGCTAATAAGCGAATTTTTGATACATTGTAACTTCTATGAAATCTTAAGGCAATGTTTAACATCAGTATTCCATTGCAATGTTTATTTTTTTAATAGCCAAAATTATTATTAGGTCTATTATCATGTATGAAAAAAGAAAAAAATTGATAAATACAATATATATGAATGAAGATCACTAACAACTACCCACACTACAAATTTTTCACAATGCTCCACAAACTAAATCTTCACAACACTATTCATTTTTATACAAAAAAAACATATTTTAAAAAACCTTAGCTTCTGAAATCCATAAAGGGCAGTGGAAAGCTCATTTCCATTATATATACTGAGGATTCCATTTGATTGTTTAAAAATCCATTTAGATTTGAAAAAAGAGTTGATACATTTAATGTGAGTGCTTATAAAAAACTTAGTATTCACAAATTATATAATTAGGTGAAATTTTAAAAGAGAAAAGAAATGAAGTAACATTCTTCATTCCTCTACCCTCTGACCATCAAAAAACTTCGCACGCCATAGAAGTCGGACAGAATTTTAAGGGTCAAAATGATTTTAAGGCTTCAATTTTTTTATATGCATTGAAATTTGTAGGTTAGGACTTCACATCAATAATAATAATAAAATCACATATTTGATCGCTATAGTTCTACTTTATTTGTTTTTTTTAATCAACGTTTCAGCCCGTAGGCCATTATCAAGGGAAGAAACCTATTTTAATAAATAAAAATCATTATGGACCGAATTGGCCTTTTCAACTCCATTTAACTGATCAAAAACAAACAAACACTAAAACCAAGGTTTTTGACCAGTTAAATGGAGTTGGCAAGAGCAATTCAGTCCATTTTGATTTTTAATTATTAAAATGGATTTCTTCCATAAATTTTGTAATGATTAGGAAAATAAACTTGACTTAAAAATTCTGCTTAAGACAAAACAAGATATTGATAAAGCCATAGAAAAACCACCATACTTACCACATCAATAACAACCAGAATAAATGATGACACATCCACAAAAAAAGTAATAATCCACGACATATTAACTTGCCATAACATATTCGAATCTTATTAAGAGAAAAACGCTGAACCAAAATCGAAGTGACACAGGACTAGATCAATTATAACAGTATGTTTTATCTTACAGATAAAACATACTTTACCGAATTGACTAACAAACTAAAAGAAAATTTAAAACTCAAAAGTTACTTAACCTAACTGAAAATCTTACAACCACTGACAAATCACTATGGAGGACCACCAAAAAATTTCTATAGTTTAAAAACTTTAATTACCCACCTTTTACTAAATCAAAAACCTGACCCAAATCTGAGGAAGAAAAATTTCTAATATTTGGTCAACACCTCTTCCAAATTTTTCTTACTTCAACAAACATTGAATATATTGAAGCAGAACTTGATATTCCTCTCCAAATGTCCTTTCCACCTAAACCATTTCATTTCAGAGAAATATCCAACATCATTCACAGATTACCCTTCGGCAAAGCTCCTTGACACAACCTAATTACATCGCAGATCTTAAAACTTTTTCCTCAAAAAGCCATCCTGTTCCTTACTTACATATTTAATACTGTACTCCGATCTATATATTTTCCTGATCTTGGGGAATTGTCTATTGTCAAAATTATTCACAAATCCAAAAAGCCACCAGAATACCCTCATAACATCCTGTCTCTCTTATACCCATCATGGGTAAAATCCTGAAAAACTCATGTTAAAACACCTGTACTCCATCAGAGATTCTAAACACATAATCCCACATCACCTATTTGGATTTCACACTTCTCATTCCACTATCCAGCAATGTCATCATATGGTAGACAGTCTCCTCTGCATTGATGTGCAGAATGTAATGTACGGGATTCTTTCTAGTCATTGAACAGATGTTTATTAGAGACTATCGCCCAGTACTCCTGTACAAACTCCCCAAATTCCTACCACCTAATAGGCTTCCTCATTATCCATTTCTACCTTACTGTTAGATACTTTAAATCGCAATGCCTATTCATCCCTCTTTTCCCAGTTTGCTGTTGTTTCTCAAGGTAGTATCCTAGGTTCTATCCTTTATACAATTTTTACATGTGATATTCCAACCCATCCCAACACTTTCATCACTATGTATAGCACACGTATCCTATCAGTTAATAACGTCCCATCAATTGCATCCCAATCTCTTCAATCACACATAACAAACCTTGAAGAATGGTGTCAACACTGGAGAATTAAAATAAATTCCTTTAAATCCCACCAAATCATCTTTACCCTCCGTCATAAATCAATGACTTCTTGTCCTACAATATCCTTTAATGATATTCCACTTATACCTGTTGAACAAATCCGTTACCTAGGACTCCATCTGGATGAGAAACCACTCCACATTTCAGACTACTTCATTACTTACTAGACAAACATTCCGAGCTTCCAATTAATTACAAAAGACTCATATACATGACTATAATAAGGCCTATTTGAACTTAGAGAGTTCAGCTATGGAGTTCTCCTAAACCATCAAATTCCTCTTGTATCCAATCCTTACAATCCAAAATCCTTCATGAAATCCTCAATGCTCCTTACTTTGTTATAAATAAAATCATCCATAATGACCTTAATATAACTTGTTTTAGATTTGGCCCAATCGATATACCTATCTTTTCATAATAAACATCTGAACCATCCCAACCCTCCCGTGTCTAATCAAGATCCCTCTTCAATTTCTGTTAATTCTCGAAGGTGTCTGAAAAGAATATGGCTGTGACCTGCTAATGTAGACATTTTATTAGAGTAGCAGTGGGTACTTTCTGAGCAAGTTTTTTCATGTCATTATATCCATTTGTATAAATTTAATACATGTATTTTTTTATACTGTTGTAAATATAAATAAAAAAAATTAAGTTTATTAAAACCATTTTTTTAAATAAAACAGAATTAATTCAATCTTTTTTTTTTAAGTATCCTTTTAATTAGTAATTCATTGCTGTCCCTTAGTTTAACAATATGCAGTTGTCAGGATACATGTGACATTGAATTCAGGGAATTATCAATTAATAAGAAAAAAAAAACTACCACTACAACCAATGAGAAGTATTGGATTCAGTACTATGTAGGGCACATACTGTTTCTTGATCAACGGTTGCGCAAGGAGGTGATTTGACCAATATCACGCTCAACAGCCAGGTTTTCTCCCTTGCTTAATTATGGGTACCCAATTAATTAATACAATAAATTAATCAGAAAAACAATATAAAAGTATTAAAAATGTTTGTTAGGAACAATTAATTAAACCTCATTATTAAAATTCAAAAGATCAAATTCTACTTTAATTTAGTTTCTGTACAAATAAAACCTAACCCTAAGTTTAAAAATAAAATTCAATAACAACTCATTTGTTAATTGTTTTATTATTTGTATCCTTGTTGCCAACAGCAGACTCACCAGTAATTGAGAGCAAGGTGTCACAAATCGTTGAGAATTAAAAAGTTTAACATTATTCGAAGGATAGTGAGGACAAGTATGGTTAATTTGTGTTTAGAATAGATACATTATTGAACCTAATTTTTTTTTTAAATCTAAAAGGTATCCATTTTTTAAATTTATACCTATTTTTTAATTATCATACTTCAACAAAATATGCAATTAAGCCTTTATAAACTTCTTCTGTTTATATTACATTCATTGGATACGACTTACCAGCTCATGATGACCATATATAATTCTTGAAAACAAAATTATTTTCCCATATTTATTATTTTGATGGTCCAATGCTTAAGTGGCATGACTGTAAATTTTCTTATCATTTTATGTTTGTTGATAATTTTGAATAATAACAGCACTAGTGAAATAAACTGTATTTTACATTTATATACTGCAACTAGCACAATTTTTGCAGTTTGGCAAATATTTAAATATGCCACTTAGCCATTGCATCAACAATATCAAATTTCTTATATATAAATATAATTTTAAAAATGCTTCACATTTAAAAAGTGAATGGGATAGTATTCAATGGGTTTGAATAATAAACACATCTAAACTACAGCAATTTTCATTTTAATGAAATTATAAAAACAAAAAAAGAAAAGATATTTCAAGAAACATATGTGTTTGGCTGACTAAAGAATATAATATATTCATACTCCAGATAAATCAAATTTCTTCAGAATTAAAATTTACCCATGGTAATCAATAAATTTTCTTACTAGAGAAAATGTTCTATTACCATTAAAAATTCAAACAAAACAAATTAATTATTGTTAAATCGAAGCTAATAACATTTAATAAAGACCTGGAAGGTGAGCAATAGTTTTTAATTAATATCTATATTAATTATTGGAGTGAGTAAAATAAGTGTTGGTTACCGAGCATAAAAAAAAAAATTACCATTAATGAATGTATATATATGTTTTGATAATGCTAGTTTATTAAAAGTATAAGAGATTTTGTTCTATTTTAATCAAACTTCAACTAATTTACTAGTTTGCATCTATAAATATTTAATTTATTATTAAAAATAGTGTATTATCATTCTATTGAGCCTTTGGCCTTCATACAGTAGAACATGGCACCTTAGACATTAAACACAAATAAATATTATTTAATAAAAAATCAAGAGATGTAACCAGAAAAGCATAATCCAACATTTAACAACTATTAAATAATCCTTTATTTATGTTTCTACTGCATTTGTATCATTCAAGGGAAAAAGACTTAAAGGTATAAATTTCTATACATGGCTTTCCCCCCCAAAAAATGAGTTAAAAGAAGAAGTGATTTACCAATAAATACAAAATTATCTTATACAAAATAGGAACTTATGAAGTAGGTGATTTGGTCACGATTACTACAGCTGAAGGCACCAAACCTAAAAAATAATATAATAACACAAAATTAGAATAGAGCTAAGACATTCTTGAGATGTATGAAACAACTATAAAATCTTTTGTTTAATAAATATACTTAATTCCTACTTTTCCAGATTCTATTGTAAATTTATAAAATGTCTAGGCATTGGAAACTTCTATAATATCTTCCTTTATTCTTTAATACATTCAATCATAGTTTTTATGTTTTGAGGGCCCATCTTCAGAAACATATTATTCTAGTTATAAATAGGCAGTCATAATTTATTATTATTAAAATACATATTATTGCTCTTATTATAGAATGACAAAATAGCTGCCAGTAAGATAATTACAATCCGTTATTATCCGTCCGTAGTTATCTGTCTCCTGGGCTCGATTCCTTCCTATATATATATATATATATATATATGGCATGGAGAACTGTCAGCCTTCCTACTCATTGTTGCTGAACTCTAAAGAATGAAGGAAGAAATTGCAGAAGTTTTAAATACCTGGGCCTTTTACAACATATTAAAATTTTTAATAACACCTATGGATGGATTTGAAAAATTTTATTCACAAAATTATTTCGTAACTGAGATAACCTAAGAAGCCAGAGTAACAAATTTATTGAATCCGCAGCAATAAAGGTTGGTTAAACTAAGCCAAGAAATTGCATAATATACTCAGACCAAAAATTTCCATGTAACAAAAGCTGCAGCACCTGCTCAATTACAGTTTCCTAATAATATCAAATCTATGAGATTAAATGTACTGTTTAATAACTAATTTATATTTATTCAAGCTTGAAATTCAGTTGAACGAAATTAAGTTGCATAACTAACTCAACTCCATGGCGCTACAGACCGGTGTGGTCCTTGACCGCCTTAATGAGCCTTCGCCAGATGGCTCTATCTTATGCAGTCACTCGCCAGTTGAGGGTATATAATAATTCTCTGGCGTCCCGGATGACGGCGTTCTCCCATCTTAGATGTGGTCTGCCTTTCCCTCTTGTTCTGCTGAGCTTCCCATCAGGCAACTTCCTTGGGACTTTCTCTTCTGACATTCTGGCCACACGGCCAGCCCAATGTAGTCGCCCAAGCTACACCTCAACACATCTGTCTCTCCATACAGATCATATAGGTCCCTGTTAGTTATCCTTCTCCAATCATCACCGACTTTGACAGGTCCAAAGATACGCGGAAGGATCTTCTTTTCAAAGATTAGTAAATATTTTTCTTCTTTGCTAGAGAGGGTCCAGCTTTCTGATCCATATGTGAGGACAGGCCTAATGAGGGTCTTATATAAGAGGCATTTAGTATGACGGGATATGGCAAAGCTTCCAAAGTGTTTTCTGAGGCCAAAATAGCACCTGTTTGCCCTTATTATTCGCTGGTTGACCTCCAGGGATATTCTATTTCCACAGCTTACAATAGCTCTTAGATAGGTAAACTGGTCTACATTTTGGAACGTAAATGGGCCCATAACCACCAGTACTCGTACTGCGGTCTTGGTTTCAGGTCCTGCTTGCATATACATTGTCTTTTCCTGGTTTACATTCATTCCCAAAGATTCTGCCGCTTCAGCCAACTCTAAAAATGCATTCTTAAGAGATTCGAAGGAACAAGCCATCAGATCTAGATCGTCAGCAAATCCCAGTATTTGTGTTAATCTGTTAAAGATAGTGTCAGTAGTCTGGATCCCCGAGTCACGTATCACCTTTTCCAGGGCCAGGTTAAACAAGTTGCTTAAGTAATATTTTTAAAATTAAACAGCGTTTATTATCCCGATTTGAGATAATTCATACTTCTGTAATGGGAAATAAAACGTTAAGAAAACTACTTCATATGAAACTAGCAATCTGAGATGCTCAAGCAATGCAACGATCAACATAAATGAATTTTATAAAGTTCTATGAGATAAACATTACTTCAAGATTTCAAAGGGGGGAAAGGAGATAACTGAAAAATTAGTTAAAACTAGCTGGTTTTTTTTTTTTTTTTTTTTTTTTTTTAAATGAGAAGTAGTCTAAGTTCATCTACACACCAATATTAAACCTAATATCAAGTTTTCCTGGTAAAAAAAAAATTCAAAACCATTATCAATAAAAAATTTACATAAAATAAAAAGAGTTAGCAATATATGTAAGACATCTACTGACAAAATGATAACTAAATTACACAATTTTGTAAAAACAAAATATTTATAAATTCATATTATTTTTCCATTAGAAAATACATTTTTAATACACCTTACTTGTAGCTTAGTCTTTCGCAGTGCAAATTACAGTTTCATTAAATATTTATATGAGCCATAAAATTAAGCCTTTTCAAAATTGGACAAAAAACACAAAAACTAAAACGGAGTTATCACTTTTTGTTAGTAGACTTTTGTCAGTTAACTCCTATAATGGACATAGGACCATACGGTTAAAATAAATATTACAAACATACCTAATACATCCAAAGGCTTATCATAATCATCTTCTACAAAAACTTTTCTAGGAAAAGTTGTCATTAATGAAAAAGAGCCATCGCCGTCAGTCCTGTTTAATTCAATGTATAACCGTACTGCTGAGAGCTGTTCTTTGATACCAAATGTCTGGGTCAGAGATTCTCCATTCAAAAGTCTTATCTGTGAAAGAGAATGTTGCGGTTAAAACGAAAAAGTATTAAATAATAATCATACTGAAAAAGTTTTGAAGAATAATTTAACAGAAACTGAAGATGAAAATAATCATGAGTATTTAACAGACAATAAACATTACCTGTATCCTTGTTTCCGTATAGTCTTTTTTAACAGCTGGCTTAGCGACTTCAACAACTACAGGAGGTGGAGTTGGTTTTTCAATACCTTGCTGCTGCAACATCTTTTCCCTACGTGCTTGCCTATCAGCTTCTATTTGATCCTTTATCCTTTGTCGAGCTTTCATATCCTCTTCTTTTTCTTTTTTCCTTTGTTCAATGGCCTTTCTAAGTTCTTCATCTTGCATTCTTAAAACGAATCAAAATTAATATTAATTAATATCTACACAGATGGAAAAATACAGAAGTTGGCAAAATAAATAATATTTTTGAAAAGGAGTTGGTCGGGGGGAGGGGGAGGGGGTGCGGTCAAATAAACACTAAATTTTAAAATAGTATTTTAATCAATTTTAAATATTTTTAAAATTTAGTATTTATTTGAACGCAGCCCCCGACCAACTCCTTCTCATATTAAAACACGGTCAACCATATCTATATCATTAATAATAGTTTTGAATCTTTTATTATTGTTTTAGAAAGAAACTCACAAACAGAAATGTAATTTTTAATTTAAAAAAAATAATAAATAAAACTTTAAATAGTGACCACAGAGAAAAGAAATACAAAATAACCCCTGAAATTGAAAGGATTAAATCAGATTTATGACGAAATTGGAAGTTATTGCAGGTGTTTAATTTGGATTTTAATTCATGCATAAGTGATTTTGAAGTGTAGTCTAGAGTTCTAAAGGTACAAATTCCACTGTTTTTCTACTATATTACTTTCACTTATCTATATACAAAATATATAAGGAAAAGTATTATTTTTTCGAATCTGAGTTTTCAATGAAAATACATATTTTAAGAACCCCCAACTCCAAATAACCAAGTCTCGCAAAATGGTCTATATGTATGTATGTTAACAGTCCAGCTCAAAAACCAAAAGTCCTAAAAAAGTGAAATTGCATATTTTACAATTCTATACTAGACTAGCTATACCTGGCAACGCGCTGCTGTGGCTCAGTATGGTAAAATGGAAAGAAAATAAAAAACATATGGGCAGCTTAATATCAAAGGACATCTATCATTTTTTTTTAAAATTGAGAAAAAAAATTGTCTAATATTAATTTTTTTTAAATTAAGCTACTTTTTTCAAGTCTTGGAATATAATTTTTTTAAATAAAGACTTGATTATCTCTCTCTCTCCCTTAACATGTGTTACCTCATTCTCCAGAATTTTTTTTTTTTTTTTTTAGAATTATCGATCTATGGTTATGAACTATGTTCATATTAGTAACTTGCTATAAAGATTATAAGAGTTCAATGAACTTATACACAACATAAAGAAAACATTTGAAATAAGATGGGACTATTTATAATATTTAGCAATAAGTAAAAATTGGATTAGAGGACTAAGCCTATTAATTTTAATTAATTTATTTAGTTTAATTAAATTAAGAATTTTCTTACTTCTTTTTAATTTCAATCATTTCCTTTCCAGCACGAATTCGGTTTTTTTCTCTTTCTAAGGCCTCATTTTCTTCACGCTTTTCCCTTTCTCTCCGTTTTTCGATAAGTTTTTGTTCTAGTAGTTTCTTTTGTGCAAGTTTTTCTTCTTCAGTCAGAGCTTTTTTCTCTTCGGTGGACTCGGCGAAATTTGTATGACCTGATTTTGCAGCATGAAATTCAACTTCTGCTTGATTTTTAAACAATTTGTTGCAACTAAAATAAAATTAATAAATCAATTCTAATGTAATTAGAACTTTTTTTTATTAGTTTTTAAGCAGTATGTGCCCACTAATTCTATCTAAAAACTTATTCTAGTATTAATATTCAAAATAAGTAGATTAAATTAAAAAATCATACAAACTATAAGATCTGAATCTTAATACGTATTTCATAAATATTTCATTTTGCATGATTATTATGTTTTTCACTACACCAATTAAAATTTAAACGTGAGAGTTATTGAGTTTAGTACTTTGTATTTTTTCTGTTTTGTAACTTTTAAGTAAATATTTATTCAAACCATATAACAATACTAAACTCTAGATGAATAGATAATATAAATGCTACATACAAAATCATAAATATATATTGATTTAGTATAGACTAATTTCATTTTAACAGAGATTCAGATCAGGTTAGTAAAACCTAGGAAGGGCTGGTGTTACATTTTATAAATACACATCATTAAACTTAAACACAAAGTAAAACAACACCCTCAAAATATTGGGTTTACTCACTTACTCATTACATATTAAGGATTTGGCTTCAACATCAGAATTGGGCGAGTCACCAGTTTCATTAGAAGATTTAGTAGCATCTTCAGTTGATGAGGTAGTGGGAGCACTATTGACCGCAGTTCCTGCAGACTGATCGAAATCATCACCATGTGCCAACAGCCTGAAAATTAGTAAGATGTCATCAATATTTTGTTAACTGGTCAGTAATTACCTTTAGGCATCATGCTCCAGGTTAAAGCAAAATTTAAGATTATATGGAAAATCATTGGATAATACTAATCCAACAAGTTGAGTCAATAGAAAGGCTACTAATGCATTGGATAATATTTTTATACTATAACTTCCACTTACGTATACATGAAATATACAAAAAGAGAAAGTATAGCTACCATGAAAAATTTTGAATTAAAGTTTTAAATTTAAATACACGTTACAATATCTAATGGGTCTAAATTACCAAGTCTAGAAAATTGGTCTGTCCGTTAACTACCTAGCTAAAAAACAAAAAGTATTATGAAATTGAAATTTATATGTGTATATATACAGTGACTCACAGTCAAAATGGAACACCTGGATATCGATAGAAATTTTGAAATGAATAAATAGTTCGATTAATATTACATCGAAAACAATAATAATCAATAAACATCCTGGCAATATGTTACTTTCTTATGTACTTTTTCTTGGTCTTACATTATATTATTTTTAACTCTTTTCTTATGTTATGTTTCTTGGTGTGGGAGTGTATTGCTGCTTCTGGTGTAGGGAATCTTAACTTTATAGTGGAAATGTTCACATGGTATAGTGAATAAACATGTTTACACAGACATTTTAATATTTTAGAAGAAACTTGATGAAATTGCGGAAAATCTGGTGCTAAAAAACAAATTTAGTTTTATCAGGAAAATGACCCTAAACACTGTCATGTTAGTTGAGAAATGGCTACTTAACAACTGCCCCAAAGTTATGAAAACTCTAGGTTCTAATGTAATTGAATACCTGTGGGCAAAATAAGATGTAGAAATTAGAAAACACGAAATTTCCAACTTAAAAGATATACAAAAGTATCTCATCGAAGAATGGAACAGGATAAGTCCAAGAGAGAGAATCACTTTATTATCATAAAATAAAATAAAATAAAATGGTGCTGCCCAATTACATTGGGTTGCTAACAACACAGCATACTTATTAATCACTACAGACATTATTTAAAATTATTATACAATTATAGGATTAACAATATGTATGAGCATAGTATACAATATTTTATACGTATATATATATATATATTTTTTTTTTTCTTTTTTTTTTTTTTTTTTATAATTTTTACTATTTCTTTCATTCATTTATTATCATTCTGTACCCTTTCTCTTCCTTCTCTCCCCCTATACATGTTCCCACTCACATTCTCTCCTCTCTCTTTCTAACCTAATACATAAAAAAATTCATAAAGTACAGTGGACGTGTTCAATAAATAATAATATAAAAAATGCTGTAACACACGCATGCCTCCCCCCCGCGAGCAAACTCTCCCCCTATCCGCTCCCATGCACATGGTGGTGGATGATTCCCAGGGAGTCGAGGATTATACTCTCTGCCAACCTTGCCACGTCCTTTATGTCGACACCAAGGCCCTCCATGAAGCTCCTTGTTGAGTCTGGTATCGTTCCGCGAGCTCCGAACCAAAGGCCTCTCACGTGGAACTCTCTCGGCCCGAAACTCTCGCGGAACTTTTCACTAAGGAAAGGGATGCATTTCTCATATATCTGTTTTTTCTCCCTTTCCACTTTTTCTGCCTGATCGAGGTCGTTGGTCTCATATCTCACGGTCGGATCCAAAATCATCGCCGACTTTCCCGTCTTAGGGAATGCTACAATGTCGGCATATCGGGTGGATCCATCCGTATCTATACAATATACTTCCTCGAAACAGGCGTATTTTCTCTCTTCAAGGAGCCTCATCAGTTCATGCTTGACTCTGTGGTGACGGCGTGCTATAAGGAGGGAGTTGTTGGGGCATTTTCCCAGCACATGTGCTGGTGTTTCTGGCTCTCTGTCGCATTTGCGACAGAGGGACCCAACTTCTCTTACCTGTCCGCTGACACCTGGGACTCCACGCAGGGGAGCATAATTAATATTTAGTTTCAGGGCATTTGACCATTCAGACCCAGAAAGTACTTGCTTATCATACATGTATTTATTGGCTTTCGGGGTCTCTTTAAAATGGCGAACTCCAATGCCCTGCCACCTGCAATTGGTCCACTCCTCAAACGAATTTTCTCGAAGCGATTGCCGTAGAGCTCTCATATTCCGAATACCCCGATCAACCCCCAATCTCTCGGCACATTCATCAACCTCAGCCGAATAATCAAAGATCGACTGAAAAAGGGCATCGGGCACATTGGACAGTCGCTGAGCAATGGACCAATGTTGTAGAGGAGCCTCCCATTGGCAGCGGATTAATCCTAATCCTCGATACCTCCTGGGAGAGTACAACATCGCCGTGGAGGTGTTCGCAGGGAGTCCAACAATAGCCTTCACACTCCTGCGAATCATGGTGTCGATGCCGTCAAGTACGGCAGGACGCAGCTTTGTGAGGGGCACAGTTTGGAGAGGATAAGTAAGACCCGGGAACAGATATTGGTTGACAATGTTTAGCTTCTGCTCCGGCTTCAGCAAGGGAGAGGTTACCAGTTTATTCAGGTTTTCGTTCAATTTGGTCACCGAATCTTCATTGAACTGTAGCTCTCCCGAGAATGTACATCCTAAATACTTGATTGTATCTCCATTCTGCATTGTTTGGATGTACTCTCCGTTCTCAAGGGAGAGCATCGCGGTTTCCAGCTCTCCTTTATTTAGGACGATGCCCACGCTTTTTTGAGGATTAATAGCCAAACCAATTCCCTCAAATGTCCTCTGAACGCTGCCGATCACTCTTTCTGCAGCCCCCTTGTCACGCGCTGACACGGCCTGGTCATCCGCGAAACCTGTGAGGACCACACAACCTTGGTCACTTTTTAACTTGTATCCAAATTTTTTGGAAAATTCTTCATCGCACAGGTCGCGATAGAGATGGTCAATGGCCAGGTTGAAGAGCGACGACGACAAGGGGCCGCCTTGGGGTACCCCGCGCAGCACTTTGATTTGGCTAGTTGCGTGAACACCGTTACTAATTTTGATTGTGTTCGTGCAGAGGAGAGCCGATATAACGTGTTGAAGATCCGGCGACACACCTCTTGCTTCCAAGGAGCTCACGATATGATTGTGGCCAACATTGTCAAAAGCACCGACAACGTCAAGGAATACCACCGCACAATCTTTTTTCATAATCTTTGCATCTTTCAATACAGCGTCGATAATCCTTGCGTTGACGTGCGTTCCCGGGAGGCCTTTTATAAAGCCTCTCTGATTCCTGTGGAAGGTGACCTGTTTTCTTAATTCGTGGTCCAGAACCTTCTCTATGATTCGGCGCACAATAGAATAAATGGTGATGGGTCTCCAGGAAGGGATTTTGTTTACATCACCTTTCCCCTTATATATTAGTATTGTGCGCCCTTGTCGAAGTGGTTCTGGGACATAGGCCACCTTCAGCATTATCTCCGCAATTGTTCTAATAATATTTGCAACATCAAAATATTTAATCGTGCGGATCAGAACTCCATCAGGCCCCGGCGATGTGTCCATTGATGTTGATTTAATGGCTTTCTTGACGGTTTCTACATCAATGGACACTAAATTTGGCATCGGGGCACACTGCTCGTAATCCGCACGCCTGCAGAGATTTTCGCTCTCTGCTAACAAAATAGGATAACACCACTACAAATAGACTGGAAGGAGTTGTAGAAAATAATGGCTTGTATACAACTTATTGAACTGAATTAATAGTATTTAAGATTTAATAAGAAGTGAGGTGTATCATTTTGACTAAGGTAAAATTATTGAGTTTCCATTTAAGTATTTTTTATATTTTTCTTCCGTATGGATCAATTTCACTATGAACCAGTTGCAACAGTTTCTACTACTTTCAAAAAACAGTTTCATAAAAACAGATATAACTATTTCAAAACTTGGAGAGTAAAAAAAGAAAGAAAAAAAGTAACTTGTCTTCTGTTACCTTTAAACTATTTTAAAAATATATCAATGTAATTTTTATCTCAAAAGTAATTATTGATTTAATCAATCTCGTATAATAACATATTTTAAAGATAATAAGTACATTTACTGATGAAAATAACGAGAAAATAGTAATTAGTTAAGAAAATGAGTTGATAAAGCTGTTCATTAAATAGAAACTACATAGCTATTTATAATTAGCATCAGTGCGATGGCTGTAGTTTCATTGAAACAGCTTTCAAAATAGTTTAAATAAAGTAGAGCTGTTTCTGTATCTGTTGCAGGAAGGTGTTTAAATTAAACAGGTTTCTGTATCTGTTTCAGAAAACTGTTTACGTACCTGTTTAAGGAAACAGGTTTCTGTATCTGTTTAAATTAAACAGCTTCTGTATCTGTTTCGGAAAGTTGTTTACATTAAACAGATTCAGTGTTTCCCTATTTTCCCATCGGTATCGCTGCCTCAACCTACTAAACCTAAAAGTGAGATGGCTTGGGCAAGTTAGTAAGCTCACTGCTGAGTTCATCGATGGCTTTGTTTTGCTAAGTTTGGAAATCTATTTAATGTCATCGATGAGTTCAGCGCTGATTGTAAGAATCTGCCTCTTTCTAATGGAAGGTAATCCTTATATCTGTTTAATCTCCAGTGAAACAGTTTACTGTATCTATTTAATGAAAGAAACTGCTTAAATTAAACAGATTGCTACTAAACACCCCACCCCTACCCTACACTGTATGTCAATATACATATAAAAGGCAGGAAGTTGCACAACTTTTTTTGTCAAAATTGACAAACCAGAAGTGACCGGGTGTTTCATCAATTTTATACACCTTAACTTTTAATAAGTTTCCTGAAAACAATTATTATTATACTTGTTATATCAATGTCAATTTAAGTAGTCTTTAAGACCACGTAGGTACTAACCTTTTTTGAAGTACTCTGACAGCGCTTACTTAAATGAGTAATTTTCAAAATTTCTTAGGTACTCTTAATTTTTTTTTAGTTTATATAATTAACTTTTTCATTGTTAGTATTCATTTAACAAAAATTTGATAAACAAACTATGAAGTAATTGATTAACAAGAAAAAGATAAATGGCTTTTCATGTTTAAAAGAAAGTCTATGACTTATAATTTCTAAAAACCTATAATTGCTGTTCTTCCGGAATATATAATAGTCTGCTGTACAGACCTATTTTATCAAATTATTAAAATCCATCTACAACTCCATGAATGGTTTCATCTTATTGTAACCTAAATTTTTATCAATGAAAATTCTTAGAAATAAATTAATTTAGTGAAGCAACATAAACTCATGAATACCCATTTGCTTTTCACTCGGATCATAAGATAATTTGATCACAAAATCAAGAAAATAAGTGACATACAAAAATATTGGGCAGTTTGGCAAACGTAACCTCCTTATTTTGACATGTTGGGGGTGGAGGTCACACCAAACAATATTTTTGTAGGCCAACTTTTCTCTCAATTTTATGATAAAATTATTTTACAATTGAAATGGAAAGCAAATGGACGATCGCGAATTTGAATACCTCATTAAAGTTGACTGAACTACAAATTGAAAACACCCCATTTCCAAGAATTATCATGAATAAAAAAAATTTAGATGACAATAAATGAAGCCATTCATGAAGTTATAGACAGGTGTTAATAATTTGATAAAGGGTCTATAGCAGGACCTCTGTTCTCCTATTATATCTTTGATATTGCTTCCTCAGATAATCATGGTCCATTATATTTCAGAAGCATGCGACTATCTGTCTGCCTAGATGTTAATAATTTGATAAAAAGGAGTCTGTATTGAGGACTATACTGGGTGCCTCGGTTGTTAATGGCCAATCTCTGGGGGGGAGAGAGGATTCTAAACAAAATTTCTAACAAAAAAGTTCATTTGATACATAGGCTGATTCGGAATGGAACGGAGTTAAAGACCAATTTTGTTTTTTTCTTAAGGTAGTCACAGTTTTTATTGAATGAGAAGGGATTGTTCAAAAACTGATCAAGATAATTAAATTCTAGGTTCACCATCGTAAAGTAGGCAAAATGTTTATGGGAAATCGGTGGTTAAATTTACTAAATTCAATAATAAAAGGGACTTTCAGGAGGTCTAACGTGGCTGCTATAATGCTCCAGCTAAAGTACACACACACAAGCTGCACATCTCTGTACAACAGCCATATTAGTAAATTTAATCAGTTTTCTAAAAAAATTTTGTCTAATTTACGATGGAGTCCTTAGAATTAAGTTATCTTGATCAGTTTTAGAGCAATTCCTTTATAATAAAAAACTAAAAAAAAAACGGTGACATTAAGAAAAACAAAAAATTGGTCTTAGCTCCTTTTCTGTTGGGAAACAGCCCATGCATCAAATGAAGTTGTTGTTAGAAATTTTGTCTAGAATCTAACCCCTTCCACTCCACATTGTTTGGCCAATACAAACTGAGAAACCGTGTATACATATTAAAATGGTAACTTTCCCCAAACTAGTCTCACTCAACAGAAATAAAACATATCACCAATGACTCTTTGTTAGTCACCTCCATCTACTTTTTTGATACACTTGTTTATTCTCAGAATTCCATTAACACTGTGACCATGAAATCGCCTCATGCCCACCCACTGAAGTGAAGCAACTCATATAAAGTGGGAACTAATTTAGAACATAAAAATATGTTGAGAAAAGGGGCACAACACTTAAACTCATCATTATCCTACAATGATTTGCAGTAAAAAATTTAAGTATTTTTATCATTTAATAATTGTTGCTACTTCAATGCTAAGCAAAAAAATTCTAATAATTTGTAAATATTTTATAGGAAAAAAAAGACTAATTACCATTCCATAGCAGGTTCAACTCCTTGGTTTCCTGTCACTTGAAGAGCTCTTTCCCTGAATATACAAGAAATGAAGTAAAATTTTATCGTTTATAACATTAATAACCATTTGGACAACATATATTAGAAAATTCAATAAAACTAGAATATATATTAAATCAAACTTACGCTTGTTCTTTAGAGAACCCCATATCCATTAAAACTGTCGCAAAGTCGGAAGACATTATGAAAAATATTAACTAAACGTTTATAGAGTAAAATCTGACGTAATTATCAGTGTTTTTCAGTTGAAATAATCTAGCATTAACCACAATAACAAACGATACAAAACACATTAGTAATTGTTAAGCGCCATAACCTTCCAAATAGGTAGTGGTAAACTGATAAAAGAGGTATAAGTTAATAATGATATTCCTCAGGTTTTAATAATAAAACATAAAACTTAGAAAGCGGATTCAGAATTATAACTTTAAATTAAATAGATTACATTGAAAGTTAATAAAATTAATTATCACGGAATAATATTTAAAAATGTATAGATATAATCAAAAGTTGTGATAAAGTTCTGAAAATTAAAAATTAGAAATAAATGATTCTAATAATGACAACGAACGAGAGATTTTAAGAAGATCTGATGCTATTCTTATAAAAGATAAGATACTCCCCATATAGCAGTCCGAAAAATTATGCTATTATATTTGACCACTTCCTAACCAGTGCTAATTCCATCGATAGAAACTACCAATGGATTAAACCCAGCACTGGTGGATGACGATTTATGTTGAGTTTAGGAGCAGCCTGCTGGATTCCAGCTGAAAGTTAACACTCCTCGAAGGTAAAAACATTAAAAATATAAGGAAATGCCAACCCAATGAATTGGTGAATTTCAAAACCGAAATAAACATACATAGAAATTAAGAGCTGAATATAAATTGTAAAGTACATAAATAACCACTCAGAGGTTATAATGTAGTTTCCGAACAAGAAATGCAAAGAGGCGGGTGAGAAGGAGCCCGTTAAGTTTTATTATTTACCTTACATGTACAAAATATTAAATTTCAGCGTGACGCCTCACTAATAATAAGACAAGTTGAAAAGTGATATGATTTTAGCCCTTAATGTATTCGATCGTATCGGAAGAACCCTTTAGGGCCTCATACAACCATCAATAATGACCATTTACATATAAAAAAGTTGGTATCCTAGGTACGCGTCCCCCGCTTTGACTTGAGTCTCTCCCAGAGGCAAAGAAGGAGGTAGGCAGCAGATTGAACTGTGTAGTATCAGCAGCTTTAATAGTGATGGTTTAGCGGATCTACCAGCGAATTTATGAGAGAATGAGTGAAGACCCAAGAAAATTTAAGAGGGTCCTCTGTTATTATTCTGATGGGACTGAAACGGAAAGAGAGAAATCGATATTATGGTTTGTTATTCTTTATTTCAGTCAAATACTGTAATAATAATAGTTAAATATATTTCCTAATTAGAATAAACGAATATTTATATCTATTTAGAGAAACAAAACAAAATTGTAATACATTTTGTGATTAATTTATTTTTATAGATCTTCTGAGTATTTCTTTTAATAGTTATTATAAATTGTCAAATGATTGTGAGGTTACATCACACTTGAGTTATAACTATGTACTACTTCTATGTGATCTTCAATAAAGTTGTTATTGTCAGGGGTTCCCAGAAGGGGGTTTCATGGCGCAAGTTGCGCCATTTAAGTTTTTGAGGGGGGGGGGCACATTTTGACGAGATTTACAACTTCTGACGGAGCTATAAATTTTCAGAGTGAAAACTTCAAAATAGAGAACTAGATAGAAAACATGAGACAGACACAACTAGTGCAATTGTTTATGATCTGCGATTTATACTTTCGCTTGCACTGTTTTTAAGAACAAGAGGGTAACGCAATTTTTGGTGAGGAAGGAGGGGTGATTTATGCGCAATCGACCTAGGGGGCGAGGATGATGGATACCCCTGGTTATTGTGTTCATGTGTTGTTGCATTGTTTTACAAATCTCTGTCCCGTTGTGACCAGTAGAATTACAACAAACTGGCGATGAGGTAAAGTGTTCAAAGAAAAGAAGATGAATAAATAATCAATTCAATAATCGGCGAGTCTTATTCAATTTTCAATACTTGTTGAAGTGTTACTCAATATTTCGGTTCAATATATATAAAACTATTATTCAAAATTCGATTAATTCAAATAAAATTGATGCCACGCATTTCTCCAAGCTACTGGCTGTTTTCAGTGTAAGAAGAAACTAATTGAAAGTCTTGGAATCCTTACTGATGGAGCCGCACCTTATCCTCTGCCCTGAATCAGATTTGCTCAAATGGTAAAAATGAAAAATAAAATGTTTACTGCATATTAACATCAATGGAATTTAAAAATAAAATTAATATTAAAATATCATTTGATTATTATTGTATTTCATTTCCCCGTCTTCTTCACCGTCTGCATCCTCCCCCCTCCCCCAAAGCCAGTTCCTCTCTTTACTCCTATAGCAACGAATTTGTATCGAAAAAAGTAATTTCGAAACAGTTAGTGACATAAAATATTGCCATTTTGTTTTTTAAAACATGTTTAAGGGGTAGGCTTTTTGCTTAGGTGTACTCTCCTCTTCTCCCAACTAAAAAAGTATCTCCCAAACATTCACAGTCCTCCGCTGTAACAAACAGGGTGACCGGGAATTTTGTATCGTCCAGAGCTTCTCAAGATCTGTATATATGGTATAATATTTTCAATATAGCTCTTACACTTGTAATTGTATTGACCCTATTTCAGTAAAATATATATATATATATTAATTAGTTTGATTTATGACAATATTGTCCATACTCAGTCAATATATTGACGAAAGTCAATATTGTTTCAATAATATTGACCGTGTAAAGAACGCTGACGGTAGAAGATATCTGTTCACTTTATTAGTACTTGACGAAATTAGAGATCATATGTCCCTGGAGATCTTGCTTTTCCAAATTTGTCAAAGATTCAAATAATCCGTATTTTAATATAAATAATCTGGCTACACTATGCCGCCAATACTGAAGTATCTTTCTGAGTTAATCATATTCTGATTAAAGTTTTGTGGTTTCACTGCTCTGTTAATCAAGTTTTAATTTATTTCGTGTTTTAAAATTACTTCTACAAGAAGTAATGAGCCTTTCAGTTGAAACTCTATCTTGTGTTTATTTTGTGAAACTTGTGTTTAAGTTGTATGACACTCAGTCTGACTAATTCCAATTCCAACATGTTTGAGTATAGTCATTTTAGTGATATTTCTAGTTGGAAAATTTATAATATCCGTACAGACAGTGAGTAAGTTGGTTCCAGATTGCCTAACTGTTTGCTGGTTGAAATGTAGAACTGTGAATAAAGGTATAAATTTTCCCACCAGAAGTATCACTAAAACTAATAATCAAAATTGTTGGGATTGAAGTTAGTCATTCTGTCAACTGAAAGGCTCAAATGATAAGATTTAATTTTTATTTCACCTGCGTCTTTATTTATACCTGCGCTACGTAATTATTCATAAACTAGACGCAAATATATCGACAACTGGCGAAGCTGAAAGACGTTAGTGCATAAACCACGCGCTTTGAAGAGGAAACTCTTGAAGCTTAATATTGATTTTTGCTACACGTTGTGTTTTAATCGCTCTTATAGAGTGACATAAAATATTGCCATTTTTTTTTTTAAATGTTAAAGGGATAGAGTTTTTTGCTTAGGTGTACCCTGCAATCCCATCAAACATCCATTATACATACTACAAATTCAACTCTGGAATATTTGTAGATCATCAAAAGTGGGACAGCTGTCATATTCCATCGTTCATCTTTGATGTACAGTTCCGAAGAAGCAAAAACCAACTTATCACTTTAGATGATTCTTCCTATATATCATTGAAATTGAAATTGGAAGTGTAAATGAACCTTGGATTGTAAGAAATTACAGCAATCTCATAAGTAACAGAACATAACTATTAATGCTCAATCATCAAGTTAATCACTTTGCCTGTGATCATTTATCGCTTGGAGATCTTTTGTCAAAAAAGAAAGATTTTGCGAAGTTTTTCGGAGGTAGAAATTTACAGGAGTTTTTATAATTATTATTGCGAGGTTAAAAAATAAATGCAGGAAACCAAATAAATAAAATTAGCTCTACAACTGTTCCCGCCATTCTGAGTATTTGAAATCGATAAGGTTATAGCTATCATTCTGCAGTTCTAAAATTCTAAAATTTTAAATGTTAAATCTTAGTTGTCTGTATTAGATTTAAACTAAGATGTGGGGAGACAAGGCATTATCTCTAATAAAGGAACTAGAACGATCTCAGGACACAATTCCACCATTTGATGTAAGTTAACAGGCCGGAGATAATTTATAATAAAAATGACTGTAGGAAATAAAAATATTTTTTTTTTATAGGATGATACTGTCAGGTTAATAATTGAAGAAATGAAAATCTTAAACCAGTTCATCGAAACTGCTATGTAAAGGCATATGATAAAATTAGACGATTTACTATCAATTTTGTATGGACATAACACCACTTTCCTACTACTCTTATTATTATTTTTAGGACTTCAGCTTTTGATCCAGTTAGAAACAATTATATAGCTGGAGTTAGAGCTAGACAAGCAGCTCTTGATAGAAATAAAAGATGTCTTTTAGCTTATCAGTAAGTGATTCATTGATTATAATTTTAATTCAGATTTTGAAAATTGTATTAATTGTATTCTTTATTTAGATGGAACCGTTTGCAGAAACTAAGACAGATGAGGTGGGAGTTTGGCAGTGTATTACCTCCAGACTTGAAAACTCATCTTAGTGAAGGAGAGGTACTTAATTAAACATTTCATGTTTGGTTTATTGTTTGAAGTCATGTGTTTTAAGTATGAAAACAATATAAGGAAGCCATCTTATTTTCATTATGACTGTAATTTAAAAGAAAATTCAAGATTAATTTTTTATGATTTATTTATTTATTTTTTTTAATTGCAATTACACGAATAAGATAAATGGAAGTGACACCAGTTATATAAATGTATGTCAAGTATACATGTATTTGTAATCAGATATTAGATAATCCAAGTTAAAGTGTAGCTAATTTTCTCATAAATACATTGTAAAATGAATTTAATATATATTTCAGTGGATGATACATTAATGTTTTAATTCCAGGCAACAACAATTATTGATAATATCTAGTGAGGTTTATGAATTCGAAAATGGATAAATGTGAATCTGAAACCTCAAAAAAAAAAAAAAGATTATATAAGTATGATGGTTACGTTTTTAAAAATTCTTAACTCAATAAAAATATAATGATATGGCTGTCACTGTATATTTCTTGTACTGTCTATAATATACTTTCAAATAAAAAATAGAAGAACACATTCTATTCATTCATTTATTCATTTGGTTGATGTCCTTGTGTAATTGAAGACTTCTGCATATTTACTTATTACTGTTATGTAGGCTATATGGTTCAACAAATATAACAAGTGTTTGACATCATATATGAAGTCTATCGGTGGAAAGAATGGTTTAAATTTGCTTCAGGACTCTAAACCTCCTAAAGAACTATTCATTGAGGTATTTTTAATATTATTACTTCCTAATGTATCAGATTTTCTTGTCTAATTTCTTTTTGGGACCAGCATTTTTATATTGTTTTACTAAGCTCAAAGAATAAGAATTATCTCTTTTGTTATTTAATGCCTAGCAAATCTGATATTTTTTTTTTTTTTGTCAATATATCTATAAGAATTATGAACAATAAATATTTCTATTTGTTGATGTTTTATAATCTCTTTAAAAACACTATTTAAGATTTATCTTTTTTTTAAGGTGCGATGTCTCACTAACTATGGTAAAATTGAATTGGAAAATGGAGATGTTATAATGTTAAATAAAAATAGCCAGCATTATATGCCTAGATCACAGTGTGAAACACTCATTAGACAAGGGGTTTTAGAACAGATATTGTAGAAAATAGATGCGATGGGAATCGTATCACTGGGATTATGCTTGTGTCTGTATAATGAAAAAATTTATGGTTTAAAATTTTAGATTGTGCTTGCTGTATCAGTAAGAAGTTATTTGTAATAACATCAAGATATATATTTTCATCAATTTTATTTTATTTTTTTAATGTATAAATTTGTTTGTAAATAAATATTTAAATTAGCATGAATTATTTTTGGTCCTGATAAAATATTGAAATATTTCCGGAATTAATATTAAAATTATTTCTTAATTACCTATACTAAGCTAATTTTTAATAACTTTATGGCAGCATGTTGAATGTTTAGAGAGAGGAATTATTAATTCAAAGGCTGGTTACACAATTTTTGTGAGAGCTTAAGAAATACAGTTGAATATTTTTATTGTACCAAGATTTCTCTTCACAGCTCGTGTTCAGTACCATAAGAAACTTATATATCAGCGATTTATTGGAAAAAATCATGTAGTAGCATTTCATAACCTTCAATAACTAAGAATTTTGATTTGATTCAAACAATTTTTCCTTTGTAAAGTCATAGAATTTTGCACTTGTAACTTTATTTGATATATAAATGGGATAGTGTCATTCTAGTATAATTACTGGTTTTTTTTTTTAATCTATAAATAAGGTTGAAATCCACAAAAATGTTCTTAAAAGTTCAGCTCCATCTAAAATGTACTTGGTGACATTTTGCAATAAACTAATGATGTACACTTTTTCATCTACTCTGAAAAGAATTGTGCAAATGTTTTCTCTTTGGCCATTGTTTGCTCAACTATTTCAACTATTCATTTTAATAAAAGATTGTTTCATGTTCATATTTATTTTATTTAAAATTGTTATGCTTTAGATCAGAGAGAAACCATCAATATGTCCCTATAGGGGTTCTAAGAGTTTCTCATATGTAAGCCTGTCACAACTTTGCTAACCTATGCACAATACATAATGTCTTCATTCAAATTATAAATGCTTGTTTTTAAAAATGTTTATACTGAGATATTAATTTTTTTAAACTTTGACAAACATGCCGAGTTCAAAATATTGTTTCATACATGAAAAAGAACTTGATTTTTTTAAAGATAAAATTAAGAATAAAAAATTAGATAACCTACTAGCAGGCTGCGTTCCAGTTCTGGAACCACTGGAGTACCTCCATTAAGTTAAAGAAAAAAAAAATTAATACTCTTTTACAAGTAACAAAACCTGAAACTAATCAGTTCTTTAATGTTTCCTTCTCAATTTCTTTACCTGCCAAACTTAATTTTTCTCCAAAGCAGCCTCGAAATATTATTGTCCAAGTTCACCTGAATAAAATTTTATGTAAAAATTAAAATTTCTTAAAACATTTTCAAACCTTTATAGCACTTACATTTCACCACAGACTTTGTTTTTTATTTTTGTAATGTTTTGCTTTGAATTTACATCACATAATATAAATGTAATATGGACTAAAGATTGGTATTTTACAGTCAGAGTATTATGAAAAATAATAATTTATTAGCTATTTAAATATTTCCAAATAAATCTCTATGAATAATTTTAAGGCTTTGTAAACCATTTTCAAATTCCAGTTCTACAATATCAAAATACATCTCTAGTATACAATAAAAACGGTTCATGATAAAACTTGTAAAAATAATTCTTCAAACGTGCAAGTTTGATCGCCCATTATTGAAACAGTTGCTTACACTTAACTGTATCTGTTTTAATTTATAATTTATATATTTTTGAAATATTTTTCTAATGAATTCAGGATGTCTTTTGAAGGCATGTGATTTGCATAAATCTTCAAACTCTTCTGAACTGTATTGTAACTAGTCTGTAGATCGCCAGCCTAAAACAACACTTTTTCTGTTAAGATTAAGATAGAATAATACTAAGTAAAATTATATTTGTTTTATATTACTTACATTTTTAGACAGTAAAGAATGATTGTAAAATGGTTCAAATAAATATGAACCCAAATTTTGGGATGCTGTAAAATATCCATAAGCATCACGTGTTTGTCCTTTCTTATTCAATAACACTCCTAAGTTGTTATAAGCTGCAGCATGATTTGAATCAATTGATATACAAAGTCTCAAACACTGGATTGCCACCATCAAGTCTCCTACACCCTTTTAATAAAGGGTATTCATATTTTATATGTGTATTTTATCTTTTTTTATTTATTTCTGTTTTAGAAAATTAATAATTACCTACAATGGCTACATGGGCAATATTATACCATACATCCGCTGCTGCCTCATCAATCGCTAAACTCAATGCTCTTTCAAAACAGTTTACGACCATGTCATAGTGTTGTGCGTAGTAGCAACATAGCCCAATATTATTAAAAAGTTCAGCATTATATAGGCCCATCTGAAGCAGTCTCCTGAAGCAAATTAGTTTTTATTGAATAGATTTCTCTTAAATGAAGGTTGATTGAGCATTTTGCAAAAGTATTTTTATATATTTTACATACCTGTAGAAACACAAAGCAACTTCTGGTTGGTCACTATAAAAGTAGTTGACAGCAATACATGCAATTGCTTCAACATTCATAGCTTCTTCAGACAATATTTCACGATAATATTTGACTGAGGTTGGCATGTTGTTAAGAGCCTCTAATATTCTGAAATTATATATATATATATATATATATATATATATATATATATATATATATATATATATATATATATATTTATCAACTATTTGTTTACTGTAATTTATTTATATTTTATAATTTCTAACCTTGCGATTTCAGTCTGAAGAGTAACTTCATTTGGAAAAATTTTCAAAGCTGCTGTACAAACCTCTAAAACATTTAACGGCTGGTCTAACTTAGTGTAAATAGAGCTTAAACGGAGGAATGCATCAACAGTTGGTACTTGTTTTAGAGCAGATCTGAATTGTTGTTCAGCATCACGGACTAAACCCAAAAGAGCATAGCATTTTCCTAGAGCAACCTTCCACCACCAGTCCTTAAACTGAGCTGCTTTAGTTGCTTCTACTGCTAAATCCAATGCCTAAAATAAAGTTGCAATTAATAATAATAGCATAAACAAATACATTATACATGAGACGATCATTGTTAAGTTATCATTGAAAATTACAAAGACCTTAGCTTCTAAAATAGCAGTTAATATCTGAGGGATCAATGTTTAGGATTATAAGCATCATTAGGAATGAATATCACAAAATCATATCAATATTAACTAGTGAAAGTGTATTGTACTTCACAAACTTAATACAGATTCACTAAATAGTAATATAATATATATAATCTGTCTCAGGTGATTTTGTGAATTTCAGATTTGATTCATAAATTGGTGAAACATTGGTTAGTCATATATTTGTTTAGAATCATAATAATTGTAATGAAAATGTTATATACTGGTTTTATTTCATACTTACATTTCTTACATCATTTTCATGATAAAAAATATACAAAAACAAAGGTTTGGCAATGCCCTCCAAGCTTGCATACTTTGACATATTCAACCTGCTCACCTGAAAATAATTTTCATAAATTAATATTCCTAAGTAGCATCTGTTGAAAATTATGATTGAAAACTTTAAAACCTACTTGTATGAAAGGACCATCAGGTTGTGTCATCATTGATGCTGTTCCCAGCCTGAGTGTTCGAGCAGCATGAGTTGTGACTGGTCTCGCTGATCTTGCTGTGCGGGGAGTTTTTAATGCATTTTCTAAAGAAGTTCCAAGACCTGATTGTGTAGCTGGTCGCACCATTCCACTAACAGCTCTTCCTGTGTTCCCTCGGGGCCTACATATATTAATTGAAATCATTGATAGTCTATAAAAATTGTTATTCATTTTAATATTTATGCTTACCTCAAACCAGCAGCTGTTGCTGCTGGTGCTGTACGCAAAGATGTTCCTGGTCTAGCAGCTTGTGCAATAGTTTCTGTATCCAATAGTGAATCAGCTATTCCTTCCTCCTCAGCTTCAATATCATCAACCATAATTTGTGCTGTCAAAGCTTTCATTTTTAATGTCCAAGCAGCCTATTTTGTTTAAATAGAAGAATGTAAATATGGATGGTTACTGCTAATTCATGTTATTATAACATTCAAGAAGTTATTTTGGTGGTATGGTGAACGAAAAAAGCACGCAGATAAGTAAACTTATTTTTAAAGGGGATATTTCAGCCAAAATGGGCTTTCATTAGGGCTAAGTCTACAAAGATGAAAATCATGGAAGTATACAACAATAAAAATTATTATTACATATAAATCATGAAAATTTAATAATGAGACATGAAAGAAGGAATAAGATATGAAAGACATAATAGAATACATTACCATAAAAATATGAAAACTATGTAAGCCAAAATATAATATATAGTAAAATAACAATAATATAAAAAAAATAAGATATGAAACTTCTTGAATTACATTTGTCAAAAAAAAATTCCATCAGTAGTTTAAAAGGTGTTACCTGGTCATAAGGATTTTTATCTAAGAGTTCTGTACATAGTAATGCAGATTTTTCAAATTTCCTTTTACGATAAAAGCTAAGAGCTTCATAGAATGTATCCATTTCTCTACTTGATAATTTAAAGAAATAGAACTTTTATCTAACTGAGATAAACAAAAATTATTGGATATTGCTGAACCAGGTCAGCATTTGTTTGTATACTGTTGTTACCATTGTTACCAGAGAGCTTGATTCATTGCCATTTTATATAGTTTTATTATAATAATGCTTATGGTTTAAAGGACATTTTCGTAAATTATTAATGTTTTAAGAATATCTGCTGATTTAATAAATTAATATTTACCTTTATTTAACAGTTTCTGGTTAATGAATATTTTATGTTATAAATAATGGAATGGGAAAATATCTATTAAAATAATGAATAAAATTACACAAAATATGAAAAATATGGTTGAAAGATTATATTTTTTATTCATGAGCAATTAATATTAAATCAAATGCCTTTCTTTCTAAACATAAGAAAAACAATGCTATAACATTGAACTGGAAGGAGGAAGCATAATTGATGGAGTTTTTTAATTTTTATATATTTTTTAGCACTTTTATTTATTAATCCGCATCTGTCAATTACAACCATCGACAATCAGCAGATGAGCTGGCACAATCATAAGATTAAATAAATAAAAAAGTCTAATTGATGGAGTTAATCTTCAAATTCATAAATCATATATAATTTCCAATTATTCTATTCCTAATCAATGCAAAGATTCGATTATGTCTTGTGTAATATCACTATTCAAGCTTCATATGTTTGCTTATTAGCAATTGTACAATTAACATTTTGTTCTTCAGTAATGACTCCCTGAAATGTAGTTCCTTCAATTTGAATTTTTATTCAATAAAAAAAAAAGAAAAAAAGAAATGAAACAATAAAAGTTTTATTGAGAATATAAAATCAAATTCAACTTGCGATTAAGAAAATTAAAGTCTCTAAAAAGATATTAAATCTATCAGAAATTAAATAATTTGCAATCATTAGATTTAAAAATTCAAAGATGAACTTCAATTCTACTTCCTGCTTCCGGTTCAGGGTTATAACGTAATTTTTTTTATCTTTGGAAAGAAACATATTTGATCGCTTATGAAAAATAAATATTCATATTAAAATCTAAAGTGTACAAAACTCGTATACACTTATAAAGGATTATTAATAACATTTAATGATTTAACAATTCTTTGAAACTCGAATTTTCGTATTAATCAGCTGTAAGCCATGCTCGTTTGTTGTCAAAACAGAAAGAGAAGGTTATTTTATGTGATAGTATATAAATACCGGGGACCTCTTTCACTTTTGGTTTTAAGTACATCGAATATTATTTAAGTTCAACCCCTACGATGTCACATCAACAGCGTTTTCAAAATGATTTTATGAAACTCGTAGAGCTGTCTAAAAATGACATATCTTTAATTACGGTAGAAGCAACAGTAATTACAGGATTTGAGAACTTGGCAATGGAGGAATGTCAAGAAAAATGTAAACCAATTAATATTAGTCGTGCCAAGGGCCGCATATACTTTAATATTCCTGTAGATAGCTTTTATAATGTAAGATTATTTATCTCAATATAGTTATTACTTTCTTTGCTGAATTTACTACAGGCTTGGTTTGTATTTACTCTAGGTATTGAAGTTGAGATCTGTTGATAATGTTTTCTTAATCAACGAAGCTTTAGGTAAAATTGACCTTCATAAAGATAAGGTATGATATTAGTGTTTTCATTGTAAGTATAATGGTAGTTGGTAGTAAGTAAAAATGATTGGTTTATTGTGAAAAGTCATGAATTAGGATCAAAATTAATTAAATCACTAAATTGATCATTTCTATTTTTTGTGAAATTAAAACATTGTGTACTTAATGACAATATTTTTAACATAAACAAGGATAATGATCATTTGTTGTAGTTGATGGGCTTTTTAATAGATAAATATGACTGCAATTCTTGAGTATTTACTTAAAAGTTTCATGAAAAGTGCACATAATGACTTTTTGCAATAAACCGAAGATTTAGAAGATAAATAAAAAAAAAACCTTTATTTTTACTATTTTGATGAATGATGATGAAAATAGTTTAATTTTTAGTTTTGGATGAACTGAAAGCTAGTTCTTTAAATTAACTTTATTTGGTTTTGCAGGAGAAAGACTTACGATTGGTTCAGAGTATAGTAGATAAAGTTGATTGGAATAGAACCCTTACCACATGGGCTAATCTTACTGAGTTTAGAGGTATTCTTTTCCCTCCTACTGAAGCTTCAAGCAATCTCTTAGAAGATTTTTCGAACTTGGATTTGGATAACGAAAATGATAATTGTCCTAGATCAAATAATGGCATTACAATTAATATCAATTCAGAAAGTAGTCTGGAAAATGATGCACCACTTAGTGCTCATGTACAAAAGGATTCTAGCATTAAACCTCAGTATGATTTAAGTGACACACCAATAGTTGATGTTCAATTATGTGGTGGAGATACTGAACAAGCAGTAATAAATGCAGGATTACCAAAACGTAAGAATTCCACTTCAAGTGATGACAGTTTCTATTCAATGGAAGAGGTTGAATGTTCACCTGATAGCTGTGTAGAAAAAAATAAAGTTATTCAAGAGAAAATATTAACCAACAGTACTATAGATGCTGTGCAATATGTTCTTAACAAAGTATTTAAGTTAATTTCAGCATCTTATACGAAAACTTATCTTATATTTATAATTTATAAAAAAAATAAAATGTTTTCAGGATGCTCACAAGAAAGTTAACCTTAAGAAAGAAAGCATTGATCCCAATATTTTGAAATTCAGAGCCACCTGTAATAGAACAGGCGAACATAGTTTTTCATCTATGGAGGCTGCTGCTGTATTTGGTGGGGCATTGCAAGATAAGTTCAATTGGACTGTCAATCTTGATAACTTTAACTTAAATGTGATCCTCAATATAAATTCAGGTAAAAAACTTGAACTTGTACTTAGAACATTATTGTGATATTGACCTTCCTTTATAATTTATGAATTTAAATGGAATATTCTGTGGTTGTTCTGAGAGTGTGGCCATGTTTACTTAATATTAATGTTTTGGACATTGCTCATATTCACAAATCAATGGAAACATTATTATTAAGATTGAACTTTTTTTTTTGTATAGACTATACTTATTTTTGCCTTCTAAATTGAGTACATAAGTCAGGAATTTTCATCTTGATGAAAAACTGTATGTTTTAATTATCATCTCAAATTCATAAACACAGTCACAGTTTCAATATTCACACCAGATCTTAAAATTTTCTTTTCTTTGAAACTCCTCTTGAACAATATTTTTTATGGATCCCATTCTAGCCTTATGCACTCTATGTTGTGTTAGTAACTAGTCATGTCAGTAATAAATGATGAAATCTTTACCATTTTCAATTTTTATTATAAGAGTTTTTTGAACTAAAGCATAAAGTTGGGGATATCAAGTTTTGTTGCCGTAAAGCAAGTCCAGGAGTCTGTGGATACCAATTTAAGAACATATGCTGTAGTCCATTATAAAATACTGAATAATAATATTACCCATTCTATTGGTTATATAAAAATTTATACTATAATAATAGATTCTGAATATTAAAAACAATATTACTATTGAAGAGTACTTTAAAACTTTGTGGTAAATCTAATTAAAATTTCTAGCTCAGGTAGAGTCCATCTGAGATAAATTTGGCGGTGGGAAAAGGGGGAGAGAGGTGTGCAGTGGCAAAACGTTTTTCCGCCGATCCCTAACTCTTTTGTCTTCACTCATTCGTACCTACTTCTACAATTTTTTTTTACAAGGTGAAATTTCTTTCATTTTGTTTTTCATTCTCCTACGAAATTAGTATTATAAAGAAAATCAAAGATTGAAAAACGTGTTCCCGGTATGAAGAGATTGCTAGGGTGAGGAAGGGAGATAGAGCTTGATAGGGAAAAGACTTCACAAGTTCCCTTCCACTACAGGCAATGTTATCTTTGCCATAAGGGGCTTAACTATACATAAGGGGCTTCCGGGGGCGGGGTGGCCGAATAGGCTAAAGTGTGTGTAACAGCACCGCTAGTTGCCTGGCAACGGGATAACAGAGATTTGAGATGATATAAAAAGTACGAGTTCGCGTCCCTGTGCCGGAGGGGATTTTAAATTCCCCGCCCTCACCCCCCGGCCCGGGAAAGTCCCGTATAGCCTAAAAGGCGAGGTAGGGAAGAACAAAAAAAAAAAAAAAAAAAAAAAAACATAAGGGGCTTCCTACATTCATGTGCCTTACTTTATATTAAGGAAAGAATACCTTCTATTCTTTCTCTCTCTTTTTTTTTTTAATTTTGATTAATATTTGTTGATTAAATATAGATGATACTCTGTGGATATTCTCCAATTATATACAAACATTTAATATTCTCTGATTATTTAAAATAAAAGATGCTAATTTTCTTTTAAATTTTATAAATCATAAAATAAACTTTCGATGAAGGGTGTTCAAGGTTAAGAAAACAAATTGTAAATACTCATAAATCCTTCCCTACTGATCACATTCAACAATCAACTTTCTCAATCTATTTTATTATTTAGGAAATCGGTATGAAGAGTAAATGAACATTGTAAGTATATATCAAATTGTAAAATCACTATCATTATATGTCCAAAACACCTGTTGTTTTCTATTACAAACTTATTATTTAAGAAAGTTAAATGATGCTGGTTCTTGCCGAAGATAAATTATGGTAAACATCATTGAGTTGATCATTAAAGTTGAGAATTTGTTTCTAGTTTCTGTAAATTTATAGTCATTTTAAGATTAGCTCTAGTTTTTGTGCCTTTTATCCCAATTCACAGATTTGAAATTAAATTAAAAAAACACTTTTATTTCACATTAGGGCATAGAATATTTATGCAACAGGAATTCACCTCCAAGGCATACTTTATCAGAAAAAGTAAAATTTAACAAAAAAGTGACCATACAATGATTGTGTTTTTAACGATGGATATCATGTAAATTATAAATTTTATTTTATTTTTAATTATGATTTTGGTTCTGTTATGCTTTTTCAATATCTATAGATAAATGCTACATTTGTTCTGCTATTACTCCTAAATCGCTTCATAGAAGAAATATTACTCATTTCGGTTATACAACCTTGAGATCAACGATGTGCTATAACATGATTCGGCTTGCTCAACCTACTAAAGGAGAAATATTAATTGATCCTCTTTGTGGAGGAGGGTCGATATCCATCGAGGTATGTAATCTTAATAACAATAAATTGTTTTTCATAGAATTCTGTCTGTTTAAAACTTATCCATTAATGCTATTGTATCTATCTATGCTGTTACAAAATTTATTGAAAAACATTTATAATTTTGTCTGGATCCATATTGACTATTTCGTATAGTGTAGAAGTAATAATCTGAATAAGAACGCTGTGCACCAAAATCTGCCTATTTCATGCAATAAACAATTATGTAAATGAGATTATCCCCATGTATTAAAAAATTATTAAGAATTTATGGAATGTAGTTATAACTGTATAATAATGGTGGAGGGATGTTGAATGAAAAATAGTTGAGAGCTATTAATAATACACTGGTATTAGCTCTAAGATATTAAAGTGGAACATAGAAATGTAGGTGTAATAATGATATTAGATATGTTTTTTTGCCAAACTCCCAATTTGAATTATATACTATGAGGTATATTAGGTAAGAGTTTTAGCTTTTTCCTGAAATAAGATTTCATTTTGAAGTTGCTTTTTCTGGTTGTCTTAACTTGAGAGTATTTCAAAAGGCATTATGGCATGTCTTTTTCCTGAACTAATATTCTACTATATACATTTGTGAACATTATATTATGTTCTCATGGCGTATTCAGCCAACGCACTGGAGCACAGTTGAGCTAAGGAAAGCTGAGTGGAGTCTAGGGGTTCAGCAACCGATTGTGTCGTGGATCTCAGCTTAGTCAGCAACTTCTCGTATTTCATATACCATTATTGAAAAATTTCAAAGTTGGTCATGTCGCAGTTGAAAAGAAAAATTGAATATTTGTGCCTTATTTCGGAATCTGGTGATTCAGACATCGAATGTACTTATATGATAGCATGTTTTTCCATCGCACGTTTAATACTAAACCGAAATAAAATAATTTGAGAGGCTTCTTTGTGAGAACAAGCGGAAAGAAAGAATGACACTGAGGAACAAAGCCACACGGTTGTGAGGCAGTGATGGGAAAAGCAGAGTGTAGTTTCAAAAATCGTACCATGGTCGAGTCATCATAGCAGAGTGGACTTGACTCTTGTGATGCCACTCAACTCTACTCAGCTCCAGTGGCCGCTCTTCAATTAAAAACTTTCAATTCAGTTTTGGAAGTTGACTCAACTCCGCTTTTGGTGGCCGATCGCGCTTAGAGTTAAGAATAATGGGTTAGGAGATACACTTTTTTTTCTGATCTTTCATAATTTTATTTTAATATTAATAATAATAATATTAAATATGTAAGTATAATATATATATATATATATATATATATATATATATATATATATATATATGCTGTTAAATTATTTTCTTCTTGTGATAAAGAAAATTCTGTATCTGTCCAAAGAATTTTCATATCTCCTGCTATAAGGCAGTGCTAGTACAAAGCTTGTCAATATATATATGCACACTTTGCTTGTGCTTGTGCATATATATATATATATATGCACAAGCACAAGCATATATATATATATATATATATATATATATATATATATATATATATATATGCTGTTAAATTATTTTCTTCTTGTGATAAAGAAAATTCTGTATCTGTCCAAAGAATTTTCATATCTCCTGCTATAAGGCAGTGCAAGTACAAAGCTTGTCAATATATATATGCACACTTTGCTTGTGCTTGTGCATATATATATATATATATATATATACAATGTGCTTGTGCTTGTATATATATATATGCACAAGCACAAGCATATATATATATATATATATATTATACTTACATATTTAATATTATTATTATTAATATTATTTAATATTAAAATAAAATTATGAAAGATCAGAAAAAAAAGTGTATCAAGTGTGCAAGCAAAGTGTGCATATATATATTGACAAGCTTTGTACTTGCACTGCCTTATAGCAGGAGATATGAAAATTCTTTGGACAGATACAGAATTTTCTTTATCACAAGAAGAAAATAATTTAACAGCATAATTATAATTACTTTCACTAATTTCTTTGCTTTTGTTTACATGTTTTTACTATGCATTAAGTAATATATTTCTTACTAGTCTAGTTTTCTGTTAGAAAAAAAAATAATTGAAATTTATTTATGAAAAAATAAACTTCTTAACCAATAGCATAGATTTTGCAAGGTGATATGGACAGAATCACACTCATTCCCCAGGGTTTTTTTCCAACCTTTTAAAGGGTCAGGTATCCAATGTATAGAAGCGATGTTCCTTAAGGAGGAGGGTCAACCACATTCATGGCTATTTTAACAAAGTAAATGCATTACCAGCATCAGTCTAATTCAAAATCGACTCCAGAAGTCCATCGTCTTATCCTTTGAGCTACCTCACTCCCAACAAAATATCAACAATAATTAATTATTTATAAAATAAAATTTTACATATTTATTCAGTATAAATTTCTTTTCTTAAAATATTTCTATTACCACTGATATTATTTTGTTTAGGGAGCATTGGGTTTCAAAAATACTTATCATTTGTGTGGGGACAATAATGATAAAGCTATCAAGAGGACGATTGCCAATACTAACCATATCACTAAGAACCAGCAGCAATCCCTTCTTGTTGATCCCCTCAAATGGAGCGCCAAGACCCTGCCATTGAGGGACCAATGTGTCGACGTATTTGTTACTGATTTGGTGAGTTCATTTCTAGAAAACTTATTTATTTTTATTTCACTTATCTATATATAAAATATGTATTAATAGAAAATATAGCGATTGTGAAAAATTTCAAATCCAAGTTTTCAATGAAACACACATTTTTCGTTCTATTGAATTCAAATTGCGTTGGTTTGATGTTGAGACTGAAGATGCAAAAGATATTCTTGGAATAAGGTTCTGGATCAGTTCTACACAGGACAGGGGCAATTAGCGGAAGCTGTTGAAGAAGGCCGGGACTCGAGACCAGGTTGTAGAGCCATAAGTCCAAATAATTAAATCTAAAAAAAATGGTCTCTGTAAACAGTCTATCTCGAAAACGAAAAGATTTAGGAAACTGAAATAATATATTTAAAATGCCTGGGATGTTACAACTTTTTTACTATAATCGACTTATCTGAAGAAGCATTTTTGCAATAAATTTTACACATTTTCTTGATTTCTACACTAATGATTTTGATACAATTCATTATATAAATGTACATTAAATGGTTTTTAATATTATATAGCTCTTGTCCTCATTGAAATAGTTTGACATGGTTAGTTTTTTAAATTTTATATTAGCCAATCTAAATGCCAAATTTTCAAAATAGCTCTGGGGTACTTTTTATATGGTTTATTGGAAATAGTTAAGTTTCTCTTGCTAAGAAGTAATAGAAAATGGCTAAATAAGAACCATGACAGAATTTGATTATTAACAAAACGAGAAATATTTTTCTAATTTGAAAACGAATTTCTGGAAATAACAGTAAGTAATTTATATGTATAAAATACTGTTGAAAGTTAATGATTTTAGACAAATTATTATCTAACATACAAATTTATAGAAGGTAGAGGAGAGTGACAAAAAAACTTACAACAGATAATTTCTGAACACTAATATTATTTAACAGAAACTAAATGTTTTCATGAAAAGTGGATGAAATAATCAAACCAGATGGAAATTTTTAAGCTTGACAAACGAAAATATGTGATTCATCGAATTGTTTAAAAACTATTTTAATGTACTTTTGTGAGAGAAGGTATGAAGAAATACATGTTGCTGAAGATATTTGAAGCAATATTAAGGGATTAGGAAAAATCATGGTAATAACCTACAGAAACTTTAGATAAAAGATTTAAATAATTAACTATCAACTAGCCACATGAAGAGCATACGCTAGATTAGTAAAAATTGAATTGTTAAAGAAAAATTAAATAAATAAATTAAGGTGCTCTGTTTTCGTGAAGTTAATAGTCAACCCCCACTTTTCATAACTCGACAACCTTTTAGCACTACTCAACAGTATCCTTTGTAGCTCGAATATACAGCCTAGTACCAAGAGACTAATATACAAGGCTATATTCTAGCCAATTACGACATATGCCTCGGAGACTTCGGTCATCAATGCAAGAGACCGAAACAGCCTGTTAGCAGTAGAGATGGACTTTTGAAGAAGAGCAGCAATAAAATCTAGAAGGGAAAGATTAACAAATGATGGGAAAGAATTCTGGAAATGATGGAGGTGGAAAAAAACATATTAGTAGATAGTGAAAAGAAAAGGTTGTGCTGGTTTGGACATGTGAAAAGAATGACACCTGAAAGATTGCCAAAGATGTGTATGGAGCTGGAAGTAGAAGGGAAAAGGAAAAAGGGAAGGCCAAAGGTAAAATGGAAAGCCACGGTGGAAGAAAGCCTGGTGGGTCATGGCATCATAGAGAAGAATGGAAAAATATCTTAAAGGATATTTAGGTCAAGAGCAACCATAGTAGTGGAAAAGTCCTTAAAAAAACAAAAAAACAATGCTGTATAAAAATTTATATAAAATATTTGTTTATATTAATAAGAAATGCTTAAATAATGAAAACAAAGCATTGTTAAATAATATATAGGTAGCCAGTGTCTGACTGTTTTGTGAAGAGAAATTGGGACAAAGGTTTCTAAGTGTGAATGTCATGCCAGTAATTTTAAGGAAGGAATTCTAAAAAGTTATTGTGTGTGCAACAAAAAAAAGAGTTGAAATGACGAAGACCTGTGAAATGGGGTTTAAAGGTCAGAAGGTCGAAATCTTGTGTGTGTGTTTTAAATGCAGATAGGATTTTTTTCATTGTGTTATGGTCTTTTTTTTGACCTTTCTTAAAATAAAAAATTAGAGAAACCAATTTATTGTTAAAAGGAGTTAATTAAAAAAGTCTGTTATGAAATTTTATCTTTATTAAGAGAAACTGACTTGTAGTTTGTTATTAATTTGTTTTTATTTCACAGCCCTTTGGCAAAAGAAGCGGCAAAAGGTCAGATAACCTAAACCTCTACAAAAATGTTTTAACCGAAATGGCGCGTGTGATACGCTGTGGAACTGGAAGAGCCGTTTTGTTGACTAATGATAAAACATCTCTGACACGGGTAATATGGTTTATTCTTGTAATTTTTTTTTTTTTTTTTGACATAAAATATGTGCTGAAATACCCTTAACCGGTAGAGCTAACCTTTTGGAATATTATTTGATAAACCTATTTATTTCAATTCTTTTCCGAATGTTGAGGACAGTTTCTTGTGGTGAAAGTAAAGAAAGATGAGGTATTAGAAAAATTAGGTTTTGCTATCTAATATCACACAGGACTTAATACTTATTATTATTATTAGGGTGTCCCATAAGTTTCTTCCTTTTTTTTATTTATTGTTTAATGTTGATTTACTGTGTTACGTATGAACCGTTCTGCTCAATTACCTTTTTCTATCTCTCACGAAGCCTCATTATTCCCTCTTTTCAAAATTGTTGAGACTTGCAAAATATTCATCATGTGCATTTTTATTTTGTTTTCTGATTTGTGACATTTATCTTGGGGAGAATTTTTTAACAAAAGAAACAAGAAATAATCAAGGGGAGGGGGGGGAGGTTTGGGGAATAGGGAGGATGATGTGGATCTTAATCAAACTGTAAGAGTTTCTGTCTTACTGCGAATGCCGCATTTCATTTAATATTTATTATGTATAGCATTCACGAGAACCAATATATAATCTTTAAATAGGTTAAGGCGGGAATGTTTTTCTGAATAGTCGTAGAGTAACCATAAGCGTTACCTCAATGCAGATTGGGTTTTTCATGATTGTAAAAAAACCCACTATCAAGGCTAAAAATTTAAAAGTATCTTCACCCCTTGTCAACAAAATTGCTTGTTTACTAAGCTACACTACCAGCAACTACAACTTCTTTATTCATACTTGTTACACTTAACTTTTGTCAAATCTTTACATATTGTAATAGAATTATTTTTGAGGTCATTGCATTTTTTTAAAAATTTTTAACTTTTATTTGAGGATAAAAAATGAGTTTTAAAGATCTTTTATAGTGAAATATCAGTCTGAAACTTAGATAGGAGGTTTGGCTGCTGATATGCTTCAGCTATGAGAAATATATGGACAATAAGTAACACATGTCATCAGGATCAGACTTTCTGGTTTCACTAATTCGGTTTATTTTTAAAATCGATTATGCCCGATTTCAGGGCCGCGGTGGTCGAGAGAGTTAAGACGCCTTCAAAAATACACTTAACGCTTAGAAGTTTTTTGTTTTATCAAAACTGAAAAGTCATAAGTTCAAATCCTGTCCACGGGAACAAAAAAAAAGACAATTAATAATAAATATAAAAATTGCAAGCGCTACCCGATTACTTCGACCAATGCGGGGTTCGATTCCTACATGGAGATAACGTCTCCATCCACAGATTCATGAAGGTGAGGGACCTCTGCGTCTTACACCATAACTCCTGTTCCTCCAGGTTGAGGGTCGGGCATAGGACTTATAACTCTATCCCGCATAAAACAGCTTATTATGAAACCTAAACTAAGCATCGAAAAATCGGACTGTCTAAATATGACAATGATCTCGGCATGCAGATAAATTGAAAGAAACAGCCCAAGACAGGCAGAAATTGAGCAGGCTTGTTAAGGCGGCAAAATATCTACATGGTCTGTAATGCCAACTGAAATAAAAAAAAGCCCCATTTCAGAAATAAAGTAACAAAATAAAACATTAATTAATTTTTTGTGTTTAGAACATATTATGATAATGATTTATATTCATCATATGATTTCTAAATAAATGACATAAAATGATACTGCTCACATAAATACTTCCTTTTTCAGGCTTTGGGAGGAAACAATAGTATTTATTGGAGGCAAATAAACAGCTTTGGTGTGAACCAAGGAGGTTTATTTTCAACTGTGTTTTTACTTCTTCGCACTTCCAAGCCATTTTTGATTTAAGTATGAATTATATTTAATTTATATTTTCATAAATATTTATACTAAACCAAAAAAGTTTGATGATATTTCAGATGCTTAAGAGTGTTCGAAACTTTTAGTCTATATTTTTATTTAATTTTTTTTTTTTATTGTCATAAATGTACTTGACCAATTTTTTTTTAATTATATTTTTCATACATGAACGTTTTTTGTAATATTTAAAGTAATAATTGTATTTTTATGTTTAAGTTTTTAAGGTAATTATTATTTTATAAGGAAATTATTTCCTTAAAAAAATTAAGTTAATTTTATTTCAAACCAAACTTTTTTTCTAATATAGCAGTGAAATATGTTTTATTAATATATAAGATTCTTTGTAATATTTGGTTTCTTTTCCATTGCCTTTTTACATTATTTTAAGTTATTATATAATGATATTCAACCAAGATTCATAGAGAAATGTTTCATAGTTAACCAACATAACTTCAAGAATATGTACCCTTTACTGTCAGAATGTATAAGCTATGCTATGCTATCTACATATTATGTATGTATGACCACTCTAGTGGTTAATGTTTATGCAATAGACATTTTAAAATATATTACAATTCCTGATTAAGTAACAACTGCTTTTGGAACGTTTGAAAAGGAGCTGGATGAGAGATATCCTTTCCTGATTTCAGGATGTAAACAGACCAGGGAATAGGTGCTGCTGGGTACTATTCTTCATTATGCCATTTTTTACCGTAACAACAAATCTACTAATTGTCGCTACCATGACAGGTGCAGATGAAGATTTGAAGATAAAATAAAAAGAAGTTTATAACAAATAATAGGTTATATTTTAAATAAGTGTTTTATTGAGGATTAAGTACAAATAATTAATAAATAACATATCACAAAAAATGGAATGACTAAAAGATAATAAAACAAATAAAAATCGTGTTCGATAGATATACATAAAATCATTAACAAATAAATATAATTATAAATTAGAACATGGAATGGCATTGAGTTTATAATAAGTAATATAAATCATATATACAAAACTAACAAATAAATAAATAATGTGTTTTTCTACTTTATGTTTAAAATAATTTGTTTGATTATTTCATTAATGGCTTAATGCTGAATAAATAGGTGAAGGTTGATTATAAATTGGATTTTAAACTACACTTAAACCACTAAACTTTCTTAAAAGTATATGACTATTTATACATAAAGCCAAAGTTATACAGAACAAGATTATACTAAAACAAATACTATATTATCATTGCACGTACTGATACAATCTTTTACTAGGTTAACTTAATCACTGCAAAAGACAAGTGCAATCAGGCGCTCATTTAATACATTGATATTTCAAGAATTAGTTAGTAAATCAAAATGAAGTATTAATTTTATACTTCTTTTTTCCTCGTATTATATTTTTATTCTAAAATGAACAACAGTTATACTCACAGTCTATGAAGTTTTAAGATATATTTTTATGATCAAGTACATTCAGTATAAAATTAATATGCAATTAAAGCTTGGGTAATTCAAGATGAGTTTTTCTAATAGCTATTAAACAAGCAACTGTAACAATTATTTAGTAATATATGATTTTATCAAAAAGTTTTCATTATAGTTTTTAGCTGATTTATTATTTTTATTACCATAAATGTACCTGTCTAGAAAAAAAATCTTAAAACATTATAAACCAAGCTGCTTATTTTTAAATTAAAACATGCTGAGAGAGAAAAAAACTGACAGAAATCAACAAACATAAAATGACCTTTTCTAGTAAATTACAAAAATTTAAATTATTATCTAGTTTTAAATTTACCAAAGAATGCACATTATGGATTCATAAGAGACAATATTATTGAATTGTGAAGATTTTACTGATCATTCACAAGCATTATCTTTGACAAAACACACCAAAGAAATCACTAGATAATAATTTTTTAAAAAATTGAATAATGATCTCATTGCAAATGATTTATTTTTAAAACACAATAAGACATTGTGAAGGGTGGATGTGAATTGTTATTTTATAAATTCATATCTCAAGACCTGAAGCAAGAAAAGTACAAACCTACAACAATACACAATCATATTTCTGCGAAGCTGGTAAGTTCACAATATTTGAAAATTGCCATGTTATAACATTTATTGAGAGAACAGTCATTGAAAAATAATTATTTAATTAATCTCTAGCATTATCGCCAAACAAAAAAATTATCAATCATCTAATGATAAAACAATGTAAGCTCATAAAAAAATATTTATAGTTGGAAATAAAATTTAAAAAAAACTAACAAATGTACTTGTCTATTTAATAGTTATTTCTTCCTGAAATTACTATATAAATGATGTTTAGGTAATAACTATGTCTTTTAATACTTAATAAATTAATTACTCACTAAGAAACACCAAAATTAGAAGTAACACATCAAAAGTACTACAGTTGGAAGCTATATTATCAGTACTTGTGTAAAAAACATAAAACTGTGTATGGTTACTTCCACGAATTATATACAACAAACCATCCATTCATTCTTGTCCAATCGAAAGGCACATACCTGGACACTTAAGATAAAAAAAATTCATTCTTGTGGCTTTCTATACATTGAATTACTTGGATTGATTTCATCCTAAAAATAACGAACGTGACTTACTTTAAAATTAACAAAACTCTATACTTCTTCTATGTCCACAGCCTCTAATATTTATAGTACAACACAATTTCTCATCTTCCATTTTCATTACTAAAGGAAATCCATTATCCATCAATATTTCTAAATTACTAGAACAACATTTAACTATGGACGTATGTTTATAATTATAGAGAAAAAAAGTGGACTCTTATATATCATCAAAAAGATTTCTTGGTGGCTGCTGCCTGTAATCAGTTTGATAATCTGCTATTGGTTCTGCTGCTGCTAATAAATTAGATCGAGAAGTGCTGTCACGTGTCAAACCAGAATCTATAAAAACAGTTTCTTATATGAATCAAAGGAAAATGATTAGATTTTTTCAAAAATGCAGGCTTTTTTTAATGATGTATAAAAGTTAATTGGAGCAGAGATCAAAGTGAAAAACCCCTTTCACATACATTTTCATGCCAATTTTTGCCATTATACTTTTTGAAAAACTATTAGTTAATGCCGAAATTAAGCATAAAGTATTTAATGATTTGAGTAAATAGCTACCATTATTAAAATACAAATTCAGTTTTGATAGCATTTTCATGATTATGTTGGATGGATTATAATTGAAAGAAAATAAATAGAAAACTAATGAATTTTGACATTAAAATAGCTGCCTTGAACCCCAATATTAATATAGACAATTCCACAGCGAAAATGTTATGTATGTACTCCTAATTTTTAAAGCTGTGACAGCATTTGACAAAATAAATTATTTTATATTTCATGCATAACATTTTTCTTATTTTCATTGAACTAATGTGAATATAGCAAAACTGAGAAACAAATCTTTATTTATTTCACAACTGAAAATATAGCTTACTTATAACAGGTTCAGCAGGAACAGAGATATTTTGTTTCCCTATACCGAATCTTTCAATATATTCTCTCCTTCTTTCAGCTGTTTCTTCTGATCTTTGCCTTCTTCTTTTTTCTAAAAAATGATGGAACTTATTAAAAACTAGGTCACTAAAGGTTAATGTTAATAACCTGAAAATAATCAAAGAATTTGTAGACAGAAATAAAATAAACTTATATTTGCTCACTTCTTGAATTCAGCAAAGCAGATTTTCATATTAATATTGTTGTGGACAGCTGTTGATGTTAAATAACGATAAAGGTTAATTTACTTTTGTCTCTCCTAAAAAGTGTTACTTTAGTATAAATACTCAATTTTTTGTGTATCAAAAGTGTTTTTTGAAATCGACAGAGCTGAAGACAAAAAACAAAACAAAGGTTGAGAGGATTTCATCGCCAACAATGGTGGAATCATCACAACACGAGGAGGTTAACAATCGCAACCAGAAGAAATAAGACAACAGCCTCAAAATGAAAAAAATCCACCAGTTTTTATAAACGGTATTAAGAATTATTATGCTTTAATTCCATTCTTAGAAAATGAAGCTGGTCATAACACATTCAAGAGGAAATCAACACAAAAAGGGGTCACCTTAAAAGGTGTTTTTCCACGAACATCTGACATATATCGCACTGAATTCAAGTCTACGGAATAAAGGCGCGGACTTTCGCACCTACCAACTCCCACAGAATAGGTGCCCAAGGGTTAAATATATTCATCATAGAACACCAGTCGAGATAATCAGAGAATTTAAAAATATGGACTATGAAGTAAGAAATGTAATATCTCGATTAAAAAAACTCCTTCCTATGTTCTTCGTAAACGTTACAAGAGACATTCAGAGAAGATATTTTTAAAATTGAATTTTTATATTTTTCTCACATTAAAATCAAGGAACCGTGTCAAAAGCAAAGTATTTCTCAGTGTGTTCGGTGTCAGCAATATGGGTACACTAAAACATATTGCAATCATGCCGTGTGAGGAACGGCGAATATCACGAAAGCAGCTCATGTTTAAACACTAGAGAGACTCCAACTAAGTGCGCCAATTGTAGTGATCAGCACCCAGCCAACTACGGAGGCTACCGGACACTGAAAAATGTCAGAGTTCAGCCCAATGCAAGAAACCATCTTCAGCGTCCCACAGCACAGTAACATAGCCAGCTCAGGGAACCTCCAGGCATGCATGAATTCTCTTCAATACAGTGGTGTCTCAATCACGCGGAACCACAGATCATCGCCGGACCTCAGCAGCAACAAAATCAACCATCGGTTTGGCTGTATGTTATATATTGTTCAATGGAATATAACCTCCCTCCACCCTAAAAAAAAAAAAAAAAAAAAAAAAAAAAAAAAAAAAAAAAAAAAAATCAATCATTACTATTACCTCTGTTGACAAGTTCTCGTCCTTCCTCGATAAGCTCAGTTGTTAATTCATCATCATCCAAAAATTGTTGAAAACCAATAAATGAAAGAAGTCTTGAACCGAGGCTGAAATAAGTGGCAAGGCAGAAGGCTAACACGACCATAGGAAAATAAATATTGAAACCATCAGAAATGATAGAAACAACTTCCATGTGTCCCATTACCTATAACAAAATAAATACAATCAAATGATTATTACATAAATGGTCTTCATTAGAGAAAAAAAAAGTTGCATAAATTTGAGCTGCAATAGCATTCAAGTGATAAAGAACTTTCATAAGATTGAGATAAAACTTTTTAAATAATAAAAAAGATCGATAATTATCTTAGAACTTGAAATACCTGTGCAATTGAAAAATTGAAAATTCATGCAAGTATCCAATACATTAAATAATCAGATCAATATATATATATATATATATATATATATATATATATATATATATATATATATATATATAATATATATATATATTGTTTTTTTTCCTCTGTATCTATATTTATTTATTGAATACTAATACATTCTGCCACAACCATGGGCAATAAATAGCTATTAGTACTATAGGTAAATAGCCAATATTAAATAAAAAGCATTGTAACTATTATATAATGATCGAAGACAGATTCCTGCTGAATCTAAAGAAATGATATGAAATGATATAGTTAATAGCCCAGCCAATAATGTGAAATGACACCATCAATAACATTATTAAACCGTTTTCCCAGGTCATACAAGATTCTTTCACGTTCCTATATAAGGAAAATGAGTTTAAAAATATAAAATAACTGTTTATTTGATTATATAACAATCCATTGTTTTGTTGAGTGTATAAAATTAAATTATAACAAAAGAATTAAAATTTTATTTTTCTTCAAGAGGAACCCCTGCCACCCTTTCTCTAAATCTGGAAAATTCATATACTTAATATAACAGAATAAATATACATATACATAAAAAAATGACTTTTAATTACTTGGGTATAATATGTTTCCATCAGTTGATGCTTTATGATGTGACTGTCCATATGGATCAGCCCGAGAAAGTTAAGACACATTGGAGGTGTCAATCGGCACAACATTCTGTAAAATAATTTTTTAAAAATGTATTAGTATATGAATTGTAATCATAAAATAACTAAATACAACAATAAAGTTTCAATAAAAAATCATACATTCCCGAAAAAATAAGACTCTGCTCATCAGTCTGATGGTGAGGTGCAAGGTAATAGTAGTTAAGCACTCTGATTTTCAAGACTGTTGAGTAGGCACAAAAACATAGATAAGCTATGATAATTGTAGAAAGTAACTGTAAAAATAAAAAAATTAATTAAATTTTTGAAGCAGAAACTAAACATGCAGGTAAACAGGCAATATTAAAAACAAAATTTAAATTTTCAAAAAGTTCTATGTTGTTTATGGGCTTCTGCTACGAATTCATGGAAATCAAATTTGGTGATGGTATTAAGTTAACTATTTACTTCTACTCAAATAATTTACTTATGAAACAAAGGACAATAAAAAGCAGACGGGTTTGAGATTATCCTAAGTACTGACAATGATATGATGGGGTTCAAATAAAAAATAATGCTCATTAAATTCAAGTGTTGTTGAAAGGTTAAATGGTTAATTTTATGTTTCAGATCAAAATAATTTTTTTTTTTAATTTTACTCATTATTATTATTAAAAACATTAAAGCTAATTCCATTATTGACTTCATGAGCATCTTCGAAATAAATTTCAGAAGAAAGTAAAATGTATATAGTTCTATGATTTCTTATTCATTCTGCCTATCCTTGGTTTTAGATCTCCAACAGCATGGTTTATTGCTAACTACTGTAACATTACATGCTGCAGTGAACAACTATTAGGAATAGGAGCAGCTGAAATTGTTGCCGGAAACTGCTAATTGGGAACGATTCTGATACAAAATGATGAATGGTAATGCCAAGTTCTGAGGTTCCAAGTGTGAAAATAATGGTTCCAATAGTCATTGAGAAAGCTGGGAATAGATTACAGACGTATATATATTTTTTGTTGCGAATTTCAGATTTTATTCATCTTGAGATGTAAGGACTCAAATTTTGATGAGAATAAATTTTTTTTTCTAGCTCAATAAAGTTCGTAATTGAAAATAATAAATCAAGATCAATAACTTTTATTTCTACCTATAAACAATTGGTTACTTACAAAATATTACATAATTATTAATTAGAAAAATAGATTTCATTTCTTAATATAACTGATTAAAATAGCTATACAAAAAATTCTAGGCAACATACAAAAACTAAACACAAAAATAAATAAAAATTCTAACCACCAACCTCAATGGAAAAATAATCATATTTGTCTCCGAATCCACTTATGAACAAAGCAAAAAGAGAAAGAACTGGAGATTCATTAAAGAATGTCAGCTCAGACCACACAACAGCAGTAGAAAGGATTGCACAGATAATGCCGAAACCTCGATAGATATAATCTTCGATTATACATCTCCAGTACCATTCTGTAACAAATATCAACAATTAGCACTTATATCCAAACATAACTTTTTAAATTATAAAAATAAAAATAATAACCTATAGTGGGAGATATGAGAGGCTTAGTATTAGGAAAAGTGTGTTTGAACATATGATCCCTCGAATTTCTGTTCCTTTGAACATCTTCCAAAAGAACAACTTTTTCCATTGCCAATTTCCATTGAGTTGCGGTTCGCTTGGAAGTGTGCAGTGCTCTGATCAACTGTATTGACAAAAAATTAAAACTAAATACACTGACGCCATAAAATAATTATAATTTTTTCACAGAATTATTTAACAATTTCTACATGTACAGTGCCTCCTCTGTAAAATAAGACTACCATAACAGCTCATACCAATTGGTAATGTCCAGGAATATGTTTATGATTAAAACAATTTTTTTTTTTAAATTGTCTTATTAATATTTTTTCATGTTTTATAAATTTAATAAAAATTGTAAATTAATAAATCTAGGGTGTCTCAGTTCTTAATGGGCAAACTTTGCAAAGTGCTTCTAGACAAAATTTCAAACAAAAATGTTCATTTGATGCATGGGTCGATTCCGAATGGAAAAGGAGTTAAGACCAATTTTGTGTTCTTAAGGTAGTCACATTTTTTATTGAATTAGAAGTTATTACTCAAAAACTGCTCAAGGTAATTAAATTCAGTAAGGGCAATGATAAAGAGACTTTAAATTTACTGAAGTCCCTTTTTTCATTGACATTCATAAATTAATCTGTTTTCTCAAAAAAAAATTTATACTTTACGATGGTGAACTTAGAATTTAATTATCTTGAACAGTATTTGAGCAATTTCTTCTTATCCAATAAGATTCTGATCCAAACCGTGATCACCTTAAAAAATCCCACAAAATTGGTCTGAACATTGTCCATGTATCAAATGAACTTTTTCGTAGGAAATTTTGTCTAGACCATCCTTCAGAGTTTGGCCATTAAGAACTAAGATACCCTATATACAATACGTAAGAATTAATCCTTTTCTGACTCTCAGGACAAAGGATTTTAAGTTAAAACCTTACTATAACTATAACTAGAATGAGTCATTGAAAAATTGGTTTGAATTCAAAACTAAGATGTTGTGAAAAGTCAAAGAATCGAGATGGGATATGTTATATTTTAAAGATTTTGAAAAGGACATCAAGGCCTGGTATAGTTCCAAAATAACTAACTATACTGTTTTAAAGCCCTAAGATGTAGCATTTTCGAGGTAAACCATAATTGTTGCTGAAAGCCTCTTCTTAGGTGCTATAGGTTCCCTGGGATAGCTCTCAAATGTTTAGGTTTTAAAAATTAAAATATACTGCTATTTATGATAGATAAATCTTTGACAAACTGAAAAATTATAGAAAAGTTAAATGGAAAAGAATAACTTTATGATTTCATGAGAACTTCAGATAATTAGACCAGTCAATGAGTGCTTGAAAAGGGGGTATAGAAGGAAATGGCGGCGACACAATTTTTCACTTTAGGCATTGTTTGGACATTGATCAGAGATGGATAGTTTTCCTGATATAAGCAAAAACTCGAAAAACAACAATAAACACGAAGCAAATTTTTGTTTTCAATATTAGCCATAGTTGAAGACGGTTATCTCGGAAACTAAGCGAGGTTGTGAAAAAAGGTATGTAACCAATCATATTGCAAATTTTATTAGCTTTAATTTTGAATAGAAAATCTTTGTCGATGCGACAAATAGTTTTCCTGATAAAACCGAAAACGTGAAAAGTGACATTCCTGGCGCCCTCCCCACATCTGGTTCACCACATAAGAGTGGGGACTTTCAGTATGTTTACCTCCTTACTAGTCCAAAAAATGTCAAAAATTGTGCCCCTGCCATTTTCATCTAAAATCATTCATTGACTGGACTAAATATAGAAAGAAACTTTTTGATATTTTAATATAAATAGTACCCAAAATAGCTTCTAAACTCTCAGTGATAAACTTCTATAATTTTTTTTTTTTTTTAAATCTATTTATTGAATAATAATACAATCAGCCACTGCTGGAGGGCTATAAGCATTAGGGCTAAAAGTTCTCATTCATACAATATATACAAATAATAAAGAAATAAATATAAATATAAGAAGTAAATAAATAATACTGATAAAGAAGGTAAACAAAAATAAACAAATAAAATAAAATAAAAACTTCTAAACACAATCATAACTATTCTATAATTTCAGTGATACAACTACAACCAAGGCTCTTCTGCACCAAACAAATAGGTCTTCAGCAGGTATAATGATGGATTATTATAAGTTTAGGATAGCTCTGTATAATTACTTTACTATTAAACTGAAGAGATATTTTCCAGAGGGACGGACTAATCACTTAATTAAATTAAAATTAATAATAAAAACACATATGTGATCACAATAGTCCTACTTTATTTGTTTTACTACACCAACGTTTCAGTCCTTAGGCCATTTTCAAGGGAAGAAAACTTCATAAAACAAATAATATAAATATAACAAATAAAACAATCATTACAGCCTAGTTATATATATCGATCAGCCTAAAAATGCTTGCTAGTAACTTGGCTGAATAAAACAAAAATTTTAATCAAAATTATTTTTATTTACCTGTTGGTGAATTCTAACAAGAGATTTTAGTGTCGGTGAGACCATGGAATCAGCATGAGCACCTGCTGATTGTACTTTATTTCTGATGTTGAGATCCCTTGGCACCTTATCAATAACAGTTTTCATTTCATAATACAAAGGGTCGCCATGGGTTACACACGATTTCATAGACTGGATAGACTGAAAAAAAAAAATTCACAGAAATTACATTAATTCTGAAAGTATGGTACAGAAGAATTATCTAAGCTTAAGCATTCCACACAATAGATATACTAGTCACATGACAGTTATGTACACAGGTCAAATATTAGTAAAATATTATCAGTTTATAAATAAATAAAGGTACTTTAGAAGAAGGATTGTTGAACATTGGGCATTTAAGCCCTGCAAAGTCAATCTAGATAAGAGTTAGCTGATATTAAAGACAACTAAATTATATATTCATACACCGAGTTTAATAAAAATCGTTAGCAGTTTTTGAGAAAATTGTAAAGTGTGTACGGCCATTGATATAAAGTGATACATCCGGTTAGCCGAACTCTAGGAAAAAGTTGCTGTAACATCTCGGGCATATACCTATCTTAAATATATATTTTCAGTCACATACGACTTTTCATTTTTGAGCTAGGCTGTTCACACACACAGACCATGTTGCGGGACTTGGTTATTTGGACTCAGAGGACCTCAAAATGTGTATTTCTGTTGAAAACTCAGATTAAAAAATTTTCATAATCGCAATACTTGTGTTTGAGTGATTTATTAAATTTCATCCTTTTTAAAATTTTACCAAGTAATCAAAAATACTTCTGCGGGCCGGAATGGAGGCGCTTGGGGGCCAAAACCGGCCTGTCGGTCGTAGTTTGGAGACTCCGGCTCTATATCATGAGTAATACTGATCTGATTTTCCTTCACTTTGTGTAGGAAAACTGACTTTCAAATAATTACACATATATATCACCAAAAATTATATAATTTTTTCTTTATGGTCTTTATTTTTCTCAGAGATATAAGTGAAAAACGTACACACTAGTAAACCAATAGTCAAAAAAATACATTTTTGGTCTCAGGAAACACCAGAACAAATAGATTCATAAAAACTACAATATCAAAATTAATGGTAAGAAAGGATTATTATTAAGGGCTTAGATATAATGAACTCAGAACACTTCATATTTTTGGTCGTTCTTCATAAACGGCTGTGATAGCGGCATATTAAACCTTTAATCACTTGTTGGACAGGTAACATTTCACTCCATGCCAAAGTAATAGCAAATATGGCCCATTTTAATAGAAATTGTCCTTGAAAATCTTATGAAGATTGCTTTCCAATTGATATAATTTTAATTCTTTTTTTTCAAAAGTTATGCCAGATTATTCAGCGCGCCAGTTCATAGGATGTTTATTGGATGAATATATTTAATTATTATAATATAACTAGCACTTATAATATAATATAATATAGCACTTATAATACTATATTATAATATGATAATATATTTTAAATAGAAATTTACAACTTATTATATTACAACATGTTGTTTTTGATTATGAGTACATTGTGTTGCTAGTCAGCGGCAGGTATTCTTACCATATTTTCTAATTGAAATGCTTTCAACATATGTTGAAGTTAAATTATATTCTGTTAAAAATAAAAAGATATAATTCATTCAGACAATTTAATAACACAGTGTGCAAAACATAATAAGAAAATAAAAGCACAAATTAATCAAGATACCTCTAAAATGTCTTCTAAAGTTTCTTCAGCTTCACATTTGTCGGCAGAAACTTTGGCGATTTTAAAATAGGCCAACTGCAATCTATGACCTGGTGTAGCAGATAGCCAAAAAGACCGTGGTATGTCAACTAAGGCATATCCCAGAAGACCCACTAACAGTAAAAGTCCCCAAGTATTAGAAGCTGAAGAAGCAATTGCTTTAAGCTTTTGCCTAAACATAATAACAAAAAGATGAAAATTGATCATAAAACTTATAGTATAGGGGTTGCAAGAACAAAATGAAAATATGAGATGACAAATATTTACCCATCCAAATGAAGGCCTGGCTTGACAGCAATATAAATTAGCAAAACTCCACAAATGAAAAGATAAGATCCATAGTATATAGCATTGTCAACCAATGCAGATTTTAACTTTCCTTTGACAGTGAATTCGCCAGCTTTAGCATATGATTGCATCAACGGCAGAAGGAGCCTATTGATTAAATATACATAAGTTATATTTTATAAAATTAAATCAAAACCATATGTACTAATAAATTGGAATAAAATAGCATGAAAATTAGATTACCAAGTCAAAACCTGTGAACTCCAATAAACAACACGCCATAAATTTGGAAGCACGTTATCAGGGACATGACTCCATGGTACTTTGCATGAATTATTTTGAGTTTCATTGTGTAAATTGATGCATTGTCGATAAACTGTCTAAAAGTTGATAAATAAGACTTCACAATAAAAATTTTCAATATAAAAATTAATCAGTTAAGCAAACAAATTGGGATACTCACTGATGAAACATCCAGCGGAAGCACAAATATAATCAAAAAGGAAAAATACCAAGCAATCAATACACCAAATGTAACAAGTATGTTCTGCCTTTTCCAATCGCCATACTTATAAAGTATAAAGGCGGCTAGGCAAAATGTTAGAACTACTTCTGTTATAAGTGGCCCCGAAGTCATTTTCTTTACTGACTGGATTCCTTTTGTTGATTCAATAGTTTTTCTTCAGCTTCCCTCTGCATCTTTTCAAGTTTCTCAAGAGTAACAGATTTCAATGGCATGAGTTTTGGTTTACATAAAATCAATCTATGTTCCTCTGTAAACTGTACAATGCCTTTACTTGGAAGTATTAATGGAAGATTTCCTAGATCACTATCACTAATACTTTCAGCCATGTTTCAGAAATTGATAAAAAGAGACATGACCTAAAAAGTAGCTCTGTTTATTGTACAGAAGATTCAGAAGAAGTTTGTATTACAATAAATTTTTAATAATTACAGATTAAGAACATCAATAAATAGGAGTTTTTTTAATAATATATTTTGGGACTGCCTTAATGTATATTCATTTAAATTGTTAAACGTGCAGTTGCAAAGCAACAAATAATCAGCATGTAAAATAATTGATCATAAAGAAGTGTCACAACTCAAAGCTATAACCACATTAGATAAGATGACGTAACAGTACTAAGGTTATAAGAGAGGTATTACAACAAAAAACATAGAGCATATATGTGCATAAAAAAATTCAATAGGGACATTGATAGCAAACCAATGTTCACTTTAATATTGAAATTAAAAATTAAAGCATTGTTTAGGTAACTATGAAATATATATATAAAACAAACGAATTTACTGAAACCGGTATCTGATTATATAAAATTTTGGAATATATTTGACTAAATTGTGGTTCCTATGTAGCATTTAGTTTATTTTGTATTTTATGATAATTATTGGGAATTTGTGTAAGATAGATTTCAAATCAACGACCTATTTTCTTATAGGTTGTACTGGTTCTGGAACTGCTATTGATGGAGGGAACTAGTCCCACACAAGTGGGCTTGTGATTCTTTTTGCTAACTTTTGACGCTACTATTGAAGTTATTGCCAAGTACTTTCCTGAGTAGGAGTGCCAAAAATTAATTTCCCGGGTCCATCGACAACTAAAAATTAATCGACTCTGGAGGGAATCAAACCAACAACGTTTGGAACTGGATACTGGGAACCACGATTCAATGCGGCCGTCACATCCATTTCTCAAAGGTAGAGATGACTAATAGGAGTTTTCGGTAACTGGTCCTATCAATCCAGCTCCAAAGAAATACCTGTTTTTCAAAATGTTAATTACAGACCTCTATACATTTGGAGTCCGGAAGATTTATTTTTAAGCTTCTCTTAAAATAAAAAAATAGCATTCTGTTGTTATTATATTTGAAAAAATTACTAATGGTGGCGGATGCCCCCCTTCCCGTAAGTACATTATTGTCTCAATAACGAGGTAATCTGAAAAGTTAAAATAAAACAATACACTAGTGTGCGATATTAAAATCTTTAGTATTTAAATAATGGTTTGGTTTGAGTTGATTACGAATTTCATGATTAATAATCGTGAATTTTAATTCAATATATATTCACTAAGAGTGTTAAATATCAATGTAAATACCATCTGAGAGACTTTTTTTCGACTTGTTTGAGAATGTTTTTTTTTCTTTCTTTTCTTTATATTTTTTTATTCTGCATATTCTTGCAGCTATAGGCGACTACTCGCCTGTAATCCATTTCCGTTTCCATTATATTCCAGGTTTCTGTTCCACATGTCTTCATTCTTATTTCAATGGTCAATTCAATGTTATGGAGTAATAATAACAATCCTTAAACCAAATGGAATCTATATAAAACAATAGTATTGGGCATTTTATTTCTTAAAAATGTAAAATACTACAACTGTATTTTAAAGTATCTCTTTCGAAATTCTGCGTAGGTCTACTGTATTAAGTTTAACATGGTATGTTTTGGGTTAGAAGTTTGTACTTATTTTTAACAATTACTTAAACATTTTTATTCAGTGTGAAATTAATAACCTCTTTGGATCACATCAACTCTTGTTTATAACCTTTTTAGAGTTGCTTGACAATATTATGTTACTTTGATTATATCTTGATTTGTAGCTGAGTTAATGTTCTTTATCTAAAAGTTTTACGTTTTATAGATTTATCGAAATGGATAAACATTCTATACCAATGGCTTTTCTTTTAAATGTTAGAAATCATTACTATTTCCTGTTATTTTAAATTTTTCATTTTCTAATGTTGGAAATTCCTTTCTAGGATGGGGACATTGATAAAACGGGTTATCAGCAATTAAAAGTGAAATCATTTATGAAAGCTGCCAATTGTTTTCCAATTTCACATGGGATATCTATTGGTCCTAATGCAGTTGAAAATACCAAATGGGACTCTTTTACTCCTTCTAAAATAGAAGAAATAGAAAATCTATATCATTCAATGGAGCCGATTACAAATAATAGTACACTATTAAAGCAAACTACAAATTTTGATGATACTGAGCCTAATGTTAGAATGAATGAATCGTCTGAAAAAAGAGAAGATAGGCTTTGTAGAAGAAGAATTTTAGCTGAACTTGAAAATATATGTTATTTGGAATCTCAGGTATTTCTGTGGATCTTAGATTTTTTAATATATACTTGACATGGTAAGACATTATATTGTCAATTTGGTACTAGTTCACATGAGTTCCGCATGGATTATGCATGGTTCATAATCACTTCAGTCATACCTATTGATGGAGTGCCGAATGTGTTCGGGTTAATCCAAAAGAGAACGAAGGCGACTGATCTGTTGAGTCAGTTACTATTAACATTCCCGCCATTTAATTACTTTTATAATGTTAACCATGTTCAGTTATACAGCAGGAGCTGACTTATATTCAAAATTTAGGCCACATCATGTAACCTCAATCGAACTTGTTCATTTATTATATAGCTGTGGAAAAGAAACGATTAATAGATACATTTTATTTATTAATATTGTCCGCTTTTCTCTCGCAATCTTTAATCTAATATTATTTTCTTAAAAAGCGTTCTTGACAACTTAATAGTGGACTCTTATATCTAAGAAATCCAAAAAGCTACAGAAGTTTCATAAACAATTTCAAATCCGACAGTATATTCATTAAAAGCTCTGACGAATAGAAAATAGTGGATCGGTATATCTAAGAATCCAAAAAAGTTACATGAACTTGATCCTAAATCTCAAATCAGACTATTTCCATAAAATGCGCCCCCCACTAGAAAATAGTGGACTCTCATATTATTAGAAATCCAAAAAGTTACATCAACTAGATAGACGATTGCGCACTTTTAAAAAAGGCTTTCAAAAATAAATTATAAATTCAATTATTCCAACTTCTATTGAAAAACTCGAATAACAAATAAAATGATAATAGATAACTTCAAATTATTTACTATCCAAATGATAAAAAATCTGTTATACACAGATATAAAAGATAATATTCAACAGTATATGCGTATGTACAGTGTCCACTACACGTGTCAATAAAAAATTAATTTCTAAAAGCATTTTTTTTTTAACAAGCCTTCAAAGAACTCAAACATCATTTTATATATGTATTTCTTATTCTTCTTGAGTAATAACCGTTATTATAAAAATTGCATTAAAAGGGATTGTGTGGTGGTGGCAATAGCTAACCTCATAAAAGACGACAATATTCGGCTGCTTTTGGGATACCATGAACATGTGTGATCGAAGTGATTTTGAACCAGGTGTAATCTGAACTGGTATCGTAAATTTCATTGTGAAACTACATTTATGTCATATCCCAACTTTTCAGGATGGATGAAACATTTTTCAAAAATTTAATTCTCATTATATTAAGATATGTTTTTAAAATAGTGAGTAGTAGCAAGTGATGTACTATCTACTCGAAAAGACACAATTAACTGCTATGCATAATATGCAGGTAAAATAAAATGACCTGCATTTTATCAAATTGATTTGAACTTAACTGGCTTCACACTGACATTGATATATGTTATGGTATATTTGTGGTCTTATTTTATATAAGTGTTTAATGATGTATTTTTAATTTTATTTTTAGGAAAGAATCAATCAAATGAGAAAGGAATGGTTAGAGAGGGAAGAAATGGTTAATGCACAAATTGAAAGTGAACTCGAGGCTGAAAAACTTGTTCGTGAAGAAAAAAGAAAATTAGAATTAAATACAATTCAAGCCAAAATTTCTCAGTTTCACAAATACAATCGTGCCAATTCCGCCTTAATAAAGGTATGCAATTCAGAAATATTAAGTCACTTTCTTGCATCACCTTTGCTAAGTCAATAATTTTATTATGAAAAAATGATACTTTTTTGTTTTGTCCTTTAAATATATCTTGAAAATTTAAGATTAAAAAAAATATTCTTAAAACTGACTGCATAATTTAAGTGTTTTTAGTAGGTTAAGAATCATAAATTAATTATTGTCACTAGTAATTATAAGCTTCATTCTGATTTATTTTCATTATTTACTATAGTTCGACTGTTTCAGGTGTATATTTACAGAAAAGACCTAAAATAACATTATATTATACATCGATGAATACTATTATAATATATATTTAATGATGCCAAACAAGTAAAATAAGTTAATAATTGGATTAAATGATATATCATGGAATTTTAGGTCCTATCTATAAACTATCTGATGGTCTGAGATAGTTGAAACATAGTAATAAAGAAAATAAATCATGATGAATCTTATGTAGCCTTACAAATTCACTATATTACTATTTTAATCTTCAAATCATTCTCTGACTAGCCATGGCTAATATCATTGCATTTTATACTTTTTAAAAATGATCTCTCTGTAGTGATTAATTGATAAAACATCAACTGACCAACAGTGCCTTGTTTTTAGCCAATGAAGGGAGAGTTGAAAAGTGTTGAAAGGTAAATTATACCAATGATTTTGGTTATTTTACCATCTCTTTACTGGAGTATGAGCAATGTACCGTTAGAAACCTTCTTGTTTTCACTATAGAAAAGTCTTAAAAATTATTGCAAAACCTGGTTATGCCATCTTCCCAACCATCATGCCAGATGGTCTGCTCCAGCCCTTCTTTTTAACAGAGCCTATTGAAATATTGGCTGGAGCGATGTAGTTTCATTTAATGTTAATTTTTAAAATCAATGAGAATTCAATATTTCTAAAAATTATTATAGATATATAGTCCAGAAAATGTTGACTCAAAGCAATGGAAGTAATAAGGCAATCTCCACATTGATGAGGGATTGCTAGTAGGCTCTTGAATCCTTGGCTTGCCTTAAGGCAGGGGAACCTCAAAACTTGTTTGCCCGTGTGCCACATTAAGACCTCGACTAAGCTCTGTGGGCCGCATTGAGATCTCCACCTATGTCCCACAGGCTATTGATGAAAAAAATTATGATTATTTTATAAAAGGTACTTCACCTGTCAAATGAGCTTTTCAAGAGACAAGAACCAATGGAATAAATGTTTTAGTAATCTCTTGTGCGAACAATTTGCTAAATTTTATATTTTTAATTAGTTTTTCAAATTTTAACATATAACCTGAAAGGTTTCGTGGGCCGTAGTTTGGACACTTCTACCTTTGGGAGCTAATAGTTCAACAGCTGAGTCGAAATTTTATAAGTAGGCTTTATATCAGAACAGTGGCTACCTATATTTTGTTTTAATAATAAAAATTAAAATGGAGAGATAAGGTTTCAAATATTTTTTCAATTCCTTCTTTGGAGAGAAAATACATCACATTAATCAAGACTTCTTCCTCATCTCTCAAAGCAGTTGATGTATTTGCTGATATCCCTTTTTCGTTCAACTTTCTGATTCAAAAGGCGCTTCTCCCAAAGATATGGGCTACTCTTATTCTCTCTCCCCACCTTCGACAAATGGGCAGATTTTCTTTGGTAATTAAGTGAAGGTGGTTAAGCCTGGTATATCATATTCTCAGTCACGTAAGAACAACTTTCTCTCTGCATTTACTGCGACTAAAAAATGTTCCATGGCTTTACTTCACTCTTTATGACCTTCAGTTTATTTGGACGGCTGTTGTCCCTCAGTGTCTACCAATCTTTGTATATGGCCTATTTTAGTGGTCGCACCAGTTCAGACGATGTTAAGAAAGCTTTACCATGTTCTGGAAGAGTAAGAGCTTTTGCTGCTTAATCAGCCATTTCATTCCTAGTTATACTTATATGACCACCATACCAAAGAAAATACACTGATGGTCCAACGTTATTGAGCTGATTGTGATGTTGAATGTTGAGTGTTGTGTAATGTTGATAGTTCTCAACTATTAAATGGTTTAAAATATGGTTGTTTGTATTTACAGAAACTCACAGAAGATGAAGGAGCAATAAGAGCTAAAGAACTTCAATTAGAAAATGAAATGAAAAATTTAGAAACTAAAAGAATGCTAAAAGAATTGGATAAAATATACCATAATGAAGTCGAGTACCGTGAGAAATATGGTGAAATAGCCCAAATAATTACTACGTAAGTTTGTTAATCAATAAAATTCAGTCAATTTATTTATGGACAAGCTTTTATATTGTCCTTTATCCCTTCCTTTATATCGTCAAATTTTTATACTTTTTGTCTCAGAAATGTATTTGTGGATAACTGATTCCAAATTCTTTTGTGGTTTATATTTGACCATTTCTTATTAATTCTAGATATAAGAGATTTTTAATAATTTCAAATAAATCAATTAAAGGAAGAAAATATTAAGATTTAAGAATTATTGTGCTACAATAATAAACCAGTTTATATTTTTTAGTATGTTGATTAGGTGTGTTTTACTTATAATTAACAACACAAATCATTTTCACTGCAATTATTTTCACCTCTAACATTATTTCATCTGCACAATTTGTGGAAATTGTTTACCAACAAAATTTTTTTTTGCCATTAACACTGTAAGGATGATCAGAGCACTTGTATTCTTCTGTGTTGAAATTCTTGCTTAGGAATATGTCAGTTTGTCTGTTCTCTGTGTTCCTTCATACAAACATTTTAGCTAATCATTTTGTAGAATAAGTAGACATTATTTTTGTATCAATAACGCATTAAAAAAATCAAAGCTTAAATGAAATTACACAAATAAGAAATATGCTATGACTTCTGTTATACCCAATTCTTTGGTAATTACAAAAACCTCGGTTTTGTTAGTAAATTTAAATTAGAAAGGGTAAAAAAAAAAATAAAAAAATAAAAATTGAGTTGATAAAATATATTTTATTGTGGTTGTTTTTATTTTTAAGCTCAGCTATTTTTTAACAATATAGCAACTGGCTATTGATTCCATCAATTCTAATTTAATAATGATGATTACTATATAAAATTACTCATATTGTGAACTTTATCTTTCATTTATTATTAATATTTCATGTATGATCAAAGTTTTGAGGTCTTACCTCATCCTCAAAATTATCTAACATTATTTTATTGAATATGATATTTTATAATTCAAAATTACTTAATTTACATAAATAACTTAATTTGACATCCAACCCTAGTAAGTAATTGTATATATTTTTTTAAACATTACCTCATGTTTCTATCTTCTAACATTTATTCATACTAATATTAAATTGTCTACTGTACCCTCAATATATAATTTATCCATATTTTATTTAAATGTTCAAAACTTATTTAATTGTAGATAAACCTGGTAGAATTTTTATTTTAATTTTTTACCCGACAAAGGTGCAATTTTTTATCACGGCCTCAATGAAGCTGATTGTGCGTCGTCCTAAACTCTGTTAAAACAGGCAAGATGCTTTTGTCAATTTATATAGACTGATCCCAAGGTCAGTGATATGATCACTTCCAAAGTGAAAATACCGCAGTCCAACCAAATTTTCACATATGTATATAATATGATAAGTGGTTTGTTAACTGCCTTCTGGGCTGAACGTGCCTTATCCATCTCCATGTTTTATTTTTTATATATATCTTAAATTGTTTCTATTTCATTTCAAAATTATCATATAATGGTATAGTCAAGCATGTTAAAGCGTTAACTTCAGTATTCTTGAGTCTAGTGCCATCAGTTCAAATCCAGCCTAAGGCGGGGAATTGAAATTTATTTCATGGCAGACCTGAAGAATAAATCTGGACATTCCCACTCTGGCTAGAATAGATTTGGCTCTACCTCTAGAACAATCCTTCCTTCCCTCTTTATGACTTAACAAATTGGTTAAATTTGAATTAAATTATTTTCTAACTTCTAAACACTCCCGCATTTATTTTGTCAACATTTTTATTTACATAAATTATTTATAAAATTTGGTTTCTTATCTGCATAGTATATCTTACCCAGTGTTCATTTTTCAGTTTTAGTGATAATAAATTCCAAAACAGTATTTCAGCTGAAAAAGATATTGTGAAAACTACAAATAATGAATTTTTGGAATTAATTCAAAAGTGCAAGGTATGTTTATTCTATAATTTGGACTATAATGTTTTATCCTATAATCCTATAATTTTGTTACATTCATTGTCACTTTTTAGTTTTACATTTCTAATGTTTCAGGAAAATGATATAACCCCTGAACTTGTGGTAAAATCGTATTCTCTATTATCCAGTATTAAAAAAGTTCATGGGAGTATAATGACAAAGCACGGTAAGTATTCATAAATTGATACTAATAAAAATTTTGTTTAGAATTACTAGATTTGTATTTTTTATTTTTTTTATCCTATTTCAATTTTAATTTAGAGGTGCCTTAGAAATATTTGTATTATCCTCTTATTAATATTCTGAAGTTTAGTATAGTACTCTCTTGATAAACCCACAGATAATCAAATATTCCAAATTACTGAGGATCCAGTTTTTACAATGAAATTAAGATTGAAATAATATTTAGCTAATTTTTTTTTCATTATTCTTTATTAGAACAATTTAAGAAATATTATAGGAATTTTTATTTTTATGATAGAAAAACGATTTTCGCTTCCCTGCTTCTGGTCAAAATTACTCGTATATTACTGGTCAAAATATTCTTCCCTTAAATAAACATAATGAATTTGTTGAAATCACTAATGTTTCAACATAGACTATCAAAATTAAACTGTATAAGTAAGTCTTATACTAAAACTTGTACAATACAATGGTCTTGGATTCTCTACTTGGTAATGGTTTACTGTTTTCTTGACGATTGACTGAGTATGGAGGTCCTTATTCCTATACTCTAGTTACTAGCACATTTTGAAAATAGCCTTAGTCAAAACTATTGAAGTTGGTTTTACCTAGCTTTGCTGTTTGAAAACTTTGTTCATTTGTAAGCTACTGAGATTTAAAAGATATTTATCTTTAAAATTATGAAATTGTCTTAAAACCTATCATAACTTCTGGAACTAAATGCGGTATGATAGAAGAGAATAGCTTATTATGATTGCTAAATAACTAATTACTTGTCATTACTTTTTCAGACTATTTTAAAAAAGAACTTGAAAATGAAGCTAAAAGGGTTCAGCAAGAATTAGAACTGAGAGAGCAGAAGCAGAAAGAAGAAGAAGAAGAGAAAAAGAATCAGCTTGAAGCTAAGAAAAAAGAAGAAGACGAAAAGAAAAAAATACAAGCTGCAGAAGAGACAGGTATTTCAAGTTTACTTAATTATACAAATTTAGTTTTATTTATCTTTAAAATATTAGAGAAAGAGAGTAGGGAAGTATAGGATGTTAAAGACTTGCTAAGCTCCATCAGTTCGAATCTAGAACAACGCTGCTGTCAATAAGTTGAAGGAATCAGGTATTACTACCATTGTTGCCTTTTAGTTAGGTCTTCATCAGCTCTTCGTAGGAGATTAATTTTTGCTCTGTGATCAATCTTACAACTTTAAAGGTTAGACTGAAGGCGGGAAATGCTTGTTATTTTTCTGTGACAAAACTACTTAGTTCGCGCCTCTTGTCCCGGAACTTAAAAATTAGAATCTATAAAACAATTATCTTGCCTACAGTTCTTTATGGATGCGAAACTTGGCCGCTCACATGAGGGATTAAGGGATGAGCAGTGTCTTAAGGTTTTTGAAAATAAAGTATTGCGTAGAATATTCGTAACGAAGAAGGATGAGTTAACCGGAGAATTCAGACGGTTACACAACGCCGAATTACGTGAACTGTATCCGGGTAATATAATTGAGGTTATTTCATCGCGGCGAATCAAATGGGCTTGTAAAGTTGTTGGGCTTAGTAACGAGAGAATTCCTAAAAGGTTAATATTTGCTGTGCCGAATGGTAAGCGTCCGAGGGGTAGACCGAAGCGAAGGTGGGAAGATTGCATTAAAGCCGATCTGAAGGGACTGGGTTTGAACGGCGAACGGTGGAGGGAGGTGTGTAATAAGCGATTGGTGGTGTCGGCATCGAACCTTCGGGTTCTCTAAGCCTTTTATTATTATTATAATCAATCTTACAACATTATAGGGCATCATTTGGTGTCTGTCAAAAGTTGGATCTGTCAATATGGTTAACTGTATCAGATTAACTATGTCAGATTGTCACACAATATATTTATATGCTTATTTATACTTATGAATTGTAATGATTAAATATCTACTAACTTAATAGTGTAGAGATGGTTGACCGTGATGATAATATGAGGAATTGATCGGAGGAAGGATGGTGAGGGAAGGGGGAAGTGTGATCAAATGAGTACTAATATCAAAATAAAATACTATTTTGATATATAGTATTAATTTGACTGTAACCCCCTCTCCTTCCCCTCTCCAGATTTTTAAAGTATTTGATGACCTGTTTTATGTTGTAAGCATATTTTAGTAACTTCTATTGCACATTTAGTGATGTAAATAAGTTCACAATAAATTTATATTTAGGCTTAATTGTTACAGTCTCCTTGTCAATTTTACTGGAAAAGTTTCAAATTTTTGTTTAAAGAGTGAACCCTAAGATAATTATTGGAACATTAATAATGGCACTTAATAGTAAATAGTTAAAAAATAAATTTTTACATCATGATTTATTTATTCTTATTCCAGATGGAGAAATCAACCGTCTCAAAGCTACATTACAACATTATCTTAAATATGCCTCGCTCTTTGACAAGGTGAAAGAATCATTGCAAGCTTTTATGTCGGATACATCTCTGAAGAAGTTTCGATCTGAATGTCAAGTAAATACCAACATAATTTTAAATGTTCATCTTCACCTAGAAAGTGAAGAAAAGAAAAGTTGATTTTATTTTCTCTTTATTACTATGGTATTTAATGTCATTTATTTTTGTTTTTTTATAAACAGAAAGCAGTCAACATTTCAGTAAATGCAATATCTCCTACAAGCGCTGCTCATATGAATGATAAATTAAAAAAACTCACTTCAATATTATCTGGACAACAAATCATGGTGAATGGTAAATTATTTATTCCTAACCAACATCCCATGGGTGTCCAGTATTGTACATATTTCCTGGCCCAAAAAATTGTTGTAAGTAATTTTTTTAATGAAATTTATTTGGGTTTTACTAACGTTTAAGTAATTTTTCTTTTCTATTATTAGTGTTTAATTTAATTTTGAAACACTGTTTTTCTTGGCTTTCAGTGCTTATTAGTTTTTAGCTGCTTTACGATTGTTGTACCCCATTGTATCTTGAACTATTGATTTATAATTTGCTACATATATCTAGCCTTATGCCATTTTTTGTTTATTTTTCCTGTCTGATTTTTTTATATTCTTTCTATTAATGTAGCAGCTTTAGAGATTTCAGCTAATTACCCCACCCTTCTGGACTTCCTTGCTTATAAAATCATGTAATATTGATTAATGGATTTCCTCATTCATTTTTCTTTTTTTTTCATAAACACTGGTGACCATAAAACCTGCTACACCTTAGATTTTAAAGTCTGTATAGCAATGAATCGGCTATCAGATGGATGGCCTGATCATGGCCTCCTAGCAGAGCTTCCTGCCTCCTTTTACTTCTGGTCTGTCATAGAACCGTTTTTTCAGGACATGCATGGACTCAGACCACGTATTGCTGACTTCGTCCTCTTTCCATTAATTCCATTAACCCAGTAATCTGAGCGACTGTCATGGAATCCAAAACCATGTTACATTCTTAAAAGTGTTTGATTTTCAAGAAAAGAAACACCATTGCGGTTGAACAGGCAACTGAGGACAAACTGATATTTAGTTTAATTCTTTTATCATTAATCCTAGAGAGAATCATTTTCTCTATTAGATTAATGCATCACAATCCCTTTTGATTTATCAGGCTCAAAAATATTTCATTAATAAGCAGTTTTATGTAAAATTCAAGGTGTGTGCCCAGTTTTTTTTTTACCACCAGTTTATTTAAACTGTGTTCATGCGAAAAACTTTTCTTTTAAATCTTATTATAACATATAAACCTTCTTTATTGGATTCCTGTTGACCAAATTCTTCAACTGTATACCAGAATAGATTTTAGGTGGCAATATACACTCATCTTAAGACTTAAGAAATTTTAGACTTAAGTTTCCTTGAGATTTTCAGTATTTCAGTGAGTTAATCATTTGTCTACTTAAAAAAAATTTGTTTCCACACAAAGTGATCGTATCAATTGTTTATGTTCATAACTAATCATGCATATATTTGGTTATATTTGATCTTACTTATGTGTCTGCCTGGTATGTGACAATGTTAACTAATTTTACATGGTGGATGGTCTTAAGAAAGGCCATTCATGATGTTCATATCACTATTAATAATTCAGTAATTAGTAAGAATGTTAAAAAAAAATTAAATTGTTAGAATTGACAATTTTGATTGTATTTATATTTTATTGTCATAGTATCTATTTTAGTTGGTAAATATACAAAGTTTTTCAAATTATACAATGGTACTTTAGAAACAAGGAGAAGATGTAGTGTCGAGTAAACCAGATGCTGCTTTCGCTATAGCGAGTGTTGCATTAGCTATTTGGGGAGACTTTCCTGATTTTGGAAATCTTCTAGTGGCTGCATTTTACGAAGCTTGTCCCTACCTGATACCAATATACTGGGACAAAGAAGAAGGCATGTCTGATGTAGAATATTATAAGTATGTTTACATATTTTACCACTATATAAGTTTTACTTAGTGTTATTATTATTTTTTAAAACAAATCATTATAATATTCCTAGCATTATTTAAAAAAAAAATTAAATTATTTTATTTTTCCTATTATTTGTAAGTTTGTTGTATTTGGAAACTGTATCTGAAATAGTTATAATCCTTATGACCTTCCTTTATCAAATCCTTGTTAACACTAGCTGCCTCCTTCTGGAACTCTATCCCACCTATCATCAGTCTTGCCTTAACGGTTTCCTTGTTCAAATCTCTCTTCTTCAACCACCTTTTCCTCACCCGATCTAGTTAATATTATTATTTTATATTAAATTACTTTTTCTGATAATTCAAATGTTGCCGAGTTCATTTTAGTGCTTTTTTCCATGTTATAATTATTATTCTAATCTTTTTCATTTATTTATTCTTTTTATGTACTTTTGTTGTTTTAATTATTACATAATTTTTCTTATCTTTCTCATTTATTATTTATACTAATGAGTCTGACCACACTATGTAGCGTTATGCTAATTCTGTTCTTAAGGGACTTGGTCCTAGAATAGTAAAGTAATTTTTTATTTCAAGTTATGTATATTTGGATTTTTCAATGGGGGATAATAGTTATCTGAAAAAAAAATAAATGTATATATGCTGTGGAGTCTCTATGATCAGGGACAGGGCCCCCTCAGGTTATAGGAATAATGCTAGAGAATGAAATAATAAATCTTTGGATAAAATCGCACTAACATATATTTCGGTGTGTATGCATAGCCAAACAACTCTAGGGAGACCCTTATGGGTAGTTAGTGCTTGGACTGGGAAACCACGCTCAAACCTTACCAAATATACGTGATTTTTTTTTTTTTTTTTTAACTCTTCTAACACATTGATTAGAAATATATTATTTTAATGTCATGCAGTGATTCATAGGTTGATTAAAAATACATAAATAAATTTTAATAAATGAAAAAGGCTGTATATTTATGAAAAGAGACTCCCTCAATTTGTTTATCTATATATTACCTTTAATCATTGATACATCTTCTTTAATACATGAAATCTTCTTTGTTCTGCATCTCTTCGCTCTTGAAACAATATTTGGTTCTCTATGAAGGTTATATATGAGTCTCCTTATTGATCTTCCTTTTCCATCTTCCATTGATGAAGACTGGTCCAAGTATTAGCCATAGAATCTTTCTTAAAACTTAAAGAAATTTTAGACAAATTTCCTAGGTTCTGATCCGAGTGTCTGCATTGTAGATGAGGATTGAGTGTATTGGAATTTTTTAAAGAATAATTTTTTTTCTTTCTGGTTGGTTGGTTACCTTTTTGTGCCTTCCTTCAAGTTAACAGCTTAGAGTTCCCTCTACCTGAATTTAATAGACAAATTATGAACTACTTAAGTAATTTGAAATTTCTTTTGATTTGCTCACACCATAATATTTAAATATTAAATTATAAATAACAGAAGTATAACATTCTGAAAAAAAAAAAAAAATTGCTCACTTCAGCTCTAATTCAGCTGAATATGATTGTCCTATATTCCTTCTATTACTCTTAGGCTGAGAACTGCTTTTTTAAAGAATCATTGCACATTTTCTTAAATATTATATGTATGAACAGAATTATTATTTTAGGAAATTGGGATTTCGCTATGTTGATGACGAGAGAGATGAAATAAATGTATTTCTGAAGAAACAAGGAGGAATAGCTCGATTGTATTTTGCATTAATGGTAGCACACATGAAAAGCCGATCAGTGCATGAGCACCCTTGGGGTGCCTGGCAGGCATGGAGGTGGATCGCGATGTTTACTTCACTAAGTAAAATTTTTATAACATCTTTCTATTTTAATTATATAATCATAGTTAGAACATCATTTAAATATTTAATGATTTGAGTAAAACTTAATCAGATATTAATTTTTTTATATTATGCTCAAATTTCAGATAACAGACATTAAATGAGGATCCTAAATCAAAGAAACTTAGTTTTGAGTTAATGATTGTTATAATTATACATGTCCTATAATTGCCATGATTTATCTACCCTGGTTGTCATTCTTTTTTTAATAAGAATATCAGTATTTATAAAGCCATTCTTACTGTTGAAACAAATCTTTATTACTTAAAATTGTTTAAAACTATTTTCAGAATGAAGAGTTGCTCTTATATTCCTTTACTAGCAAATAACATATTCACAATAGTGAACAAAATCTATATAGTCACAGTAGTATTTCCTTTTATTCCAACATATTGGATTCATTCAATATTGAGGTTCATAAATAAGTTGTTAAAAGTATCAATAACATTAGCTATAAGATTTTGTCATTGTCTACTAATTTATTGTAGCTTTTTGGATTTTTTTTTATATTAGTGTTCATTATTTAGTTATCAGTGGCACTTTTTATGAAATCATTACTCTTTTAAAAGATTTCATGTTCATGTACAAGTTATAAATTGATAGTATCTTCGAAAACTAAACTGGAAACTTAATAATGAATCTAAATATCAAAGTGAATGTTTGATCTTAAAATTCTTTGTACTTCCATACAATTTTTATTATATTATAACAAAAGTCCCTACCAATATCGAAAAAATCCGAAAAATATAAATTAAATTGACAGGTCTGAGTGGTATCATAGAATCGATTATAATTTTAAAAAAATATTAATAAAAACATTAAACATATTTATTGAATTTGTATTCAATAAATATTTATTATTGAATAAAGAAGAAAGTAATATTAATCAGTTTATTTTTCAATGAATAATAAATAAATTATTCTTTAATTAAAAGATTGAAATAAAAATAATTTTTCATTCATTGTTTGAATTAAATTTTCCCAACTGTGTCTTCTATCTTCCGATCTATGGCTTGTCCTTATTTGTTTCGAGGTCTGGTGATTGGTCACCATAATGCTCTGGGTGAACAGAACTAGAACTAAATACCCCATAATAATAATAAAATTGACCAGATTATATGCAAATTTTTCTGGCCCTATATTTATAGATGTGTATTTGTTAGTTATCTATTAATGACTATCATCTTAATTAGTTTAATTGTTTTAACAGAAATAAATATTGATTACATTGATACAGTAGTTTATTCATTAATCTGGTGAATATAAGGATTTTTTGTTTTGTTATTTATTTTATGAGTTTGAAAATGGAAGAATGTGACGTATGCTGTCGAATAAGTGGTTAAATATGTTAGAAAATGAACTATGTTTCACTAATATCTGATCACTGATGTTCATTGCAGTTGCTAAGAAACTAAAATGCTCTTTGCAATCGACTCATATAACTCTCGATTACTATAGTTTATTGCATATTATTTAGGTATTATTATTAATTGTTATAGATCCAGAAGCTGAAATTAGCGCCACGATTCTTTTGACAATGCTCGAAATTTGTGGATTCACATTAATGAAAGCATACGGAAAGCAGTTTAAGAAATTACTTCATTTAATATGTGTGCACTATGTACCTGAAGTTGAAAAGGTATTGTCTTATTTACGTAAATAACCTAGCTCTTTTCTCTCACCGATGCCTTATCCATTAAATTAAAATAATAATTATTTATTTACTTATTTATTATATCCACCAACAGATACTATCCCAAACTAGAGATGGACAAAATAAATCAACGATAATAACTGAAAATAAACTTAATGACCATGCCAATTTTATACTTGATTGAATTAAAATATAAATGTAGCAAAATGTGACATGTGAAATATAGCAAAAGGGAATTTAAAAAAAAAAATTTTATACGGGTCTATGACCCACACATTGAGTCCCAGCCTGCTCCAGCATTGACCGCCAGTCATTTCTATTTTTGTGCTGCTGCCTTCCAGCTGCAAATACTCAGTATTGATAATGCATTGGCACCAAAACAGTCTTTTTCGATAGGACTTTAGATGGAATTTCTTCTGGGTTCATCCTAGCGACATGGCCTGCCCATTGCAATTGCGATAATTTAATGTCATCGACCATGTCTAAGTTACTATATAGACTTCTCAGCTCGGGATTGATTCTTCTTCTCCAGTCTCTGTTAACACATGCTCCCCATAAATTCTCCTCAGAATCTTTCGTTCAAATCTGGACGGTTCCAGTTCCTGAGTCCGTGTGTGTTCAAGTTTTAGCACCGTATGTTAAGAGAGGTCGAATCAGAGTTTTATATATTCTGACCTTAAAGGATTTTGATAAGTTTCTAGACTGGAATTGCTTTTGAAGTGCAAAGGAACACCGGTTAGCAGCCATAATACGTCTCAGAAAAATGGAATTACCTATTTAAAATCATAATCGAAAACCTGATTACGATCATAATCATATAATCGTGTAAAGAAGATCACTGTAATCGTAATAAAGTAATCATAATTACTGTAAGCGTAATCGTTGATATGATTTTTCTCATCTATTGCTAACACAAGTGGTAAGGTGACCAATGTGATATTCACTAGCATTAATCAAAATAATAATTAATTTAATTGTATATCTTTCTTGTATTCGGCCTTCGTGTACGGGTGGAAGGAATTGGTAGGGGATAATCATTTCAACCTCCACTAATGAAGACTGAAGAACTAGAGGGTAAGTGGTAGAAGTATGGTGCTGCTTCTATCAAAAATCTGTATTCCCGATTGGCAAAGAAAGAAGAGATATAAAATAAAAATAAAGTATCTCTTGCTTGTATTTATTGAGGTATATGTTCATTTTAAAATTAATTGTAGTGTTTTTCAAAGTTTTTAAGTTTAAATGGTATTAGATTAAAACAAATCACTTGTTTCATCTATGTATCACTATATGTATATCATAAATGTATCACTTTACATTTTGAAGAGATTCCTTTCTGCAGAAATCATTGTTCTTGATATTATAAAACTGGATAATGTAGTTTCTTAGAATTAGAATTTGTGTGGTTTTAAAGAATCTAAGTCTGTTTGGTTCTTAAAAAGAAGAAAATATTAATAAAATTAGCTAGATTGATTAGCAATGCTTTTATTGTTGCCCACCCATGCCCAAAGTAAAAAGTAGGTAAAAAAAAAAAAAAACTATAAAGATGTGTTTTAAATGAAAATTTGCAGATATATATGCATATATACATTACTGGCTGAATTGACTATCAATTGAAATCTATATTTTTATATTATTTCTTTTTAGGTTACCCCTCCTGGAAGAGGAGGCCCTGTTACACGTTTGAAATCATTTCTAGAAAATATGATAGGAAATGCTAGAAGTCTCCAACCGCCCAAGGGATTGCTGCAGCCAAATTTTTGGTGATTGTGCAACAGTGATTTTAAAATCTCAAGTGTTAATAATTTAAGTGAGAAATTAATTTAATCGTGAAGTATTTGACTCCTTTTTAAACTTGTATAACTTATGTATCTAATATTATCATTATAAATTTGTCGTTGTATATAGCTATTTTTATATATTGTACATAAGAAAGTTTAATTAGATTTTATTGTAATCAATATTAAAAAAAATATTGATATTGTATAGTTTTATAATAAATATTTATTTGCAATTTAATTCTGTCTTCCTCTCTACCCCGTTTATTATTATAAAATATTGAAAGGGAAATATTAGAGATAATTAAAACATGACATAAAAGAGACTAGGCCCAATCAGATAAAGATACTCCGTTAATAGGGCTGTGTGACACCTCTATCCTTTCAACACTATCAAAGATTTTCAACTGTTTGTAGATTCATGTACTCCAAGATCATGTTTATACTATTTATTTTGGTTATGTAGGGTTGTAAAATATACAATCTTTGTAAATAATACTGTCTTTATTCTTAATAAATTAATAATAATGTCTTAATTTCCTAAATAAATTTTCTCTCTCTTGATAAGTAAATACAAATATCTGTACCAATTTTGTTTTAACAATTTTGATTTATGTATCATTGAAAAGTGAAAAATCTTTGTAAATCTAATGTTAATACTAAAAATAACTTTTTAAATACATAAATTATTAATAAATTAATATAAGTTTAATTAAATCTTATATGTAATAATTGGTATTAAATTATAATTTGTTTTCCCTAATTATGATTATTAAATTATTGTATTTCTTTTACATGTATAACTTCTAGAAACCATGTATTTATTGTGGACGAAAATTGACTACTCTTGAATTATTTGAATTTAACTTATTTATTTTTTCAAGTATCAAGGTTTTCATGAAATATCGTTACACTCATAAACTAATTTATTTTTTTTTTATCCGTAATAGAGTGAAACACTAATTAATGCAGAATAAAAAAATTAAGAAATATCAGAAGATTGTTTTTATTCTTTTATATCTTTGAAATAATTCTTTATAGCACTTGAAATTTTCTTTATATTTTCAGCAGCAATGGTCTGAAATAAGAAAAAGAATTATAAATAGTAGAACAATATCTAGTTGTAAGCCTAAGTATAAATCTTCTCTGACCTAATAATCCCTCTAAAAAAAAGTGTTTTCATATATGACTTTCTTACCAATTTCAGACAAATTTATACCAATATAGACACGTCAATTAAAAAAAATCATCTAAATCAAACAAGTATTCAAAGATGTGTTATGTTAAACTTTGTTTATTTAAATTCGTCGGTTTTAGACTGTTCTAGAACTGCAAGGAAATCACAAAATATCAACTGCTATTACCATTCATGTTTTACAGGTTAACTCATACTCAAATAGCGTTTAATATAACTATGCTATTGTTGGTCGTGATCTTTTATTGTTATTTAAACTCATTATTACTTGAAAGTTTGACCTTAAGACAACTTAATCATCTTTCAATAAGTATCAGGAATGCTAAGTTAAAAGTTAATATAATTTCTTTTAGAAACTAAAGCCAAGTGAATGGGAATGGGTATCTATGCAGGACAAAACAAATAGGTAAATTTCAAATCATAGGAATGGTATATTACAATTATTTTTATATTATTTTATTATTTATACTGTTTAAATATTATTAGATTTGATATTTTAAATTTTATAAATATATATTTTACTGGTAAGGTGCTCATCTGCTGATAAGCATTCAACCATTTAAGTGGATAGCTTAAAGTTATTGCACTAGCAAGCTTGGCTACCCGATTTCGCTAATTTCAACCAATTAAGTAATAAAAGTTAATCACAAGTTTTTTTAAAAAAAAAGTACCCAGTAATTTTCGGGTATTTTCATTTGTGATTTTGAAGGTGTTACAGTTATAGCTGATGGTGGCTGTGAATTGATGCTAACTACACCAATTTTTGCAAATTCTCTCTGTCCAAAAATGGATGATTTTACTTTACCAAGAATTCTCTTTTTTCTGTATATATCAATCCTAGGTATTACTCCAATGGTATTTACTGAATGGACACCCATCTTTATCACTTCAGTCTTTCCTATAATCTGGTTGGAACTGGTGCCTATTCGTAATCCATTGTGTAAGTTTGTCACAGTATCTTTTATTTTCCAGTATTTAGTATCTCTTTTTAAGAGTTGATCTCCTACCAACTTCATTACTGGTGGAGGACCTGTTAAACAAATCATTAAAAATTTTAAAAAAAATTGAACACAAGGAAACAGTACTATAGCTATAGTACTATTCCAGCTGGAATAGACCACTTTAATTTAGGAAACTTGGTTCATTAAAGGAACAATGTATATTTTAAGCTTGTTGGTTATATCAAAAATGTAAATTTAAGATATGTCATGTGCTCCGATCCACATATTTCCCTGATTCTTGGAAACTATTGTTAAAATGTTACACAAACCTAAAAAACCATCCGAACACCCATCCTCTTACCGTCCTATTTCTCTATTACCTATCATGGGCAAAATCCTGGAAAAACTCATCCTAAAACGCCTGTATCCCATCCTAGACTCTCATCATGTTATCCCTGATCACCAATTTGGATTCCGCACATCGCATTCCACTATCCAACAATGTCACCGTGTGGTTGATGTAGTCTCCTCTGCATTGGAGCGCGGTATGTACTGCACGGGAGTCTTTCTCGACGTTGAACAGGCGTTTGATCGAGTCTGGCACCCGGTTCTTTTGTACAAACTCCGAAAAGTCCTACCTTACTGACAGATATTTCAAAGTAAACCAAAATAATGTCTGCTCATCCCTCTTTGCTCAATCTGCAGGCGTTTCACAAGGTAGTATCCTCGGTCCCATCCTCTACACAGTTTACACAGCTGACATCCCAACCCATCCTGACACTGTCATCACCACTTACGCCGATGACACATGTTTGCTATCTGTTAATAATGACCCTTTAATTGCATCCCAAAATCTTCAATCACATATCACAAGTCTTGAAGAATGGTGTAAAAATTGGAGAATAAAAATAAATTCCATCAAATCCCATCAAATCACCTTTACCCTTCGTCGTAAACCTATGACTTCTTGTCCTACAGTATCCTTCAATAATACTCCACTTATTGCTGTTGAGCAAATCCGCTACTTAGGACTCCACTTGGATAAACATCTTACTTGGAATCCTCATATTAGACTGAAACGACAAGAAACTGCTCGACGTTTCCGACTGCTCCAACACTTACTAGACAAACGCTCCAAACTTTCAATTAATTACAAAAGACTTATCTACATAACTATAATAAGACCTAGATGGACATACGGAGTTGAGCTTTGGGGCTCCACCAAACCATCGAATTCCTATCGCATCCAATCCTTACAATCCAAAATCCTCCGTAAAATCCTTAATGCTCCATACGTTGTCACAAATAAAACCATTCATAAAGACCTTAATGTACCATATGTCGCTGATTTAGCTCGAGCCAGATATCTATCCTTTCATGATAAAATTCAGTCCCATCCAAATCCGCTTGTTTCTACTCTTGCTTCTTCCTCGATCCCTGATAATCCTCCTAGGCGTCTGAAAAGGAGATGGCCTCGTGATCTTCTTACTTAAAATTATTTAGAGAGTGCTACCACTGGGTAGTAACTCTTGAAGCCTGTACATGCCATTATTTATAATTTGCATATATTTACTAGTTGTATTTGTATACAGTTGTAAATTTCATTAAATAAACAAAAAAAAAAAAAAAAAGGATATGTCATGAATTTAAGAATAGGCATTTACATATGAATGTGATAATTACAGGCAAGGAGTGGTTCCAAAACATCTTCTATAACTTTGCAAGATATTCCAAAAGAAGAGAAAGATCCTTGCTGGATTTTTTTTTTTTAATGTAGAATTTTTTTTTTTTTTTTTATATTTTATTTTTATTGAATAATAATACAATCAGCCACTGTTGGAGGGCTATAAGTATTAAGGCTAAAAGTTCTCATTCATACAGTATATACAAGTAATACAGAAGTAACTATAAATATAAAAGTAAATAAATAATACTTATAAAAAAAAATGTAAATCAATAGAAAAAAAAATAAAATAAAATAAAAAAATAAATAAACAAAATAAAATAAAAACTTCTAAACACATTCATACCTATATACATTCGCCCAGGAATCTCCGAGCCAGCCTTTTCTCCCCACATGTGGAAAGCAAAGCCGGACTCCAGAGATCCCAGTGCCACTTTTCCAGCCGCATCACTAGTATTAAAAGCCAGTGGAGGCTGAAGGAGGGCACTAGAGCCACAGATGCTCAGGACTTGAGTGGAGAAGCTGGCCATTGCCAGGACTCCAGAAGCATATTTACAATAGATCTCGCGGCCACTGCCGTTTTAACCTTCGAGGGGGATTGTAGGGATGGTGGGAGCTGGATAGGGATTGAGCTAGAGGATTTGGATGATGGATAAGGTTCTGGTGAAAGTTTGAGAATCTGGATGGGATGATGTCGAGGACAAAAGGGATGTTAAGGTCATGGTGTAGGGTCTTATTTGTGACATAATATGGGGCATTGGCTATTGTTCTAAGTACTTTGGACTGGAAGGATTGGATGCGTTTGATATTCGAATGTTTAGCAGTTCCCCACAGTTCAAGTCCGTAGGTCCAGATAGGTTTCAGTATTGTCTTGTAGATTAAAAGTTTATTTTCAATCGAAAGATGAGATGTCCTGCTTAGTAGTCTATATAGCTGGCCATATCGTTGGTTAAGTTCTTGTCTTTTAAGTCTCGTATGTGGGTTCCAAGTTAGTCTTTTGTCTAGAAGGAAGCCAAGGTAACGGACTGTATCTGAGTAGGGAAGTGGTATTGAATTGAAAAGGATTGTGGGACAGGATCTGCGTCGCAGAGTGAAAGTAATATGTTTACATTTTGCTTCATTGATTTTAATGCGCCAGTCGTTGCACCACTGCTCAATCAAGGAGAGGTGAGATTGTAGGTTTTGAGATGCTATTTGAGGATCTGAGTGGGAGGATAGAATGGCAGTATCATCGGCAAATGTAGCTAGGAAGGTATCGGGATTTGGAGGGATATCGGCAGTGAAAAGGATGTAGAGAACTGGACCCAAAACACTGCCTTGTGGAACACCAGCCTCAACTGGATAGTAAGTGGAGAATTCGGTGCCGCAACGGACTTGGAAGGAACGATTTGAGAGATAGGATTTGAGGACTAGGTATAAGGATTGGGGTAAATGGGTTTTGAGCTTGAAAAGCAAGCCATCGTGCCACACCCGGTCGAAAGCTTGCGCTACGTCCAGAAAGGCACCAGTGCAATATTGCTTGTTTTCAAGTGCAGAGGATATATGGTCCACAACACGAAGGCCTTGTTGGACAGTGGAATGTCTTGAGCGGAATCCAAATTGATGAGAAGGGATGTTGTGGGATTCGAGTATGGGTAGGATGCGTTTGAGGAGGATTTTTTCAAAGATTTTTGAGAGGATAGGGAGTAAACTTATCGGTCTGTAGGATGATGTGTTATTAACGGGTTTGCCTGGTTTTGGAAACAGCACGATTATGGAGTGTTTCCACATCAAGGGAAAGTTGGTAGTACGAAGGATGCAATTATATAGATAGGTCAGGAATATAATTGATTTTTTGGGAAGTTGTCTAAGGATTTGTGAAGTGAGGAGATCATATCCAGGGGATTTTCGGGGTTTTAATTTGTTTATGAGGAATTTGACCTCAGAGGGGTTAACAGGTTTTGGAGGTAGAGAGAGAGGAATTGGTGAAGAGAGGAATTCTTTAACTTCAGCAGTGTGGGTGGGATGGAGTTCGGGATGGGGAGTGAATGTGTAGGATAGATGTTTAGCAAACTCTTCAGCTCTATTCGCATCTGACGAAGCCCAGGAACCATCATCACGGCGGAGGGGGTGGGAAATGGATTGGACTTTAAGGATTTTTTTAGTTACAGTCCAGAGGGAGTTATCACTAGATGTTAATGAGGAAAGGTAGGAATTGTAGGATTGGGTTCTAAAGATATCCAGTTTCTTTTTTACCTGTTTGGAATAATAGTTATACGATTTCCGGTCATCAGGATGCCTGGTTCTTTGCCAGAGGGCCCTAGAGCATCGTTTGCTATGGATAAGGTCCAATAGGTCTTGGGGTAGAGGATTTATACTGAGGTGTTTTTTGGGACGATCAGGTGAGGATGCAGTCCAAACTGCTTGCTGGATCAGCTTAGTAAAGGAGTCCACTGCATCGTCAAGGTCTTCAGGTGTTTTTAAGGAAACTCTGAGGTCTATATTATCATCCAATATTTGACGGAAAAGGTTCCAGTTAACTGGTCCCCTGATAAATGAAGGAGAGGATGATTTAGGAATGGGTGATGTGGAAGCGGTTAGGACTATAGGACTGTGGTCTGAGGAAAGATCATCAAGCCTTGAAATGGAACAGTGTAATGATCCTAGACCTTTGTGTAGGAAAAAGTCTAGAAGGTCGGGATTGCGGTTGGGATCTGTTGGCCAGTATGTGGGAGTATTAGGTGAAAGGATGTTGCTGCGATGGGAATTAAGTGCAGATAGCAGTGTTCGCCCTCGGGAATTTGTGGATCTGGCTCCCCATTGTTGGTGTTTTGCATTTAAATCTGCACCTAGGATGAAATGGTGTCCTAAGGAATTCAGGAAGGAAATTATTTGGGATTCGGAAATGGGTATTTTAGGCGGGGAATATGCCGCAACTAATGTTATTGGGTAAAGGGAAGTTTGGATTATTACAGCAGTGGATTGTAGGAAATTATGGGTTGGTAAGGGAAATAAATGATGGGAGAGAGATCGGTGGATAATTATAGCAGTGCCAGCATGTGCTGTTCCATCAGGATGATCGGTTCTATAAATATTGTAGCCAGGAACGTTGATTTGTCGTTTGTTGGTTAGTCGGGTTTCAGTTATTAGTGCTATGTCGATGTTTTTGTCATGTAATAAGATTGTCAGTTCGTTGATGTGATTTCGAATACCATTCGCATTCCATAGGAGAATGGAAAGGGATTTGGTTGAGGACATTTATGGATTTCTCGGCGGTGGAATGAGGTTGGATATAACATTGGTAAGTAATGAAATAAGAGGGGTGATAAGGGATCTAAATTCAGAGAGGAAAGAAGTTAATAGGCTTGTGAGGTCAGTGGAATTGGAAGGAGGAGGAATGTATGTCTGGGTATTGAACCTAGGTTCAGGGATGGAGGGATGTGGGTCTTGAGGTCGATTTGTGAATTCTCGAGGTTGAGGTTCTTGTGGCAGGGCCTGAGATTGAGTGTTTATAGTGTCTCCTTTGAACATCTGAGCATAGGTCACTCTTCCGTTCACTGTTCTAGAGGGTTGTCTTGGTGGCCTGGATGTCCCTTCTTCTCTAGGAGTTGCGTACATTCTTGTTTTTAATTCTTTGTATGTTTGACAACCCTTGTAGTTGGCAGGGTGCCCTTGGTGGCATAAAGCGCATACTGCAGGTGAAGTTCTAGACTTCCTACATTCTTCTGTTTTGTGTTGCTCACCACACCTCACACATCTAGGAATGTGATGACAATATCTTTTCGTATGGCCATAAGCCTGACAGTTATGGCATTGAACGATATCGCGCTTGGTGTAAGGCTTTTCCACAACAACGCTGGTGTAATAAAGGCGTGTGACCTTGTAGATGTCTTCGACCTGGGGCGTTCGGTCAAGGTCAACGAAGAATAGTGGGAGCGGTATTTTACTTTTTATTCCAGGCTGTTCTCTATCCTCCTTGAATATGTTCACTATCTGGCGAACATGGAATCCCATACCCACGAGCTCTTCTTTTATAGCATCAGTTGGCGTAGATGGGTGCAGTCTTCTGATAACGACCCTGAGCGCCCTCTCTTGACGCAGTTGATACGTGTGGTAATCCGCCTTGGTATCAGATAAATATTTTATAATTTTTCTGTAAGTTTCTGGAGTGTCGGGCATTAATTTAGTGTCATTGGTGCGGCTTTGGCATAAATATTTTCCTGAGCCCACTAGGTTATTCAATTGGTGACACATTAACTGAAAGTTTTTAATATTCCTAAGGAATATTGGTGGGGGTTTGGGTTCCCTGGGGGTGGGTGCTGCTTCCATTTCTTCGTTTTGTGTATTAGATAGCACTTGAAATGGGTTCTGAGTAAAAAACGGCGATTCTTCACCAGTCTGAGTTGTCTCATGATTGTTTTGTTGTTGTGAGGTACCAGGTTGGGGATCCACTTCTTCAACAGAGCTCCCTGGTGTGGCTGGTGGAGTATTTCTTTTCGAACGCCTTGTTCTTTTTTTAATAGGAGAACTCATTGTAGTATCGAGGCTCCTGGATCTAGTATTTTTACCATTGCTCGACATTAGCATATGATAATATCGCATTTCATATTATAAGTTATAGTAAAAATTGTAAAATGAGAAGTGATAACAAAATTTTTTTTTTTTTTAAACACGGAAATATATACGCGTGCTTAGAGAGGACTGATCGGCACAGAACCTCCTTGGACGGAGAGCCAGAGCCCACTGGTGGGATTAGCGATGTTATGGCCGGCCGCTATCAGTAACTAACCTGAGGTCTATTTACACTGTTCACTATTGAGCTGTAAATAAGTGATTACTCACCTTATTCTTTTGTTCAGTAACAAACTTAATTGTTAATATAACAGGTAACACTGTTGTTTCACATTAAAGTTGAACACTGCCACTATTAATGAAGAATTTTGTAAGAGATGACCTGACGTATGTTTAACTTAGGCTAACGCATGCGCAGAACTCAATGTAGAATTAATAATGTTTTTTATACCAATTTCTTATAATTATTTATTAACTTCAAGTTTTGGCATTTTTTTGTGTGCTCATTTTCAAGTTATTAACTTACTATTTAATCATTTTCTTTCTATATAAATGTGAACATGACTCGAGTGATGGCCTTAGACATGGGGGAGCCCCAGGCAATAACGTCACTTCCATCTTCTAAAAAAATAAAATTTATTTCTGAAGCTGTTTTATGTTACGTAATAGTTGAATTTTATATCATGAAATATTTCGCTAATACATTTGCTTTATTGGTAGGCTAAAATTAATTTTTTTTATTTCTTACAAGTGGCGAGTGCCCCTGAAGATCGCCTAGCGCCCCCCAATGGCAGTTGTCTCGGTTGTCCCACTCTAAGGCCGGCAATGCATTGCAGACATTATTTTTAAAAATTGTCTCATATAATTTTGTACACCTTAGATGATAGTCAAATCCATTCAACTCCAACCAGATCAAGGACGACGGGTCATACTTTAAGTTAAAAACATGCAAAACCACCTGCTTAAGTGCTTGTCGAGGGCTGTCCAGCTTTCAGAACCATAAAGAAGTACTGGGAGGAACACCCGCTGATATATCGTGAGTTTGGCCTTTCTGCTTACTTCCTGTTTTCCTATGATTGTATTCGCTATCTGGTAATATATCCCATTGACCTTTATAGCCCGATTTAGTAACTCCTGGTCTATTTTACCATCATCATTGATGATTGTCCTCAGATACGTATATGCATTTGTTACCTCTAGGGGTTCGCCATTTCTTAACATCATAGGCTCCGCATTATCTTTTCCAACACACATAACCTTGCTCTTAGACGGGTTTATATGCAGTCCTCGCCGCTTTAATTCTTCTTCGACCAATGATATCTGTAGAGCCTTTTGTGGCTCCGCTATAAGAATTATATCGTCGGCATATAACATAGCTTGAGCCAACACTGGTGTCAAATTCCAATATCCCACAACAGCCCTTGGGGTTCTTTCTTTACACACTTTCCAAATTTCATCCATGAGAAGGATAAAAAGCAGAGGACTAAGACTATCCCCTTGCTTTACTCCTTTATAAAAGTGGAAAGGTTCTTATGTGTGTCCATTGAGCCTTATTACACCCTTTGGGTCTTGGTATATTGATTTAATTGCACTCACCGAGTTTCCAGGTATTCTTCTTCTAAATAAATGCACAAAGAAAGAAAATTCTATGAAAAACATTCGTCTTCTGATTAAAGTAATATTTTAAAAAAAAATTTCAATAAAGGTGAAACAACCTCTTGCGCACAACCGCATATAAACCTCTTGCTGTGGGGCCTTGGATTGGATTGTCTCTTTTGCTTCCTCCTGGAGTCTGTGCTGGTTTTAATAAACTCTTATTGAGTTTTTAGAATATAATTAGTATTCACTATCAATTAATATCTACAAAAACAACTAAAAAATTCAAATTTTTAAAGGTCATTCTTACTTTAAAAATGTAAATAACTTTAGCTATAAGAAGTTGATAAATATAATGATTATATGACTGATGTAATTATAATGATTAAAGAAATTACTTCAATTAATGAATCTTATTTTTTTTTTGTTAAATATAATCCTCATCCCATTGAAAAGTATATTTTTCTTATGAGTGAATCAAGAAATTTTCTAAAAATATTTATTTTAAGATGGTTACAATGCATACTGTGAAGCCTTCCAAATTTTTATCTAATTTTAAAACAGAGTTTGTTAAAAGCATGGTGTTATATTGTTTTAAAAATATATGTATATTAAATAATACATAGCATTATATTTTATAGTTCTCACCATCAATACAGCCGTGTTTATTTAGCCTTATAGTTGCACAACCAAAACCTATCATTTTAGAAAAATACGTAATGATTATATCAGTGCGTTTCCAAGTGACTGAAAATAGTTTTAAAATTACCGCAAATTTTCTTTTATATCGACATTATATCGATTATATATTCGATCTATTTTTTCTTAATTTTATGAAAGTTATTGTTATTTGGAGAATACAAGTTAAAGGAGAAAAAAATATAGTTTATAACGTTTTGAAGTTTAATATTTTTGGTTATAAATGTGAAGTATATTCGTGTTTATAGTTTCCATAACCATTTACAACCATAAAATGTCCTCCAGGGACAGGTTATATACGTGCTCACCTTTGTACTTTGACATATTCAGTTATGTCTAAGTTAACAGGGCAATTTAGGAACACAGCTTGGGACCCAACTTTAATAATATCCCAAATTATTGCTCTACAGAGTGTATATTACTTAACACTCGGAGTTTGGTTAGTAGCATTAGACTTCATAGTTGGGACTTCTAGGTCTTTAGATCATATTTTTAAGTATCAGGTTTGTATCCGTATTTAATACTGTAAATATTAATTTAAACAGCATGATCAAAATATTGTTCTCTAGGAAATTCAAGTTCGAGATGTTACTGGTAAGCTGGTCATTGTGTCATATGTGCTCAACTCTTTAACTGGGTAATTGGCTTATTTTAGTTATCAAATTTATTTATTCTGGAGTATTTACCTGATGTTAATTCATACATATTACAGTTCTGTTGGGCTTTGGTGGTTAGTGCAGAGAACCAAGTTGTGTTTGGATTTTTCTTGTACTGCTCATTTCATGCATTTAATTTTTTGCTGGATGTATAATGGGTAAGTTAAAACTCAATTATTATCTTAGTTATGTAATTTTTTATTAGTGAAGTCATTGTCTCGCTGAAGTAATACCCAGAAAGGGATGTTGCTTCGATTTTAACTATGACATGGGACTTTTATTTTGAGTTTGTAACTGCGTAAATACGTATATAATTATTCTTACTTTCTAAGTAGAATAAGTTATTATCCTGTTATGGATTGGCAATAATTAATGGTTCAATACTATCAATATTTCAGTAAGTTCCCATCACAGACTTCAGGAAGATTTATTTCCGCTGAATTCTTTAATTATTTATTTCTGATGCTCAGTAAGCTTCTATTACTAACTTTTATGTTGAATACATTCTTGAAGATTTGTGTTGATTTTGGCACTATTAGAATTACTAAATAAACAATTGAAACATTTTATTGACAGGAAAATATATTGATATAGAAAAATAAATTATGTTTATTTCTATCAATATCAAATTCAAACATGAAACAACTATGGTGATATATAATGTTTGAAATACTTGTAAAAAAGGGATTAATTCCTTATTATAAAGATGTAACAAAATATGTTTCTACAGTGATACAAATATTTTTCTATAATAAAAAAAGTAATTTTTATTTACTCTTCTGTTTCAGTTACTTTCCAAATACTTTGTCTTGGTGGTTGTTAAATCTAGCTTGTGCTACGATAATGTGTATATGTGGTGAATTTCTGTGTATGCGAACTGAACTTAAGGCGATACCCCTTAATGTGCCACCCAAAGTTGATCTGTGATTCGTTATTAATTCTTTCCTATTACATAGACAGATATAATTGAAGTTTTATGAAATAATATATATTTTAAAACTTCCTCCAAAGGAGACCTATATTACAAGATGTGTATATATTTTTAATGTGATTATATAAAGCTGTACATATTTTTTATTGTTAAAATCATTTTTATATTGTCATTAAGTTTAGAACGTATAGCTAAGTTAGCATTAGTGACATTGAGTTTTAAGTTTTCTACATTCCTATTAAATACAATTAAGACATTATATTTGTTTATATTTGTAGCTATACTTAATAATTCCAAGAAATCAAAAATTGAAAAATATTGCTGGACTTTAATAATACATTAATTGATTTATGCTATAATGAAATGATTTTTAGAATGCATGTTTTAATTTCACAGTCTATACTGCAGATTTTCAAGTAGTTTCTTATGTGGAGGCCATGAGATCATTTACAATTTATGTGTTAAGAGTATATAAATAGCGTTTTATATATAGGTTCACAGAAAGGCAATGAACCATAAATTATTACATTTTTACCCTCTAATGTATTAATTAATTGAAATTATTTTAGTAATTTACTTTGTATATTCTATCATAGTATATTTATTATATTGATTAAATGAATCTATTATTTTTCTTTTAAAATAATTAATCTTTCTCTCATCTTTAATTATTTATCTATAATTTTGCACCTATTTTAGTTAATATTATATTAATTTGAGGTATTTTAAGAAAACTATTGATACTTTAAGCTTATTTAGTCAATTGAAAATAATGTAATAAACCCGTTGTATAAATTATAAAATAATTAAATACTTAATTTAAATTATTAATTTATCATATTACTTTGATTTTATCATATATATTGAGCTATTTTGGGCAAATGGTCCCTATAATCTGTGATAAAACAATTACACATTTTTTTTAGAGTTCTATATCATCAGTTGAAAAGTCTCTAAGTATACAATAGATTAATCTAAACTCAGTCCAAAATCAATGTAGTTGTGAATTTCAATCATATATATCGATGCAAAAACTCATTAAGTGCATCAAAATAAAACAAACTATTAAATTTGAAAATAGTTTTAATAAGTCCATAAAGCTTGGATTTTATTGAGGGAAATGTTATGATGTTACTTATTGATTCCATTGACTAAAATGTTACTTAATGACTTTTCTCATTAACTGATGATTTGTTTGTAAAAATGATATATTTGTATGTATATCTTTGCTGCAAATATAAGAATAAAAAACTTAGCCACTTTCTAATGCATTTTTGTATTTAAATTTCCCTTTTTATTTATTTGTCTACCTGTGAATCTAAAATTTTTTAATTAATTTTCTGCTTATTTATTTATTTTATTGAATTGAATGAGCAATAAATCTTATCTTTCTATTAAACGAGTTATATATTTAAATAACAAAAACCAAAAGGCTATGGAAGTAAGGCTGCAAGTAAATTTTTGTTATAAAAAAGCTAGTAAAACACCTTTTTAGTATCCTTAAAGACTACTAAATACGACTTTTATAAAATGGGAATTTCAGCTATAGATTTTTTTTTTTTTTTTGAGCTGTTAATTAAATTATTCGTTACTTTCATGATTTTCTCAAAATTCAATGTAATACAAGTCTGCCAGACCGCCAATATCATGCATCTGTCCCACATCCATAAATGTTCTAAAATGGCGGTCCAGACATGGTGGACTGATGACTTTGGCTTGTGTTAGTTTTTTGGTTGCTGAGGTTCAGCATTTTACTTAATTTTCGTCATAATTGGCCTTTTATTAAAGCTGGATAGTCAGAGAATAATAGAACATGAAAAATAATCGGCTTAGGCAATAAAACACACCATTTAAGTCAGTTTTTCAAGTCATTCAAACTTAGTTTGAAAATCAAGCATCGTTTGTAATCAAACGGCCAAAAATAACGAGAAATACTCAAAAATAAAACATTTAGAGAATATATTACTCTTTTTAACTGATTAATTTTTAAAATATTTGAAACGGTTCCTTAGAAAATGCACTTAGTCGGCGGAAAAGCGGTACTGGCGTAAAGTGCGTTCATTCTGTTGTATCTTTCAGTACTAATAGTTAGCTTATCATCATTAAATGGCATAGATAGGTGATGTAAAATAATTTTTAGCTGATTATTTTGATTATATTAACGTACAAATATTAATGTAATTGTCTAAAACAATAATACAATATGTTTTATTTATTTGCTTTATTCTAGATTGAAGACGTTTAAGGAGGGCTCTTTTGTAAAAAGTATAAAGCTATAAAATAAAAAATTAATTCAGAAATACATAGCTGATTGTCTTACATATGAATAGTGTGCAATTTAACATTTTTTTTGTTTATGGGTATTTATTGATTTTTAGAGGTTCGTTAAATGTTATGTTCTTTCCGAAAAGGCATCATATTAGAATCTGTTTTATTGACTAAAATATATGTTTAAATTGGTCCAATCTTTTTTCCATATTGTAGCTATCTGGATATATACTAGCCCAATATAATATGTCTATATACCGGCCTAGTAACTTTTTTTTTTATGTTTAAACTCAGTTGATATTCATTTTTCTCATCTCACAAAATTATTAAAAGCTAATTTTTATAACCATCGAAAAATTTAATGTTAATTGAAGAACTTAAAATTTTCTGAACCTAGGCGTTGTCCCTTTTGTAAAAAATCATAAAAATTGTGATAAATTCATGACGTCTACACCGATTTACACGAAAATTATTAGGCTTATAGTGCTCTTTATGTTATACGAAATGGTACAATATATACCTCCGTAAGAAAATTAAAACCAAAGATAAAACGGAATCAAATCCTAAAGGCATTGATACTGGTTGGAAGAGCATTAATTCAGCTTTCCAACGGTTGTACTGACGTTGAATTTGGAGAAAATCCTGAAAAGTTACGAATGGATTAGTTAAAGTCAGAAAAAAAACGATAACAAAAATCCTCCAAGAAAATCAATTACTCAACTTCGTGAGTTTTGATTTCTATGAAAAAATCGTACTTAACAGTCTTTAAGGATACTAAATACGACTCTTAACTTGTTTTTTCATGAAAAACAATTACTTGGCCTATTTTACTGGAAGCAACTTTTCGTGTTTGTAATTTATGACACATTATTACTCATTTAATACCATAGTCAATATTTGTTTCCCACTCAGCACAAGAAAAAGAAAAAACGAAATCGATTGGTATATTATAATCTATTAATCCCGGGAAAGAAAATGCAAAAATAAATAACATAAATTTTGAAGAGAAGTTGGTTGGGGTTTTCAGTCAGTTAAAATACAAATTGACCAAGAATTATTTACGCCATATCACATCAAATAACATAAACTGCTAAGGATTCCTTTATATGAATTTTTATATTGACTAATATGCCATTCGTAAAGCCACGAATAAATATATAAAGTAAAAATAAATAAATTATATTTATTTTCGCTGGCTGAAAATCCCAGCCAACTTTTCTTCAGTATATTCACTACAGTCAACTATTATTAATATAAATTTTGTTTGAAATTACATAAAATATGTTTTTACTCAGCTCATTGGAGCGTACGTCAATACGTGTATCTAATGTTTGTTGATGTAGTATCACCTAAAAAAAAATTGGTTGAAATAAGTGATCCACTGATTGTAAACTGCTCTTGTTATAGTGGATGTCTAAATGTGGACCAGGGGTTAAAAAGTTTGCCGACCTCTTAAAACGATTAAGAACATTTGAAAAACAAAGAAGTTTTTGTTTTTATTCTACATCAATTTCATAGTTACCTTAATAATTGTATTCGTGCATCTGGTCGACGAGATGAGCTCTGGAAATTGTTCGATTTAATTTTTTTGAACTAATAAATTGTCTTATGCAATTACTTTTAAATGTTTAGAAAAAGTTTCAGAGAGCAATTCTTAGTGACCTTTTAAGAAGAACAAGGGTGAGGATCAGTGACTTCGTCCGCTTCGGACAGACTCTGTGATTCATGAGGGTCTGTTCGCTAAGACTTTGTCTTTTTACTCCAACTTTTTTTTTACCCGTTTAAAATATTGTAGTAAATATACTATTCTTGTTTAAAACTTTTCATCGATTCTTTTCATATTTTAAAAATATGAATTTTATTAATATCCTATTATACAATTCTAAAGCTTGGTTAAAAAATAAAAAATAATTTGAACAAATTAACTTATTGTATGATTAGAAATGAAATAAGATTTGAAAAATGAAGCAAACACATCACCATATAGAGAATGAAATGATTTTCATTCAAGTACATTTTAATTTAGCCAAATACTTTAATTATTGCTTTGTGGTTCTAGGAGGACCGTTGAACTTCCTTGTTAGCTCTAAGATTTTTTCAGCCTCCCTTAGACCAGACAATCTTGCGCCTACAACACTGTTAAAGTATACTGAATCTGTTGAATCTCCTGCGAAAAAGAGGACAGGGACTGGGTCTTCTGGTACCGATGTCTTCATTTCCTAAAGAAAAGACAACGTTGTTCGCTTTTACCGCTTAAGCATAAGCTTGTAATGAGTAATCATTTACCTCAAGGTGATCTTCAGTGGTGTTCATTGTCAAGTACATGGTGGATCCTCTACAGTAGGAATTGGTCCCCCACCTCCCCACGATTATGTGGTTTGGAAATGGAATAGTATTGTCACAAAGCAGTCTTCTGAAGAATCTAGTTACTTCCAATGCTATCTGAAATATAAACCAATTAATTATTTTTACCTTAATTTTTATAAATTAGCCTTTTCTCGTAAATTGTTTATAAATTAACATTAAATATCAATCCAATTGGGTTATTTAGTATTATATGTATCTTGATATAAATTATCCTTTTAGGGTTTAGTTTCTTCAAGTCCGATCTAAAAGTTACTATGAATAGGTCAAATATTTATTTCCAAGATGTTATAAGGTTAAAAAGTTATAAATTTTAAGGAGAAAGTCAACAACAACGAAATGTTTTTTTTTTTTTGTAATCTCTCCTAAAATTGCGAAAATCAAGTTATTGTCATCAATTAATGATTATAAATAATTAAAAAAAAATGAAAACAATTTAATTTTGGACTAAACAATAGTTAACGTACTGAAAGTCCCCAAACCTTGAAAGGATGGAGATATGGAAAAGGGGAACCAGAAGATCACGTTTTATGATTTCCGCTTGTAGCAGGGAGGCTGTGTGCCTAGCGATGATGTTCTAAGTAAAATAGGATTATTTTTTTCGCTATATTGCTAGTTTTTGAGCTGTCCATCCTCAAATTTTGCTAATTTCGAAAAAAAAAACAAACACGGTTTTGTCTTTATTCGACTATCTACTTCTTTATCTTTTCATTCTACGAGAGTCACGAGGAAGAATGTGTATCGTACATTAAATTTTCTTCAAGAGTATATATTACTTTATTATTTTATGTTCAACGCTTCAAAATTATAATTTTATATGTAAATTACGATATTTTCCAGAAAAATTTTACTTTCGTATTTGAGTTATATTACATTATTCTAACTCTATATACAAGTCAATAAAAACGTGTACATATGAGTGGCTTCATATCAAAGACGGACTTTGTATTTCAATAGAGGAGCTGTCAAAGTAGTTCATTAGATTCATAGGGTCAAAAGTTCTAGGTTTATGCAGAACATCCTCGTCCCTAGGGCACATACCATCACTAATATAAGCCGAAACAGAAAAAAGTGATCTGGACTTCTCCAACCACGTCTCTCCCACATCTCGCAAACAAAATCCTAAAGTCAACAAATGTTTCTTCTATTTCTCTCTTCAGCATTTTTTTGAGCATTCGTTGAATGGACTATTAGGTGGTGTTGGAATTTATATGACGATATAACAAAGGACTATTTTGAAGTTTTACCTCTTCCTCTGAGCACTGTTCTAACATGAGGGCTTCGTTACCTACTATTCCGATCTCCATAACAGAGCGAGAAGAGGCCATGATCTTGTATATTCCCCTGGTCCAGTCGCCATTCTCCGCAATCTCATTAGACGACAATCCTAGCCTTATACTGTAATGAAAAGAAATTTTGTAAAAGATGTCTGCCAAATAATGACTATTCCGCATTTGTTAAAATAATGTTCAACTTGAATGGCTATGTTAGCACCGTACCTACACCCGGCTCCTCCCCACCAAGGCTCTGCATACTCTAGGAACACCTTGTTCCTGACGCCATTCCCCATTACATTGATGGCATCCAGCTTATTCTTCGGTAGGGGCGGGTGGAACAAGTTTGTACATTTTTCCTTCATCACGCCTAGAGGTAATGTGACGATCACGTAGTCGGCTGTTGGTCAATGAAATGAAATGAAAAAAAAAAATGTATTCTGGGACTGAAGTCCCCTTAGGATAATAGTAGAGTTTACAAAATATGTACTTTAGCCTGGCATGCCAGTCTTATACAAATATATGCAAAAAATACCTAGTCAATGGGTAAAGAATTAGCTTTTGTCAAAACCTTAATGCTCGATTACAAATTACTAATAATTGTTCCAGCGCAATATTATAATATATGTTCGTCAGGAGACCTGTTTAATAATGAATGAACTTAAGTACAAATTACGGTAAAGTTATGAATGAACTTAAATACAAATTACAAATAATTATTCCAGCACAATATTATAATATTTGTTAGTCAGGAAACCTGTTTAGTAATGAATGAACTTATTGCATTTTTATCACACTTGCTAATTTAAAATTTATTATTAGCACAATGTTTAATATTAACCTGTTCTTCCCGCTCTCTGACCTATCGTCAGCCACAAAAAAACTTCTAGAAGACTTGGATAGGATTTGTGACTGGGAGGGAGCTAACAAGTTGAAGCTGAATGCGGAAAAGACGAATACAACCTTAATAGGCTCCAATCACCTCCTTAAAACTGTTCCTAATATCCCAACTCTGTTACTACATGATAACCCCATCAAATTTTACCCCACCATCATAATACTTGGAATAATCTTTGAGCAAACAAACGCTTTCCTGGAAAAAACATGTGTCCAATATCTCCCGCCGTATCTTTTCAACCTTAAAACGCCTAAATTACTTCCGTCACCTGTTTTCCCTTGAAATGCGTCGTCTCCTAGTCACTTGCTTAATATTTACCCACTTTGACTATTGCTGTAACGGTATGTGGGGGGAGGGGAGGGCGTCTCTGAGGATCTTAAGGGGAAACTAAAACGTTTGATAGATTGCTTTGTACGATTCATCTTCGGGATCCCAAAAGACGCCTGTTTCCCGTTTTTATGCAGAATTGAAGTGGCTTTATCCCTCCTACCGTCGTAAGTATTTCCTAGCATCCTTCCTCTTTCAAGTCATCCAATCCCGCCGTCCTTCATACATCTCCGAGCTCCTTCAATTCAAATCCTCTGTTCGTTCCCGTAATACTCCTTCCCGGTCTTCAGATTTATATACAAGGGCCCACCGAACCGCTGCTTTCGATAGATCGTTCTTTCTTAATATTAATTTATTGAGACATATTTCAAACTGTCACATTATGTACAATAAATAAAGATAAATTAACAGCATAATAATAATACTAAAAGTAAATATATACAAACTAGAAGAAACTAAACTAAACAAAAAGAAACTCAAGTAATCAAAATAACTACTTAAATACACACATGCTTTTATACAATATTTACAAAATTCATTCACTCAAGATCCCTTTTTCCTTCCTACTCGTGGAAGGAAAGGCAGGACTGCAGGGGATCCCAGCGCCTCTCACCCAGCCGCATTAAGCGTATTAAGGAACAGTGGAGGCTGAGCAGAGGCGCTATAGGCAGACAGACATACATGGCTTGAATAGAGAAACTGGCTATTGCCAGAACTCCAATATATGCGTATAACAGGTCTCTCTGCCACTGCCGCTTCAACCTTCGAGGAGGATTGTAGGGATGGGTAGAGCTAGATAGGGATTGTGCAAGTGAATTTGGATGATATGTAAGATTTTAATGGAATTTGGAACATTTTTCAGGGATAAGGTCTAGTACAAAAGGCATATTAACGTTATGGTGTAGGGTTTGGTTGGTTACGTAGAACGGAGCATCAACTATTGTTCGGAGGACATCGGACTGAAAGGATTGAATGCGTTTGATATTTTAAAAAATTGCTGTCACCCACAATTCCAGTCCGTAGGTCCAAGTGGATTATAGTATTGTCTTGTTGATCAGTAATGGTTATCAATTGAAAGTTGAGATTTTCTGTTCAGTAGTCTACGTCCATAGGGTGAGTTCTTGTCTTTTAAGTCTAGTATTTGGGTTCCATGTTAGTCTTCGGTCTAAGAGAAAGCCAAGATACCGGACTGTGTCTGCCCTGGAAAAAGACTCCTTTTTTCTTCAAAATAATTCTATTATTATTGATGAAAAAATATTAATATCAAGCTGAAAGAATATTAAAACTTGATTAAATTTTGGGAACGTTCTTAAATAAGATATGTTATACGTAATGCTATAATCATTCCAACAGCACGTCCTTACCATCGTAGCAGCTGAAGTCCGATGTGTAGACTTGGGCTCTCGGGTCGCAACGGCTGAGTTCTCCCTTCCACTCGATCTTAACGACCTCCTTCTCGAGGAAGATCCGGTGGAACGGAACGACGCTGATAACGGGTGCCAGTAAGGACAGCAAGCCCGCTGGCACTATTACCGACGGCCCTGGGATGTTTTTACTCATGCCGATCATGGATGCCGACACGTTGTTCAAATCTCCTCCCCAAGAACCCTTCAATTCGTTCACCATACCGAAAAGAACTCGTTCTGCAATGTACCTTGGGTATTGCATTTATTAGATTTATTGATTAGTTAAAAGGTATATAAATGAACCAAATCTAATAAAGTCTATACCTATCTTCTTCAGGGTAGTTGAGCAGTTCTTGGTTTATTCGCAGCGTGAGAAAATGAAGAAGGGAAGTCTTTTCGCTAAGGTAGGTCGCCTCCTTAATAATGTGTTGGAAAAGGAGATCCTCAGCTTCGTAATCATTTATTGGACTGCCATCGGAGGTGAGGAAGAGAGTGGGCTCTGGGTCTAGTACCTTGAAGATCCTGTCGACCTCGCCTTCGCTGAGAGCCAGGGCGAGAGAGAAGAGAGGGTTGGATATGTTCATCCCGCCTGTCACATAGCCGCAGCCGAGCTCCACCGCTGAATCCCCCAGCCAGCAGCTCGTGATCTGACCACCTAGTCTGTTTGTTTATCATCAAACAGTCACTAAATTTTTAAATGATTTGTAAATTTTAGCGAATTCATGCTTATTTGGAAAGATTAAGTTACTGGGTAGATATTTTGCTCGAAGTGTTTTCTAATTATATTTGAAAGCGGAAGAAAAGTAATGGGTTATCGTATGACGTACCTGTTAGTTGCCTCCAAGACCGTGACGTCGCAAAGGCCACAGTGGCAGAGCCTCTCGGCGGCGGACAGTCCCGCCAATCCCCCTCCCACGACGACGATCTTCGGACATCCACATTGCGGTTTGACCAAGCAGCGTTCCTCCAGGCACAGACATGGTTCTTTTTCCTCGTTCACCTTTGGGGTTTCCTTCACTTTACTCAATGCGTATCGACTACAAGATGGATTTAATTAATTTAGGATAGAACAGATTATGATTGAACAAATTCTGGAACACAACAGGAAACTATCACAGAAAATATTTTTTTATCACAATAAAGTAAGCAGAGAACTTCTAGGGATGATATATCGAAAGCCCGCTATTGATATTGTCATCGATAAAAATATCGGTCTATAACTAACTAGCTAAACCATCAACGTATCGGACTTGATACTAGCAAGATAATTATAAACATTTCGATTGATTCTTTAATACAAAGCCGCATTAAAAAATATGTTATTTTCCTCTTTAAATTAATTACTGGAAATATCAATTCTTCTACCCTTAGTAAAATTAACTTTCTGATTCCTCTCCATCTTTGTCATCTTGAGCTTTATTTTTTGTGAAATTTTTCCATAAATTTTCATTCATTCAATTACACCTTCCATTCACATATGGTTCGGATTCAGTGAAATGCAACACTCAAAAACCAACTCTCAAATAAGCTATTTATTTTCCAAATGAATAAATTTTAGTGCAGGACTTATGGTTTTAAGTTTATAACCTAGAGGTGTTATTAAACTCTATCTGAGAACAGGCAAGATGAGTATATATTTTTTTATCACGATCAGATTCATAAATAAATACTCCCTTGAGCTTTCCGAAAACAATAATTTCAATTTTAATATTAAAATATCGTAGGCACGGTATAGATAGTCGATAATATCGAAGTATATGCCATCGATGGTAAAATATTGAAAGTAAATATTCCAATGTTGGAAGAAAAATTTCAGATATTTCAATATTATCGATTACGGAAGATCATCGCTAACTTCTTCCTTACTCTGGAAGCTAGTCAAAACTTAAACAGTTCATGCATTCTTATCAATTACATATTTTAATTGAATTATTTGATCCTGTGTCAACCAAAACTGATAAAACTACAGAATATTCGTCTCCGACCTACGACACGTTAAAAATGAATAATCAGTAATCGATATAGGCTATAGATATATAGGTATATATAAGCTATAGGAGTTGAGATGATTCGTAATAATTGGATTTTTTTATTACAGAAGATATTACCTGATCGAGGTCCCTGTACTATAACATAACCTATAAATGGTAATGTTATCGCGTCTTCCTCTTAATGTTTACTGATTATTTTTAATACCAAGTACTAATAACGCCTTATGGGGTTCCTATCTACGGACGTTGCATACTATTTTTTGGAGATGGAAGCAAAATCTAAAATTGCACATCAATTTCAACAGTAGACAAAATATTCTGACATATCAATTAATTGAAACAAAATTTTACAGAAAATTTGTTTCGATAAATCCGATGTATAAATTGGAAAGAGAAATATTTTATTTTCCCAAATATTTTCGATTTGAACTAATCATCTTCCTCTTGCGGATGTTGGCACCACACACCAATATATTTTTTTCTATTCAAACACAATATTGTATCTATAAAATCCCTGTTTCTTAGTCTGAAAGGGTTTGTAGCAATAGATTATATAATATAACCTTTAATGTACTAATTTTCAATTTCAAAATAATTATTACCATGATTTCATCTTGATGCCATATCCACTATATGTACTGGTATTGGTATTAGTACCAACTTTTTAAGGATTCTTAAATTATGGCAGTTATGGATTTTAAATTTTAGTAACTTTCAGTAAAATATTTTACCAAAATTAAGGATCTCAAATCGCAATTTTTTGAGCAAAATATATCGAGTAAGAGTCTTTATATATTAAATTCCATTAAAGAGTCAAATCTCAGATTTGCCAGATTTTTGGCCAGAAACGAATATTATGAAGTTTAAACGTTAATAAAATACTAAACTTTTCATATCGCTATAATTGCTAAGTAGCTAATTGTCATAAATAGTTGATTATCTTTGGACTTTCAATTTGACTAAATATAGAGTAAAGTGATCAGTAAAAAAAAGGTGCATCAATTTTATCATATTACATACAATACTTTTTCTTATATATATATCTAAATGTAATTTTCTTGATACGTCACAATTTCAAGAACCGCACGTTCGATTTTGAGAGGAAGTTTAAGATTGGTAAAAAAATAGCTATACACTAGATATCAATTTTATAAAATTCCATCCACTACTTTTAAAATTTTGATTTTTTCTACATCCATCTACCATTTGTCTGAACTAATTTGATGACTTTGACGCCGTCAGTTTTCAAAACACAACTGAGTACGTCATCAGTCAAGATGAATTCTCTTTTAGGGACACTTTATTTACTACCACATCAAAATTTCAGCCGTCAGTTCTTCCGTTAAAAGAAACGTCAAATTTCGCCACTTTAATTCCATTTTCGCTCAGAAATGAATGGCTTTCAACCGACTGGCCGAGGTTGTGTTGAGATGAGCTTAATAAATACCACAATGTATTTAGTTGAACTTCTTGTCAAATTCAGAGTTTTCTTTTTTAAATTATCATTTCAGAAATAATGTGCAAGTGAAATGATTAAATGCGCATCATAGGCTTCAATGAAGTGCATACATGACGGAAATTAATAATGAATGAAGTAATAAAATAAATTAATGCGAAAATAATTTGTTTAGTTCATTCAACGGTTACTTCTCAGACATCATTTTTAATGGATTCTCTCAGAATCAAAAAATTTTTTTCGAAATGATAGTATAAAACGCAGAGAAAAATAAATCTTGATTTATGATACTTCTCATATTCATACCGACTAATTAAAAATGCAAGAGAGGCAAGAACTAATCAAAACTACCTATATGTCTTAATGATTTTTTAAAAATATTTTCATCGGTTAAATAAGGTAAATGTTTTATTTTACTAACAAATCTTATTTGTTCGCAGGTTTGACTCTGTTTTGAGATATTCCATAAGATAATATTGACAATTTTTACCTAATTATAACCATTCATCGCCATAATCGATTTGTTTGATCTGGAGTAACTGAAATGGAACGGTATCCATAAATTGGAGCAGCTCCGTCCGGGGAATGGAACGGGAAAATTAACAATAGGTGGCAACACATCCCTAATGGTACATGGTTTCTTTGTTTTTTCTTTTAGGCCCTTATACCTTGTGAGTCAATCTTTGTTCATGATTGAAAAATTCCATAGAGGAAATAATAAACACTAGGAAAGAGCCGTCAATGATTCTTTAACAAGATCTCTCCCTTCAGCATATAATCAATTTATGTCTAATCTAATATAAAACGATAATTACCTCACTGTACTTTCTGAGAATCTTCTAAAATTAATGTTTATTCTACCCATTTTTGGCATCATGATAATCTGTGGCTTTTCACCTTATTGGATTCCTTACGGTTTATTCATTTATCGTTTGATGTAATTTAAATTTATTCGTTACGAGCTAGTTATTATTCTTTATCTTATGATAACATTAGATATGACAAGGACTTTTAAGTTAACCTATATTTTGTATTAAACCACATGACTGTTTTTTCAATGTCAAAAAATCTGAACGATCCAGTACCAGTAATTCAATTAATGATATTTTTGTTTGAGGTTTTAGAGATCTTAACATAGCACTGCTTAGTTGTTAAATTATGTTCTTACACATGTTTTACTTAAAAGACGAAAAGTTTTATTCGCCTATTTATTTTTTTTTTTTTTATGTTTTAGAATTCAGTATTATGATTTAATGTTTTCACTATTCTGTCGCACATCGTCAACTTCATCAAGTTTATTATTGGATTGATTTAAGTTATGTTTTTTGGATACTATATGCCTGCCATTTTGAGTGATCATTGTATTTTAATTATTATTCCATTTAGCCCTGGAGCCAGGGCTCAAAAATCGACCTCATCGCAGGCAAAGATTTGATTGTAAATTACGAAAGTATATGTTATTCTGAGTAAATACAACCTTGTCTGCCGTTCCAGAGCCGCTGCTTTAAAAAATGGCGACTGATTTAAAGAATATTTGGCCAGTAATTTGAGGAACGAAATGGGAAATCCTTTGGGAAAAATATGAGAATAGTTTTTGTTTTTTTAAATTGTATTTATGGGTTTAGACATGTAAAAAACAAAAGTGTTTTAACGCGGGCCACCAAGAGAAAATTTTTTGCAGTAGATTATTTTTTTGTTTTTTCACCTATAATTCATAGACGATGCATCAAAGCGAAAAATGTGTCTCTTTAATAAATTAGAGAATGTTAAATTGTGTGTCATAAACAAGTACATAAACTTTATAATTTGGTTACGTGGCAAGATAAAAAACCACGGTCAACCAACGCTGATTTTTACCAAATTTGTCAGAAACTGAGACAAATTACTATAAATGAACCTGCAACTTGGAAATGAGTTCCTTAAGAGGAAAAACTCACAGAATCAAATTTGTAGAGCATCAAATTTTGCGGCCAGTGAGTACCAACTAATTTAATGTAGATCATTCATTTCTGACTTTTTTGGCTGTAAAACATTTTCCTTTGGTGGCCCGCGTTAGCAAATGTTTTTTACATGTCTAAATCCGTATATAAAAGTTTAAAAAAAAACTTTTCCTACATTTTTCGCAATGGATTTCCCATTCCGATCCTGAAATTACTGGTCTAATATCTTTAAACCAGCCTCCATGTTTTAAAGCAGCGGCTCTGGAACGGCAGACAAGGTTTTTTTTTTACACAGAATACACTTTCGTAGTTAGTAGTTAGTAGTTAGAAGCGATGAGGTCGATTTTTGAGCCCAGGGCTAATTTGTCTTTATGGCAGCGGATTGAGTTAATTACACGCCAGGGGTCTAGACAGCCTTCTTAACGTCTCCAGATTGTTACAGCGTTTGGACAGTAATTTCTTGGAACGAACAGTATCGGTAACAGTAGGGATGGGAGGATGGGCACAAGGAGGTTCCATGGCGCTATAAGAATTCTTGAAGAGGTCAAATTTTAATGGGTGTTTTAATTCCAGGAGATGTTATCCAGGAACAATAGGCTTAAATAATTTTGTTTTCTCATCATTAGAAATTTTCCAGAAAAATGTAGACAACAATCTCGATAGCTTCAGGTGATGTAAGACAGTCTATAAATCAAAACAAAGGATATCAGCTTAGCAGCAGAAAGTTTGCAAAATATTTAAAACATATCTTTGCACCAAATCGTCCGATTTCAGCGATTCTTTTTTTGATATTTTAGAAACATCTTAAACTTTCAAATGACAGTTTTCATTTGAATTTGATTTCATATTTCACTTCAAATGAGATATTTGTGTGCTCTTAAGAATGTGTAGCGTATACTTGTTGAGTTATTAGTAAATCTAATTTTACCTTCTGTCGTAACTTTTTCCCAGTTTCTTTTCGGTGAAATGTGTTATAATAAACAAATTTAAAGGGCTTCGAAGGAGACTTTAACCAAGTTTGATCGAAATTTGTACATTTTTTTAGGCCCTATATGGTACAATTTTTTCGGCCGCCATCTTGATAGGAAAGTACTTTTCGGAAAAGTATGTTATATAGATAAATTGAAAGGGCTCGAGTAGAAGACTAAAGTCTATTGCGACACAGATTTTTGATCACTATCATGGAAGAAAAGAGCGGATGGTAACGCCGAGTTTCGAGGATCATCCTCGCGTGATCTTTAACATTGATACCGAATCTCAAAACAATCGGTTCAGTAGTATCGGAGAAAAGCCACGGACAGCTTAAGGCCGACAGACAGATTTCTTTTTATCCGATTTTCTGGGGTTTAACTTTTTTTCTTAGTTGATTACTATATATACAGTTTGTTGATTATTGAAAATAATCAACTTAAAAACAAAACTTTCAGTTTTTTGATAATTCATAGATCAGATAAGATCAGGAGAAGGCAGTTACGTTGATTTGGCCAGTAGTCCGGGGGGCCAGACTCCCTTACCGTGTACTCCCCCCCCCCCTCACCACATCCCTATAAATTGTATATCGTTGTGTTCCTTGTAACTATTCATTAAGAAAAGCCAATGTTCCCACAAAAAAAAGTAAACGAACTGCCCCAAAATGGTGTCCAAACATGGCCGACTGACGACTTTGACTTTAGTTAGTTTTTTGGTCACTGAGAATCAGAATTTGGTTTAATTTCGTCATAGTTAGTATTTTATTAAAGCTGGATAGTCAGAGAATAATAAAACACGAAGAAATATTAAAAAATAATTGGCTTAGGCAAAAAAAAACACCAGTAAAGTCAAGTTCAAGTTGAAAATTAAGCATCATTTGTATTTAAACGGCCAACAATAACGCAAAATCTCCTGAAATAAAAAAATCTGGAGAATATATTTCTCTTTCTAAAACACTGATTACTTTTGAATAAATTTTGATTAAATATTTGAAGCGGTTTCATAGAAAAAGTGGCAGATGAAATAGTGCGAAGGCCAATGTAATTGTTTTTATTTTATGTATTACTTAATGCCAACAAAACATACAAACATAGAAGATATTAAAGAAAAAAAAAAAAAGAAAAACTGATAACTAAAAAAGAATGAGATAAAAAAAAAAAGATTATTTTTATTCCCAACAAATATAACAAACCATTAACTTTTTTTTTTCTTTTTTTTCATATTTATAAATTAGACTGCCAACATTTCCCACAAATATATATAGGTGAAACATCAAAAAAACTAAAAACCAGAATGGCACAACATACATCAAACTGCAAAAACATTAACAGCCCTAGCAAACCATAGTATTAAATCATTACACACCTTTGACTTCAAAAACCCAGAAATACTAGCAATAGAACCTAAAACAAATAATAGGAAACTGCTGGAAGCTATGCATATAACAAAAAACAATAATAGAACAGTAAACTACAAAACAGCTACACAACATTTAGGTACACACTATTCGGACATAATATTCAATATTAAAATACAAAAAACAACAATAGCCAAAAAAAAACAGCCATAATAAGAAACAAGAGGACAGGTACAAAGTACAGAAATAAAACTACAGATAGCGAGATGTTGATTAGTGTATCAATGAATATGTAAAAATGTGAAACAAAAAAATAGTTTTAAAAAATGTGACAAATATTTGATTTTTGACCAATGGTGCCACAACAAAAAAAGAAAGGTAAATAATTGTGCAATAGATGAAGTAGAATGATATTGTTATAAAAAAAAGTTAATATAAAATGTGCATAATTTCAGTGAAGATAAAGATTGCTCTGATGATGGGAAAATTGTCCCGAAACGTTAGAGATAACAAATGTAATTCAAAGAATTGGAAGAAAATTGGAGGTATTATTGCCCTAAATATGAAAAAAATATTAATGTAGGCTTCATAATAAAAAAAGAAAAATAAGAAGTTAACTTTTTTTTTTTTTTTTTAAAATGCTGAATGTATGTTCCTTTTTCAAAGTTGTTAAATTTTTATTCTTTTTTAGTTTCTTTAAAGGCAACATTGATTCATTATCAATTCAGGGAAAAATAATACACTTTCAAAAACATTTTATAGAAATAAAATTATTTATTTAAAAATTATAAAATATACAGACTTTTAAAAATAAGTTACATTACTTCAGTAAAGCGAGATGCATATTAAATCCTATAAAATTGAATCTTCTGAAAATAAAAACTTTGCTTTATTATCTATATAGGTTTTGAGATTCATGTCCGGTAATAGCTAAATATTAATTTTGATAATACATATATGTTGCGAACAAATAAATAAAAGAAAAAAATCATTTAAAACTACAACATATATAATAATTTTGTAATTTCATTGTAACAGAATATTTCCAATAATAATATATCTTACAATAAGAAATCATCACAAAATAATAAAATAAAGATATTCTCTAAATTTAAAATCACAATATATTTTTAACAATGACCAAATATTTATATTAATCTGGTAATTAAATTAAATGATATTATTTTCACATTGACATCTATAAATTTGTTGTGAATTTTATTCTTGTAAACAACATTAATAAGACATAAAATTATAATTCAGAACTTTTAAAAATTAAATTATAATTCAAAGCTTATTAAATAAAATCTTTGAAATATCTTGTAAATTCATAATATTCTTATAATAAAAGATACAGAAAAATTATAATCACAGTTTACCCATAAACATGTTATATACATAAAAAAATAAAATTAAAAATCTGTGCTTGAGCAATTCGGAAGTAGAAATAAATTATTTTAATGCTCACTACGACTCAAGAACATGGTAATCATTACATTAATTAGTCTGTAAATATAATAATAATACTATATATACAGGTATATGTATTCAAACTAATATATATATATAACTGCTATGTAGTTTTTATATACAGTTAAAATGCGGAGCACTCTCTTTATAATACTAACAACGCATTTAGAAACAGGAATTACACTATACAAATTATAATTAACACAATTCATCATACTCACAGGCAGTCACACATTTATACAAATAGTTTTTAGTAGTAATTTTTTATAGAGAATATACATAAAAATTTCTTTGGAGTGTCTTGGAAAAAATATATATATTTACAAACTGCATGAGCGATGCAATATTAAGTTAGTACAAGGCAGTATCTCTAAACAATTTAAGGTATGCCATATAGACTTGTAATGTAGTCCTGAATAACAAGTACATTACACTATTGTCTCAAGACCTACAAGTGTTCTAGGAAGTTTACTGCCTTGTAAACCTAGTAGCCTACTTCAATGCAAGATATCTCATATAATTTCATAATTTGGGAACTAAAACTTATTATTTATAGTTTGGATTGCTATCCAATTTCAACAGTTAAATCTTATCATCAAGTGGAAGTAAACATTGTTTACAATAAATTGGTCCATTTTACTTTTACTTATTTACAGGTTTATAGTGGTGAAGAGTGGCATCACGCATAGCGATTGGTGTTGGGATAGGAGCCTCTGTTGGACCAGGCTCTCATCTCTTCATCGCTAAGGTAGCCACCATTGTGGTATGAGTGAGATCGGACATGTGAGCGTCTCCAACCTTCTAGATATCTCTGCCTCTGTTCTTCTTCCTCAATCCTTCTCCTTTCAGACTTGCTAGAACTGGATTCACTCGAATCTTCTCCTGAAGTTCCAAGTCCTAGATCTTTTTCAACAAATTTTCCTCTAAGATCAGCTTCAAATGATGGGTGCTTTCGGAATTGTGGGTGAGGAATTGAATAAGGGTGAGGGAATTTCTCAACTTGTATCTGCCCTTTCTTCCTACAGCTACCTGGTCCAAAAAGAGAGAGCAGTACAGGAAGGAGAAACATACCATGCAGAGCACCAAACAATATCACCAAAAATATCATCTTAAAGAAGACCAGAAATATGTAACTCTGAGCTAATACTAATGCGATGACACCAAGTATAGTAGAAGTTGCTCCTTGGAATATTGGTAAACCTAGTGCATACAGGGATTCCTTGATTTTTTCTTTTGGTGTTTCTGCTTTTGAAGACATATAAGCATAACATATGTGTGCTGTGAAGTCTACTGAGAAACCAATACACATGATGAGGTTGATCATTGATATAGAGTCCAAATTGACATCCCAAAGAGCCATGTATCCTGCCACGCCCAATTCTATTGATATGATGCAAAAAGCAACCCATAGAGAACAGAGAATGTTAGGTATGAAAATGAACGAGATAATCATCATGATGCAGGCTCCAACAATCATTGACTGAATGGATGTCGGCTTTACCAGTTCAAACTGAAACAGAAAATTATAGTTAGTTTTTAATCAATTGAATGAATTTTTAAACTTTTATAAGAAGTTAGAATCATAAAATAAATCAGATTTTAAATTAATTTTATCAATTCTGATAATAAAAAAGTATCAAAAGATATTTATCATTCTATTTTTAACATAAAAAAGGGGTTATTTTTGGAATAACCCCATCCAGGCAATAAGAGCTTAGTTGGTCATTTACAATCAAATAAGAAATAAAAAAAAAATTGAAAAACAAATTATAGCAACTTAAGATCTCACTCCATCAGATTATCACTTTTTTCAAGAAAAATATAAATGACTTCCAATAATAAATTTAAATTTTGAATTTTTATTTGTAATGTAATAAATTTAAACACTAAGCTTGAGCTGTCCTAATAGTGAAAGATGGTTGACAACAGTGGATCATAATGAGCTATATTTTAAATATTAATTTTATATTATGTAAATATTAACTTTTTCTCGAGAAGTGGTATTTTTTTTTGTTTTATACATCCCATTACTTTTGAAATAGGTATTTTATAATTTTAAATATTATAAAAAATGTATAAAGTATATTGTTTTACCTGATCAAAGAATACAAAATATGGATGGAAGACGGTAACATTCAGATGCGATTCTCTTGCTATTCTTCTCAAATCTCTCACCATATCTTTTTCCATGTTGGCATCACTAATATTTACAGCTTGAATCATCATTCTTGAAGCAACAATTTTAGAGCCATCATCAGAAAATTTCACATCCAGTGAAAAAGCATTAGGTTTAAACAGCCACAACTATAAATAATAATACAAACCATATGTGAGGAAAATACAATACAAGGGTAAAGCCTTATAAAAAGAAAAATATTTTCTTATAAATGTAATCATAATACTCAGAACAATATAATAATGTGTCTACGTTTTTAATTTACCAAAAATAATTAGCATAATACAGATTTTTTTACAGGAAAAATATGCATACAATTGTACTTTAAATTCTACAAAAAAAATTTCAACTAGATGAAATGGAATAATCATGACATATTTGAAGGGAGATTCACCATTTTCACTGACAATTTTCAGCTAATCATTACAATAAAATTATCGAATAACAAGGAAATTATAATATTCCTATTTCTAAAATGGTTTTTAATATTTATATGGCCCATTTTTTACTTTTGGTTTCATTATAACTAAAATAATAACTTTATTATTGTTCATAATACATGAACATTTTTGTATGTTTATTATTCTACATAGCAAACAATGAATAGTAAAAATTTTTAAATTAGCAGTAAATTCTCTTTTGTTAGCAATTAGAATTTTGCTAGAGGAAGTTATTGTCAGTTTAAAATAATTTTAAAGATAAATTAAAATAAAAACCGTTTCATTTAACTTACATCTTTTAGGTTCATAATAAAGTCTTCTTCTGTGTCAATTGATACATTAAGGTAATCTTGATTCCTTTTAACATAACTGACAAAGGAGCGTACCCACGACTCTGTGTATAGTGAGTTAGATATATAAGGCGATGCTTCGAAGGTTCTTGTCAGATTTTCAATAGCTTCTTGAGTTTTAGGATCTGAGTATGTCAAATCTCCTGTCACTACAACCTGGAATTAAAAGGGAAAAAAATCGGAATAAATAAAATGACCTAATTTTTTTAATATGTCAATGATATTGTACTTATGCTGATTGCTTACAATTTAGTTTGCAAGAAGAAATGATATAATACCTGCATTCTATATGGGAACTCTCTGAAGTAGATGTCTTCTCTGTCATAGAATATGATGGAATACGAATCAGCTTTAGAAAGCTTCCGTCTTTGTAAGCCTTCCTGAAGTGTAGTTAGTCCATAACAGGCACCACCTAGGTATGCTGCAAAGGCCAATAAAATGAGGACTTTTACTGGCCACCAGCTGAGGCATGGAGCGAGACAGTCTCTGTAATATTTTAATTTGTTCAAATAAATAGTTCACTGAAATTCTTGAAATATAGAAATAAAAAGTTTATGTTTTTCATTGTGTAACAATACAGCATATTCGAAAAAGAAAAAAAATGGTAAAATTTATTAGATGGATAGAGATGAACTAGTAAAATTTTCTAAGAATAAAAAGACAAATTGTGTGAAGCAATAAATAATAGTGATTCAACTCACTTTATTTTGACCATAGATTAGAAATATATTTATATAGTATATTGTAAAACATTTAAAATAATATATTTTTTGTTTTGATCATGTAAAGAAAAAAAAATCATATTAATATTTTTCTAGCATCCAAGCCAATTTGTTTTGCAACTTAATAAAATTCATTCTGGTTTGATCATATAAAATAAAAAATGTTAACTAAAACAAAACATACAAAAAAGTAAATAATCAATAACATTAATAATCATATTTTTATGTTTATAACATAAAAATATGATGTAATATTAGTACTACATAGTACTAATAATAAATTTTTAACCAATATCATCTTTAATAGGAACAGTCATTTGTATTGAGTGGTAAACTAAGTAATTCATGCTAATATTTTGGGAATAATTGCATTTTTTAGAACTATTTTTTTAAACATATTTGTACTAATATCGTAAAAATCAAAAAAACAGATAAATTTTCTACTTATGATGTAACTATGGTATAAATAAAAGAAAAAAATGATTCATTGATCATATGAATAATTACATGAATAATAACAATATTTATAGAAAATTAAGAACAAGTAGATTGTTCAACAATACCTGAAGAAAACCATCAGCATATTTTCTGGATTGTCAGCTGGGTTATCAGGATCTTTAGGGTTAACACCGCCCGAACAGAATACTCTGTATAGCCATGATTTTTCAGCTGTAAAAAAAAAAAAAACTAAATTATTGGAATTCAGAAGAACTAATATTGGGATAGTAAAATATTTCTAGAGCAAATAGATAATTAAAAAAAAAAGGTTTTGACACGTTGTGTTATGAATTGACCACAATTTCGTTATGAATAATGATATAGCTGTTGTGATTACCAAACAAAATTGAGAATTAATAATCAATTAGAAAATTTTGAAGAATAATTTATTTATTATTACATATTATTTCCTTTTTGTAAAAATCTTTTAGAGGATGGGATAGATAAGTTTAGGGGTTTAGTATAAGGGTTTAGTACTTTTTTTTCATTTGATATGCATAGTTCTAGCTTCAAACAAATTTCTTTTTGTTCATAATTCCCTTTCTATAAAAGATATATTAACTATGAGTAACTATAAAAGTAAAAGTAATATTAGTTATTACCCACTTTTTATATTTTCAGATAGTTGTTCCTTAGAAAATTAATTTTTGTGGGAAAGTCGAGAAATCTTTGTTTATTTTACTTGATTAAGAATTAATTAATTTTTATAAATTATTGGACTAAAAATAATGTTAATAAATATATGTTGGTAACTTATTGTAGCCAAATCGTTCCAATCTTATCTATAATTATTATTACATAATTTCTTTTGATTATAAAAATACTTACTTGACATTGAAACAGGTTGCACTTTGATGCATAAAATCGAATGCCTGTTACTTCTCTCAGCATAACCAGCCACAGCCATACAACCGGCAAAGAAGGTGATATGCCAAACAAAGATAAAGGCAACAGCAAAACCTGTAATGAAATACAAACGATTGTTAAAATATACATATTGAATAAATTATTTTATAAAATTCCCAATAAAAAAAAAGCCATAGTTAAGACAAAACTACTTTCATTAAAATCATCCTGAATTAAAAAAGATTTTAATCAGTGCTTCAAATGGAAGAATAAATCAAGTATAACATTATCATCATACTTTCCAAACTAAAAAGCATCAACTGATGAAATGTATTTAAAATATCACACTTATTTTAGCATTTCTTGATTGATAAATTTCATATTTATTATACATTTAAAAATTATTATTTATTTTATCCATGAAATATTTATTTTTATCTTAAAATTATTCTTTTTTTGGTTACTAACATTATCCTATATTGCCAAATTATGGCCTGCCAAAGTCTTTTAATTATTTGAGAAATATGAAATTTCTCAAAAACAATATTTATTGCATGAGTTAATTCTCTTAAAAAGTTCATTTAATAATTAAAGTGTCTTTTATAGAACAAGATTTTTTTTCATCACAAGCCATGCCTCGCTGGGCTTAATGGAGGTCTCAATAGAGCTCATGGGCAGAAAGTTTGGAGTACCCCGATATAATGATAAAATTAAGAAAAACGTATAAAATTGGTTGACTACTGCTTGACTTATAACCAGGGGCAAAGTGGTATTTGTTCTGGGAAACAGAATTTAGGGGACTAAATGTCATTCTCCTCATTATTCTTAGGGGATAAAACGTCCCAGAATATAATTTTCTCTGCTACTAAAATACTGTTTTAAGCTATTGACTTTTATTAATGAGACTCCTATTTGAAAAGTTTTTCAATGCAAGTCTTTCGATGCCTTCAATACCTATGCCCTAATTGTTTATGTGGCTAATAATTGTACAGAATAAAATCCAAGAACCATGTGAAGGGTAAACATCGCTTAATTAATTATGTAAAAAGTCCATTCATTAGTTATTGCAGACATGATTTTAATCACCATTATTAAGTAGCGCTTCGAAAAAGAGCAGCTCGTGGTCTGTCTCCTGATATTGGGGAAAGACAATATCAGGGGTGCCCATCCCCTCCCCCCCCCAAGGTTGATGGCGTAAGAACTATCACCTTCCCTCTTTCCAAGATATTTTATTATTTACCTTTTCTTAAAAACAAAGCTAGCTAAAGTAGAATAAGAAAAATCGTAGATCATATACAATTACTTAGTTATTTGGCAATGATTACTTCCAATTAGCAACCATTGAGTATATTTGTTGTATTATCAAAATTTCATATTTACAAGTTTACCTTTCGGGATATTTACTCCCATCTTCAGAACCACAATCCCAATGATGTTGTGGATGTAAGGCTTAAAAATAATGTGCTCCATCGTTAGTTTCTAATTCATGTTATAATAATCTAGGTATATAACATCTAGAGCAACATCTTGCTTTTAGACAGACACCCCATAATTAGCCTAAAAGCAAGATGTTGCTCTAGATGTTATATACCTAGATTATTATAACATGAATTAGAAACTGACGGTGGAGCACATTATTTTTAAGCCTTGCATCCACAAGATCATTGGGATTGTGGTTCTGAAGATGGGAGTAAATATCCCGAAACGTAAACTTGTAAACATGAAATTTTGATAATACAACAAATATATTCAATTGTTGCTAATTGGAAGTAATTATTGCCAAATAACTAAGAATATCATACAACTTCCCAGAAAAAAGAAAAAAGAAGATATACAATTACACTTTCTGCGGTCTGTTCCATGTTTTACCCTTGTCTCTTTGTCCGAAAATTCATAACCCCGTCGAAATTCGCCCCCCTCTCAAAAATTAAAAAACCCGTCAAAATATACTCCCCTAAAAAAATTTTATGGTGCAGCTTGCGCCATATAACCCCCTTCTGGAGATCCCTGGACAATATGATAGTTTAATAAATACTTACTGGAGTAGAGGCAGAAGATCTTGATGGACGGGAAGGGGCTGAGCATGCCGATCCAGAGGGACACCATGTCTGTGACGGAGGTGATGGTGATGGAGACGGCAGCCTCGGACATGGTGTGGGCCAGCCGCTCCGGTACAGGGTCTGTCACGGGGGTCCTCCTCCAGGCCGCCAGCATCACGAAGGTGTCGTCGATCCCGATACCTGCGAGCACGAACAGCTGACTTAATATCGTAAACTGAGGTTCATAAATCATAAATCATCATATTTTGTATAGATTCAGAGATCATCAGAACTGATTATGGATGGATAATTCATTGTAAATTAATTGTATTAATTGTAAACTAGTTGGCCCGAACAAAAATTCGCAGATAATTTTGTTTAGTGAAGAAATATTAAAACAATATGGAAATAAGTAATTCCTATGTATTATGTAAGGAAGGAATTAATATTTTTACCTTAGTAGATTACAATATTCCATTTAACATAATAGACCAAAATATTTATACAAATTGCTTTGCTAGGACCTATTTTTAAACGCTGACTGGAAAGATAATATAAGTAATAAAGACAAAATAATGCCCCGATCATAGGATATTCTAAATTATAAAAAAAAAAATGAAATGTAAGAACAACCAAATGTCTTTAAGAAATAATAAAGTTAATATAAAAGCGAAGAAAAAAAGTGTAGTAGACTATTCTACTCCTAAATGCAATATCTTCAAACAGGAAGACATTATTGAGTATACAAAACTAATGGACTGTATCTTTGTTAATAATTGTCCGAATTTTTCTTTGTTTTGTTGGTAATTTAGTAATCTTTCTAATTATCATGGGTACAATCAAGAGAAACTTGCATACTTTTTGAGTTATTCGCAAATAAAGTTTCTTTTCTTCCATAACTTTTTTTCCAAAAATTTCGGGGAGATAGGACTATTTTTCGCCTGAGAAGGAGCAGAATATCTTCAAAATGAGTGGTCAATCATTGGATTTGATGAAGAATTGACGGAGTTATGGCGTACCGGTAAAAAACACCTTTTAGAAATAATATATAGGATTATACATCCTCTCCATAATGCTGAATAAACAAATATGAACATAGCTACTTACGAGGAAACCGAAAAAGGTCGCAACAGCTTACTTTTAAATTCTCAATTGAGAAATTGCATGAATTGTCAATTTTTATTTGTAGATGAAGATCAATAGGGAGAGAGAGGGAGGGATTCAGGATTTATTTTATTTTAGGAAACATTTTTTTAAATTTATTTTATTTTTTAAGTAACGGTATAGACCGTGGTACAGACCCCTTTATATCGAATTATTAACATCCGGCTGAAACTTCGTAAATAGTTTCATCTCATCGTAATCTACAACTATTTTATTTACGGAAACTGTTCTAATTGGGGCGTTTTCAATCTGGAGGGAGACAAACTTTGTCTATTTAATTAGTTACTGAAAACTCGTAAATACCCATTTGTTTTCTACTTGGATTGTAAGATAATTTGATCACAAAATTGATAAAAAAGGTGGCCTAGAAAAATATAGGGCCGTTTGTCTTATTTTGAAAATTGGGGGCGTAGGTCACGCCAAACGGCTCAATATTTTTGAAGGCCATCTTTTTTTCTCTATTTTGTGATCAAATTATCTTACAATTCAAGCAGAAAGCAAATGGGTATTTACGAGTTTTTAGTGCCTAATGAAATAGTCATAGTTTGCCCTCCTTCAGATTGAATACGCCACAATTTCAAGAGTTTTCGTAAATAAAATATTTGTAGATTACGATGTGATGAAGCTATTTACGAAGTTTCAGGCGGCTGTTAATAATTGTAAATGTATAAAATAATGTTTAAATCGTCTTTGAAGGCCTGTGAAAAAAATAAAACCTGGTTGCAGGAACAATAATACTTTTAGAGATAATTTTTTAATATATTTTTTCTTACCATGTGTTTACATTTTGTAGCTGAAATACATGTATTATAATTTAAAACAAGTACATATTTTGATTGTTTGATTATTGAGCTTTCTTCACTTAGAGAAATAAATATGGACAAATAAAAACAAATTATTTTTCCATTGTTCATGGGAGGGCTTCAATCCGAAAGCCTTCTCCCTGTAGATTCGCAAGTGATGAAAATTACGTTATAACAATAAAAGTGGAAAAATCCCGTATTTTTTTTATGCATATATTTTCTTAATCACCATATTCTTTATCTCCAGGTACCGCTATGCAGTGTGTGGTTAGATGCATAAATGCAAAGATACTTAATCACGTGATGCCATGCAACTATCTAACTCTTTACGTCGGGAATCTTAAACCTTAGCTTAGAGAAGTGTTTACTCCTGCAAAATTTCTGCCAAAGACATATCTTTCTGTTTTTTCTCTCACTCTGTCGTCTCTCAATAGAAATATTTAATTTTAAATGCATTTTATTAAAGAATTGTTTATAAAAGTAGGGCTAAGAGATGTTTAATAGCATAGTGTTTAGCAGTGGTATACGTCACGCCACGGTGTGCTAAACTCACGCCATCAGTCCCCAACATACCTCCAATACGCACCATTATTGCAGTTATCTAGATAAATATGAAACTTTTTTATTATTATTTAAAAAGTGCAATCTGAATCTTATATACGTTCTTTATTATTTCAATTCTATTGCAACTCAAATTTATGTGATTTTTTTTTCCATGCAAGTTTTTATCCTTGAGTCCAAGAATGTTGAGATTATAAGATTTCATTTTACTACTAAATAAAAAGTGTAATTTATTCCAAAAAATGCGAGTTTTTACATTCATTGCTTGAACGTGTTGGTGACATCTTAAAAAAAAATTGTCACTTGCCATTTTGTTGCGAATTGGGTTACTAAAGAGATATTTTTAAATACTTTAGCAAAAATACGCCCAAAATTTTCTTAAAGCCCTTAAAATTTAAGTATATAAATACACGCCAGAAAAAAAGAAGGAAAAAATGCTGTTCCTCAATATATATTTCATATAAAGGTAAGTGAAAGTAAAAATAATGAAGGAAACAAAATTTTATTTGCGAACAACTTATTAATTATTTAATTAATTAAGTTAAGTTGAAAAATTCCTTAGCAAGCAGAGATCTTTTTACACTTATTTAAAAAGTATTCTGTACACTTTCGCAAGGAAATCTTTAGGTCTTCCGGAACATTCCCGTTGCTAATTTTAAAAGTAACTGATTTGTCAACACTGCTAAGTATAAAAAATAAATAATTTAATCGGTCGATATTAGCTAACCATTTTAATAACAATAAAAATATTTCGATCTTTCTTCAATTTCACAACACTTAGAACCAGTAAGGAACGTTAGGTGAGGAAATATACCAGACATTGTTGATATATAACTATTGGAACGAAATAAACCGCTGTGTAATTTTTGAATTGTTTTACTTAGTAAGTTTAATTTAGTGAACTTGATTTTATAAAACAAATTGTATTTCCTATTCAAGAGACATAATCTGGTTGAAGGTTTCAGGCAAAACGACAATTTAATGGTCTCTGTGGTGAAACCGAGCCAGACGCCGAACGATACTGAGGAAAGTTATTTCGCAGAATGCATTAGGAGCTCTCCAACAAACTAAATCGAATCATTGCTCTAAAGCAGGCCTGGTCGTTCCGCGGCACGCTGTGCGATTTTGTATTTTAATTGAAACTTCTGTTTGTTGTTGAATGTATATAAATTATATCAACTCTTTCAAAAAAACAAATTCATTATAACGATATCTCAAACGCATGTAATTTGCTTATACATTCTAATTCTGTTAAAAATATAGCAAAATTAGCCGAATGAAACTCATTGGAAAGTTAAAAAGCACTAAAGTTGAGAGCGATAGATACTACGAGCGAAGATACGAGATACTTCGAATCCATGTGCTTTAACGGCCGCTTAACCCTCTCACATATTAATGTGTCTACATGAGATACATAGGAAATTTAGTGCTCTTTCAAATTAAATATAATGAATTTCTTCGAGAGATGCATAGATTATGATTTTTTTTGGGTGGAAAACCGACGAGAACAGATATTTCTTGTGAAATAAGCAAACAGTCAACATTCTCTAACTCCTCACTCGTTGGGCCTACCTCAAAAAGCTACGTATAAAATTGATAGTAAAGTTTATGTAATTTAACTTTGTATATGATAATGATTTCTATAAAATGCATAGTTTCGGATTCATGTCCGAAAAACTGAAAAAAGTTTGGAAGTTTCGCTGATTTTTCCATATATATCTTGGAACGCAATGGAAAATTTCGTTCGGGGACATCAAATTCAGTTTCAGCATCGCAAAAACATAAAAAAACCGAAGAAAAACCGATTCTTTGAATTTTTCCTCATCCAAATACCATCCGACTGGCCTAATTTGATGACTAACAATTTTCAAAACGCAATCGAGTACATTCAGAATACATTCGAGTCAAGATGAATTATCTGTTAGGAACATGTTCTTGATAAAAATTTTATCCTTATGTTCTTTCGTTAAATGAACCTATAAATTTCGCCACTTTAATTTAAAGTTTCGCATAGAAAGTAATGACTTTCAACCGACAGACCGAAGAAGTGTTTTCAGATGAGGTTAATTAAGTTCTCCCGTTAAACGAAATGTTCGGTAGGTCATAGTCAATATTAATTTTGCCCAAAATCGGTCTTGGTCTTGAACTTTGCAAAACCAGGACCGAGGTCGCCTAACTGTTGCAAGACCAAGACCAGGACTGAAAAAAAAAATGATTTTTTAAATAAAAATTAAGGCAAAATAGTTGCTAATAGTTGACAATCTTAGTTACTATATGTTAATAATTGTTATTACCAATATACTTTTACATTTAACTCTTCTAATTTTTCATTCGGGCTTAGTTAGGTTTCTCCTACCTAAGAAATTACAGTAATATCTCTATAGTAATAAGCTAATAAGTAACTGCAAGACTCTTACGCAAGACCAAGACGATGATCAAGACTGAGTTTGCAAGACCCAGACTCGTCTAGGTCTTGCATTTGGGCAACACTAGTCTATATCCTGAGTGACGTAAGGACAACTTCTCTGCGCTTATTGCGACAAGAACAGCTCCATAGCTTACTGGAAATGCGTTATTTGAATATTCTAATAAAGATAAAGTCTAATTACAAGACAAATTGCACTAGCCTTTAATGATGTAATATGATATTGCTTATAATCAATGAATGAAAAGCATTCAGGCAATTTGTCAGGTTATTACAAGACATTTAATGAGCGGTCCTTTAATTATGGATAATACAGCATTTACTTGTAAATCCCATTCGGCCAGCCTTCGGCCAAGGTGAATTCCCGAGAACACACGACCTGCCATGAATCGAGATAAGGAATCAGCTCACTGAGCACTCTCTCACTCTTGCCCCCATCATCTAGCATCCTTGACCGGTCTGCCAGGGGGAGGGGTGGTAGGGGGACGAGAGAGGAGGCGGTCGGGCATGTTGGGGACCCAGGCCACGTGCGCGGGCTACACTGGCAACATTTCGAAAGTTGGGTGCTACGGTCTGAATACATCTCTTCCTTGCATACTGCATTAGCAATCGCAACGCTTGTCCCAATTCGAAATCAATTGGTATTTTATTTTATTTTTTTTTATCTGGTATTTTGTCATAAAATGGCTATCAAAATTCTTTTATTGGATAATTGACGTATATGAACTTAAAACACGATATTTTTGTACAATTTTTCCACATGTTCAAATTCAAAAATTCAAAATAGTTTTCTAATATCAAAGCACTCTAGCAACTACTTTCATCTACAAACAACAAATATTTCGCTAATAAACGAAGAATTTCGATCGTAAAAATTCATATTTTTACTTTCCTACCTATACTGGGTAAGGAAAGTATTGTAATCGGGTCAAATTTCCGATATGCGGTTTCGACGGATCTATTTCGGAGCCCCCTGAGTCCGAAAAACACATTTTTAGCCATTGGTTTGTCTGTCTGCCTGTGACAAAATTTTCTCGGAAACTACATAATCGATTTTGTTGCTTCTTTTTTTATTTTGTAGGGTTTTGAATACTCATGCCTGTGACAGAAATTCGGTGCTCCATGCACAATAGATGAAAAACATTTTTTTCTATTGACTGTAGAGCGAAAACTGCATGAATAACCTCAGAACATTATTCACTTTTAACCGCAAGGTTTTTTCCCATATCTTCTTAAAAGCCAGATCTCTGAGAGTTTTCAGATCTTAAAGACGATAGATTGTTCATAAATCAGAAGATAAATTTTACCCTTTCTGTCTTATCTCGACCTCGATACAATATTCAAGGTACAAAACCAAATCCTATAAATTATAATATATAAAACAAAATTATTCTTAATAAGAAACTCTATACCCTACATTAATTATTAGTTAATGGGGAAAGGGAGAAAATTGGAAGATCAGGACAATCTGACAAAGTTCGAACTGGATGGGAAACTAAAGCCGACGCAAATGCTGACCAAACACTCGAAACTTGCAACGGCCACTGCAAACTATTATTATTTACAATTAATCGTATTTATTGAGAATTGAACGATCGAACCACAGACTCACTCCCGTCTAAAGCCCCATTTTAATTTCGCAAATTGATTTTAGACGAGGCTTATTTCAAGTAACGAAAGTCAAGAGGTTGTAAACGGACATAAGACATGTTTAACAGAATATAATTTACAAAAAAACATAGCTATATATACATCTTTGGTGGATTTCTATCCCAGGAGTTCAATCGGCCATCCTCAATAAATTAGTGATACGGAATATTATTAAAACATGATAAATAATACAAAACAACAGATAATTATAGCCAATAGTGCTTAATGCGTCCATGATTTATATAAATTAACAAAGGACCAAATAGTATAAATAGTTATTTGTATTATTGTTATACATATATATTTGATGCTATCGTGTAGAGTCATCGATGAGTTTAGGAACTTGCCCTCTAGTAAGTCCCTTTATTTATTAAAGATTCACTTCTGTTTTACCACATGTCGTTCAAATATTTAAGAACTGTCTTGTTAGTACAACAAATATTGCATCTAATAGTGATTATCTAGGCCATATAAATAGTAAAATTTATTAATAAAGATTACAAAAATGACTCATTAAGTTCCATAATATACAATTACAATTTAATAATTTAAATTTGTAATAAAAAAGTTATAATAAAATTACTATAATTTAATTCAATAGGCTTTACTTAATTGGAAATTTTTCGTTCAAGAAAGGCATTATGATTCTCACTTTTTCGAGTATAATTATATGATTTAAAAATGTTTTTTTCTCGGACAGATTTTATTACAAATATCTTACCACCAGACTTGGGCCATAATTCAAATGAAATATTTTAAAATGCAATACTAAATTGAGAAGGCACCTTTAAGTTATATAATAAGGCTGATCGTTCATATAAGAACTCTTTCATGAAAATTTTTTAAGGTCGATGGTGGTAAAGTTTTAATACACTTATCTTTGGCAATAAAACTGGTAAGTATTAGTTCTGTAATTGATTGGATACTCTCAGAATGAAATTTTTGAACAATCAATTCATTTAGGAACGGGTATTATTAAAAACTAATTTCTAAAAAAATTAATTAGAAATTAATATCTATGTAGTTTGATTATTTGTTAGTCGGACAATTATAGCCTTTTTAATAAATTGTTCTTTAACAAAAATATTGATTGAATAAAATTTTTTCTCAAATGATTGTTTTAAAACTATATCCACTCCGTTCGTATGAGTGGAATTTGCATTTTATTTTTTTGTATGAAAATTACTTTTTCTGTAAGTATTTTAAATACATGGTAATTAAAATATACTGTTTTTAAAACAAAAAATACATGGTATTTTAAATAGTGTATTTTAAAATGATAATTAAAAAACTTTTTGCTCAGCTCTTCTTACCACTACAGAACCACTGGGGCTTTAGGACCGAAGCCTCCCAAATTGAAAAATATATTTTTTTTCATTAGTCGATATTTGTTTCTAAGAGTCATCTGAGCTTAATATTCAAACAATTAAAATATGCTTCATTATTAAATTATAAGGCATGAACTTCACTAATTCATGCACATGTGAAAAAAAATATATAAACAAATTTAAGGACGAATAGACAGAATATTGAGATTATATAGGTCCACGTTTCGACACGGCCATGTGGGTCATCATCAGAGCACTGGTTTGAAGGCAAGACAAGAACTTAATAAACATGATTATAGATATCCTTATCCTGAATATTTTTCATACTTACAATTTCAACAGTCAACATTTTATTTATTGATTTATTTTTGACAGGCTTTCAAAGACCACTTTTAACATTATTTTATGTAATTTCTCGCTCATTATTAAAAAACAAAATAAAAAAACAATCTCCTCAAAATTAAATCCTAGATATGATATAATATATGATAAAACAATTAAAATATTACTCACTGCACATGAGAAGAGGAGAAACCAAGTTGATACCGATGAAGTCTATACCCAGATAGACCGCCAGGCCGAACCCAGCCAACGTACCCATCGCTGCGGAGACGTTGCCAAGTATTCCAAGAAGGGGCTTGCTTCGCACCCAGTCCGCCATCATGCAGGTCAGGGTGGAAAAGACTGCCATGATGATGAAGGTGGAGCCGAAGTAAGGGACGACCGACTGGGTGTTACGTTCCAGCTCGATGTCCAGGGTACGGGAGGCGAACCTTGCGGTGCTGATGTACTCGAACATTCCGGAGTCTTCCGCCTTACCTACGGCTTCCAAGAAGGCATCTTCCCAGGCTGCCCCTCTGTAGGAAAGGAAAGATATTTTAAACGATTTAAACGACGCCATCTTCAAGATTTTTAGGTACGATCAGAAAAATAAGAAGGTTTCAAGTGTTGCTATAATATATGTATTATACTAGTTATTAAAGTTTCAAAGTTTGCATCTCATACTCGAAATGTTTTGTACAACTTTTTTTTTTCTATTCCATAGTTGTTTTCTTTTGTCAATATATTAAGGAACCTCTACTACACTCTTATGTATATGTATATAAACCAGGTAAACTATGTTATTTAGACGTTCATAAAATAATTACTTTTCTTTTTAATTCCTTCGAGAGGCGCACTTTGAAACAACAGGTAACTTTGTTTTGATTCCAACTGATTGAAGGAAGATCCGAAATATATAAACTTTGGTACACTTTACTTACACATTAAGGACCTTCCTTTAAGTATTTCATATTTCATGCTTTTATCAGAATCCGAACAATTATTTATTGTAACAGATACCATATATTGTAGTCCTTCATAAAATCAAATATGGATAACCTGTTTAAAACAGTATCGATAGTACTTTACTTATACTAACACTGCATCATTGTTATACGTAAATACTGAATCAGCCCAAGATGAGATTCAAGAAAGGGCCTTATTGTTCTGGCCTTGCCCTGAAGGGAGCGGGCACTAGCAAGAACAGAATAGGATACCGTGTCATCTTCTCGTTACACAATGCTTTTGACTATTCATCGATAATCAATGACGATGATACGGAATTAATCAGGCTTTGATAGCGAGAACAATGGATCAGAAACCATCTTCTTCAGCTTTCTAATGCGCAATGGCCGCGCCGATGTAGCGGAAAACGGCGAGAACAGTTATTGCCAAGATTCAGAAGGAGAATATATTTATTATCATTAAGAGTACAATTTTCATCGACACTTTTTTTTTCATATTCATGCCTAGTTTTATATAATAATTATTTTTTGGGGGATGGGAGCAGGGGAAGGAGGAGGATGAAAGAGATAGATAATGTAATGGCGTAGTAATGGGGTCTCAAAAAAAGTTTGATTTAAAAAAATTGTAATAAGTAATAATTGTATTGTAGTCCGTGGTACAGACCCCTTTTTGTCAAATTCTTAACATCCGGCTGAAACTTCGTAAATAGCTTCATCTCATTGTAACATACAAATATTTTATTTCAGAAATTCCCGAAATTGGGCCGTTTTCAATCTGGAGGTCTGCAAACTTTGTCTATTAAATTAGGTACTAAAAACTCCTACATACCGATTTGCTTTGCACTTGGATCGTTAGATAATTTGATTAAAAAATCGATAAAAAAGGTGGCCTACAAAATATTGGGCTGTTTGGCCTAAATAACCTTGCTATTTTGATTATTTGGATGTGCAGGTCACGTAAACGGCTTAATATTTTTAAAGGCCAAATTTTTCCCGACTTTAAGTTATCTTACTATTCAATACGAGTTTTTAGTACCTAATTATATAGACTGTATATAGGTATGACCGAGTTTTTATATTTTTAATTTACTTATCTTTAGGTTATTTTATTTTTTATTGTACATAGTTGTTTGACTATTATTTAGTTGATATTTTACTTTTGTTAATTTTATGTTTTCTGTATGTATGATGTGAATGTGTTCATACATCACTATAATTATATTCCACCTGACTGATTATTATATTTCTAAATAAAAAAATTACCAGCAATACTCGGTCGGTTAATATCAATTAAAATATATAGCAAAATTATGAGTTCCATTAAAAATAAGATATGGATTTTTTTTTCTCTAGAAATTAAGATAAAAATTGTAATAAAGTATCTTGCAGTTATTATATTTAGGTCTAAGTAATTTAGTTTAAGGTGAAATCATGATTCATAATAAAAGGTTTTGGCTATATTTATTCCACCATTTTTATTTTTTTGCACTTGCAACGTTTCGGCTATGTCGCCATTTTCAAGCCATCTGTAAGACTTAATTAGAAACTACTTTCATATAAAAACTACATAATGTGATAGTGACCCTAATCATTTCTTAAGTCCGACATTACATAAATCATATCCCTAATTGGATTGTGTCATTAAGTTAATTTACATATTACTTTTGTTAAAAAGAATACAAATATTCTATCAATAAAAATTATAGGTATTGTGGCAAGGCCAATGAAATAATAGTCCTTAGTGAATTCTAATTTTCTTACTTAAATTAATGATGTTTATTATGTTATGTCCAACATGTTAAATGTTCTATCCTTAATTGGATTATAGTTTCTAAACATAGCCGAAACGTTGCCAGTGTAAAAAAATAAAAATAAAAATGGTGGAATAAATATGTACAAAAAACCTTTTATTATGGTATATTTAAGTTCAGTGTTTAGATTAAAGTGACATAAATTTAATTCGGTTTTTAGATCATCCACCTATTTCATTTCCTTCTTAATTAGATTTTTTTTTCAATACTTATATTTTTAATTTCAATGCTTAGTCTTGTTAACGGAAAATGGACATCTAAGCTAAAGAAGTTGATGGACTTTCATAAAAACGATATTGGATCATTCAGGAGGTATCACTCGCGATCCCTAAAAACTTTAGTAATTTTTATCGAATTAACGGAATGTGGTTTGAATTCGAAAACAGAATGAATTTTAAATTAAATTTGGTCATCTCATGGCCGTATATAAATTACATAGTCTAAATATTACTTTCCTTCGTATATGTTCGATAACTACCACATTTAATAGTCATTACATCCTCAAAATCCAGGTTCATTAATTTTAATTTTTAATTATCGGTCAGCAATTATCAACGAATTTTTTTTGGATACAAATAAATTGTTCTGATAATGTGTTAATAATAATAATCTTTTATTTATTCTGGGACGGATCCCTTTAGAATAATTAACAAGGATATAACTGTGGGCTTTTGCGCCTCAGATAAATATAAATGTATTTATAAGGTAACTAATAGATATAATACAGAAAAAAAAAGTTCTAGATTAAATCGATTAAGAAGAAAAAAATAAATTAATGATAGAACAATGAGATGAAAATAATTGGAAATAAACTAATAATAATAATAATAATAATAATTATATATATATATATATATATATATATATATATATATATATATAATGTATATACATATTTACAGAAGTTTCTATTTACAATTTTAAAGGGACTGGATGGAAAGAAAGTAGTTGAATAGGCGGGATTTAAAAGTAGGGAGAGTATTGGATCGACGGATGTCGGAGGGATGGAGTTCCATAGGGATGAAGATCGAATAATAAAAGATTTATCGAAAGCAGCGGTTCGGTGGGTTATTATATATAAATCTGAAGTCCGGGAACGGGTATTGCGGGAGTGGACGGAGGATTTAAATTGAAGGAGCTCTGAGATGTATGAATGACGACGGCAGTGAATGACAACGGTTGTAAAATGCGAAAACTACAATTATACTTAACAAAGATAACATACCAGAAGAAGTAAATAGAATAAAAATCAATTAAAAACTTTTATGATTTATTGAGAACTATTCACGGTTATACGATGAGGTGATCTCACTAGCACTCATGCTTAATTTGAAAAAAATAATGTAGCAAATATACTACAGATTGATTACTGTTATTTATCTTGAGTAGAATGAAGGACTTTATTATAAATCGGAATGATGGCCCGATGTCGAAAGTTTTCATTCGGAATGAGCTGCCGCGTCCGAGCAGGTTGTTTCAAAATCTTACTTACGACATCTTCTTTTTCTCAACATGTAGAAGAATAGCGAGACTAACATTCTTAAACGAGGTATTTAAATTAAATTATGATCAAACAGGATATTTCAAATAATTATTTAATTAAAAAATAAAGTAATTTGCAATATATTTTTAAAACAGAAAATATTTCTTTTTTAAATACGTCGATCGGTCTCACTGGTGAATCCAAGGGGAGGGGGCGTAGCAAAATATTTATACAATCACAATATCTGGTTGGCCCGTGAGAATAATTCTCAGGATATATTGAAGAAGTGAAGAAGCAGCAAAATAATATACAAATAAGTCGATCTTATGTAGTATGTAGGGAAAGAATTATTTTGTGTTTTTTCCAATGGTCGAAAACAATTTTTCATCATTTAACAAAATAGACTGAAATATTTGTACAAATTAATTTTTAAGGACCTATTTATAAACAATGAATATTACCAAATATATTCAAAATAAGATTTTCTATATTACTGAAATATATAAAATGTACCAACTTTAAGAAATAATACTGTATATATCAGTAAGAAAAACCGAAGTAGAATCGTAAAAGCAATATCTTCGAAGAGGAATAAATCTTAATGTATATCAAATCTAATGGACTACATATTTGGTAACAATTATCTGTTTTTTTTTTGTCTTATAGGGAATTCAGAAATCTTTTAATAAATCGTGGGTACTAGAAAATACACACTTTCTGACTTATTCGCAAATAAAGTTTCTATTCATTCATTAGTTCATTTTTCCCCCTTGAAATTTGGGGGTAAGTTTACTATTTTTCCCACCTGAAGGAGAAGAATATCCTCATTACTTTGGATCTGATGTAGAATTGGCGAAGTTATCTCTTACCGACAAAAAAACACCTTTGAGAAATAATATGTAAAGATTTTTAATTATAACGCATATACAGCTAATAAATGTAAACATGTATCAAACCAAAATTAACCTCTAAGACCATTATTGAAAAAAAAAGCCCCATCCCCAAATAAAATCCTGGATCCGTATTATCTTTTCCCCAACATGTATAAGAATAACGAAACTAATATTCTTAAACGAAATAATTAAATTGAATTAAAATCAAATAGAATATTTCAAAAAATCGTTTAATTAAATAATAATAGAATCTGAAATATATTTTTAAAATTTAAATTATATATTTTTTTACTGATGTTGATTGATTATACTGGCGGATGCAAGACGATGGGCAGAGTAAAATACTTAAGTAATCAAAATATATAATATTTTAAAATGATCAGACATATTAAATGTATATTGAAATACTTAAATTATCAAGCCAAAAATAACGCTTATAATCATTAATTTATGATTATAAATATAATTTTGAAGAAAAATGTGATTAAGCAGGATATGAAATAAGTTCATAACTTAAAAACTGAATTATATTTATTTTACTTTAATTTTTACTCTTTTAATAAAAAAAGAACACCTCAACATAACATCCAGAGAAATAATTTTAATTTAATATTTTTAAAAACTTCTAGATACTTCAATACCATATATATATATTTTTTCTAAATTTGTAGTAATTATTCAATTTCATAAATTTAATACATATGAACATTATTCTGACTATGGATTTAAATTGATATTTGAAAAATCAGACCGAGTATTGCTGTAAAATTAAACTTAACTAATACATATTTTGTTGGGTATTAACAGCGTTTAGTAGTGGCTTACTACACACTGCTGCGATTAGATTTTTAAAAAAATTAATACTTACTTTTATTTTATTTAATTGTGTTAAGTATATAATTTGAAGTGTTTAAATGTTTTTAATAACAATTTTTTTTTCTATATTTAACATTTCAATGTTAAAGTTATTTAAAACTATGACCAAGTATTTATTTTCTTCTTTTCTTTCTAATGTTCTTGATTTTCTGAATAATATGCATTAGTATTCAAGGCTTGTTCTGACCATTTCCATTGTGAAAAAAAAGAAGGTCTGTTTGTTAATTATCTGAGGACCCACCTCAAAGTAAATGATTTCGGAAATAAACTTATTTTCACAACTCCATTTTTTAATATGTAAGTCAACTAACAAAAAACAAAAACAATATTGCACAGTCGGATACCATGGGTGTTTTCACATGGGAATCGATAGTTATCTCATTTTTGATAAAAATCTATTAGAGTTCAATTTGGAAATAAGCGACTCATTCTGAATATATTAAATATTCAACAAATATATTCGGATAAATGAAAATGTGAATTTAAATGCAATGGGAATTTTCGCTACATTACTTATTAAGAGTAATTATTTAAAAAAAAAGAATTTTAAACTCATTGATTTTTAAACTGTTTCTATTTTCTAACAGCATAAGAGTTGCTTAAAAAATATAATGCCAGGAAAATAAAGATAAATTGATAAAGGATTAAGATTGAGTTGTGCGGTGCGGAATGGTATGTCTAGCGCCTGCCTTCACTGGCCAAAAGAGTTTAGCAAACGTGCAGAAATATTTTTAATGATGTCTTATCTCCCAAGTATAACTCGATAAATATATTATTCATAGAATATTAAAGAATAAAAGATGATCATTAAGATTGAGCGATCGAAAATAAGTTCTTACTGCCTAAAGTAAATTATGAGACTTTATTCTAGATAAACTAGTTTAATAACGTTGTTCTTAAATTATGGAGTTGTTTAAATTGTATATAGTAAAGTCTATACTATTAAACAATAATCACTGGGAGGTGATTTTTCGTCGGAATGCATTGAGAGGGGAAAGCGAGACAATCTAGAAATAATTTTAAGAGGAAAATCACACGTAAAATATTAATTCTAAAAGTTATTTATTCTGAAAAAAAGGCTTTTTTATTTGAATGTTTTTTTAATATAATGTTTATCATTGTATACCATGTAGAGAATAATGCAAAGATCAATTTTATCTAAATATATAAAATAATGCATAAAAAGGCATTTTTCTGGAGTGGGGAAGTATGAGGTGCAGCCACTTCATCAGATCGTGTTTATTAAACTATTGCGGAATAATAAAGCTTCTAATAAACTTCGTAAAGTTCAGCAGCATAGTTTTCTGGGCTTCATTTTTAATGACTGTTGAGAAGGCCAACTTCACAGTAGCATACGGATACTGGTATTGGACAATTTCTGGAGATCAGTAAAGCACTCACAGTTACTTTGTCAAGTCTGTATAATCTTTCAACTCAGTTTCTGGGGTTGGATATTTCCGTTTTTTTTTTTTTCTACGCAGACTGAATTAGTGTTCCCATCGTTTGGCACAGCAATATCTGTTATTTAAGCTGTCAATATATTACTATCCATCAATATGATATCAGGTCTGTTGTAGGCCACAGTTTAGTTTATTATGAAAGATTGATTCTAGTAAAATTTTAATCATTCCTATTGGATAAGTTGATTAGGATTGTACTTATAATAAGGCATCGGGTCATTCAACAACTTTCTTTTTTGACTAATCGGTTCATGATAGATTTGCAACATCGTCAAGCATCATGAGGTATCCTATTCCAGACATTGCTCGTCACCCTCCAGTCTACTACTTTTTTTTATTTGTTTATTGAAAAATATTACAATCTGTCTCAATAAAGGACATTTATAATAGAGTTCTGAGAGCACATTCACACCATATTTACAAATTAAAAAAAAAATAAGCTAACTTCAAATAATATAAAGCTACAAAGGAACAAAATAAAATATCATAGTGAAGGAAGAAAATATAAATAATAGTAATAATAGAATGAAAATAAATGAATAAAATAAAATTATAATTATCTAAAAAAAAATAAATGTAATGAAAATAAACATCTTAGGTGCAGGCATACCTATTTACACTATTTACAGTCGGCCATGGGAGCTCCGAACCATACTTATCCCCCCACATGTGGAGGGAAAGCAAGGCTTCAAGAGTTCCCTGCGCTTCTTCCTCAACCATTTCACTGGTATTAAAAGCCAGCGGAGAGCAACTACTTTTTAAAATTGTATACTACTTTTTCTCTTTTCTAAATATACGCATTATTATTATTATAAGAGAAAATCATAACATAGACTATAAAAAAATAAAATAAAATAAAAAATTAAGTAATATAATTATATTAAAAATAGGTCTATATCGGTGTAGAATATTGAAATCGAAAAATTGGTGAACTTAGGGTACATACACATCGACAGGGTTCAGCAAGGAACCAATTCAAAAACAATGTTTTCGTTAATTTTTTTAGAAATTAAATTTTCAGTTATAACATATGTTTTTATTTTAGAGCAACACTAGTTGATAGACGATTTTTCTATTTATAACTTCACTTGCTCTGTTTTTAAGAAAAGGCGAGCAATAAAATATGGAGGGGAGTTAAGTTCTTGCGACATCGATCTTGGGCGCCTCTGCTACGAATAAAAGTTTCATAAGGATAAAATGGTATTATTTATATTTTATCGTACCTGCTATCCTGATACTTGGAGTCTGCATTGACGAAGTAGGCCAGCTGCAGGGAAGGAACCTTCTCTATGATACCATCCTCGGACACGACAGGCCCTCCGAAGTACACGGGGAAGATGTGAGCGTCCCAGGTGACGGGGTTAATCATGATGGGGAAGGTGAGGTTGAGGGCTCCAGTCACCACGTCCTCCATGATTTTATCCAGGTTGAGGATGTCGTTGTCGAAGCACTCGCCCTCCCAGCGGGCGCAGATCTCTCTGTAAGTGAACACCTCCTGGTCCTCCCCGAAGGTGATGGAGGCGTTCCTTATTATCTCGTCTAGGATGCGCAGCTCCCGCCACACTTCCACCGATAGCAGATCGTCTCCTTCCTTAGGCAAGATGATGACCCGTCCGAATCGACCTGGAAAAGATAGAACAAACGTTTCAAAGATAAAGTTTTACAATAAATAATGTAAATATGTTTCATTTTATTTTTAATTTCAATCGCCCTGAGGATATTTCAAGATATGATAAATTATTTTGTTTTATATGGTCTTGTGAGCGTGATTCTTACCAAACAACATCCTTGACACAACCTTGTGTGAAGAAACAGTACTTCCATATCAGATACTGGATCTAATACCATTTTAGATATTTGAGTGTTATTAAATAATTATGTATGTAAATTTATAAGCGTGATGTTAAATAATTGTTTAGGACCGTATTATTTCACAGGCTTTAAAACATTTTGACCTATTGTGGATCAAAATAAATGGCCCTGATTATGTTTGATTATAATAAAGTTACCAAAAATGTTTTTATAATGACAGAAGAAGGATACCTATAAAATTAAAGATCCTGACAAATATATATATATATATATATATATATATATATATATATATATATATATATATATATATATATGGTTATGCTGATGAGAAAATATATTCCAAAACTTCAACATGTAATAATCTGTTACAAATAGAGTAATTATCGTCGGTTCATTGCAGAGAGTATTTTTTCCCCCTAGACTGTTGACTTCGACTTTTAAAGTCATGAGTCTTCATCAGCAGCTTGGGGTTGTTATAGGCGACAGTAGTGATCGCTTTGTTCTCTCTTCTTCGAGATATCCAGAGAGCAAGTGGTTGGCTAACCGGACACGATCACATTCACTCCCTCTTCATCACGAACTCTAATGCAGGATGGTTGGCAATCTTTTGCTTCAATTTTCTACTCATTTTTTTATGGAATAGGGAATTATCATTCCTATACCCAACCCCCAACCTGGAGGACCAGGAGCTATGGGGTAAGACACCTTAAATCATTAAGAACTTTTGATGATTTTTTCTAAAATTTAATTTTGTAAAGTCAGGAAGTTGTGCGCTTGTTATGACTATGTTTGATATATAAAAAGTTTTGAATCATTTGGGTGCACTTCCTTCTTTTTTATCAATGTATAAGGTCAAAATAAAAAAGTTCAGCTTCCTTAAAAAATATACTTAATGACTTTTTGCAATAAACCTATTTTTAGAAACAAGGAAGTTATATTTGATAAAAAAAATTTCTATTTTATAGATTGAATTTATATATTTTTAACGAGCTGTAAACTAAGACCTCGTTTAACGACAATTACATTTCATATTGTTTCCGAGATACATTCGTTTTGTATTCGACATACAGAATGTATTCTTTAAAAAAAAAAATTCGATGTTCCTAAAAATGCTTAATATAATGAAGTTCGATATACAGAAGTTCAGCTATCTGTTGATTGGTTAGAAATTAAAAATATATAAACTTGTTCACATTAAAAGTAACTTCGTTTGAATTAAAGTATTCGTCATGATCTAGTTACTTTTATACTTAGTTTTGTCAGCACCTATTACATATTATTTACAATAATTTGTCTACAAATTAAATAAAACATAAATTAATTTCTTTAATAAATCAATGGATAATATATTTAATTAATTAGTTGATACTTTAATGGATAATAAATATATTTTATTAATTTACAATCCAAGCAATGCAATTTAAAGTAACGCAACATTATAAATTGGAATAAATAAAACTTAAAAGCAACATAAATCCTTTCTTTTTAGAAGTTAAAAATGTTTAGCATTAATTTAATAAATTACGAAAAAAAAATTTAATTCATGAATTTTAAAGAAAAATATTTACGGTACGAATATACGAAAATACAATGATTTCTGGCATTCAGAGATTTGTTTTTTTTTATCGCCGGAACAATTTGTAACAATTAGTCGATTTGCATACCGTTTTGCACTAGCGACCCCTGGGCCAAATTTCCAAACTTTACTAGATTTTTTTCGAATCAATGAACAACACCGAAACAGACTGGATTCGTTACAGACTTAGCGTTTAGAGCTTTGTCAGCCAGGATTTCTGCTCAAACCCTATCACTTAGCTAATTTTGAAGTGTGTTGCTAAATCGGAAAATTGGCAATCCGCAATGAAATAATTGTAAGAATGTTGTGTGAAATGTTTCGGATTGAAGGTGAATGAAATATAACTTGAAATGTCTAACAAACTGGAAATTATTTTTCTTATTTTTTGTTGTTGTGAGGACGGATGGTAACATTTTTCAATAATATCTTTTAATGAAAATAATATTTTAAACTGGTTGTCGTCTAACGAAAAAAATATTTTCTTAAATTAATGCTGGCATAGATGACCATAGATGGATTTTTATATTAGTGAATAATGTACATAATTCGTCATTCGACATCTCAAAGATATTCGTAGCAAATTATTCAATATCAAAACAAATAATAAAAATATTTATTACGGTAAAAACCATTGACCTCAGTCAGAGTTATCCAATAATAATACAATAAAAAAAATTAATAAAGAAACAGATCTTAGCAATAGCATTGTTCCATATCAACGGTTTCAATTATCTCTTTTATTCTGTCCCATGAAATCTTGGTCAAATGATCACCAGTCATCCATTTCATGGTGAAAGCTTCGAATACTGTCCTCAGAAGATTATTATTAACAATTAGTTTAAGAGGACGGCTCATATTGATTATAATATTTTTAATAGTTTATACTGATTTTAATGACAGGTTATTTGGCGAAAATTTGAAAACAAATTCCAGAAAAGGAGAAATTTTCTGACTTTTAAAATGTAAGAAAAAACTAAAAAGAGGTAAAAAAAAATGTTATAATTTACTTTACATTTATTTAATTTGAAATTTCTAATAAACATTTTTTTTCAAGTATTTCAGATTCATAAAAGATATATGAAACATATGTCTCACCCCAATATCTATTTCATACTATTTGAATAAAATCTTCCACAAAAATGGGGTATTTTATGTACATATTATAGAGTGTATAAAAAAAAAAAAATGACTGTTTTTTAACCAAATATAATATTATTTCATTGATATAAAATACAATTAATTCTCAAAGTATAGTTCATTGTTATAAACCGTCAGTAGCAATCTGCTAGCAATTGCTCGATCCCACGCTACCATTCTTTGGGATACGTTTTAAAGAACTCTTGGACCGAATTATAATTTTTTTCCCTTGTGGAAAATGAGCCATGGATCTAAATAAGTAGTAATCCGAAGGTGCAAGGTCTGGACTATCTGGTGGATGAGTCAGGAGTCTCATACCAGAAGGGTTTTTCAATAAAAGGTTCACAAATTTCTAACCTCTCAGCTGATGGCTGAGGAGTAAGTTCGCGAGACTACTTTACTGCCCTTTTTCACCTTCCCCATGGAGAATAGATGGCGACTAACAGCATCTTTCGACACACCACACTCCTTGGCAAGTTTGCGAGTACTTGTGGACGGATTTGACTCAATAGCTTTCTGCAGAACCTCATTAATATCCATTAATGGTCGCCCGGAGCCCTTCTTCCTTTATAACGTCGCACCTCCACTGCTAAATTACTCATATTTTAAAAATTTAAATTTAATTTTTTTTTTCAGTAGTGCCTTTAAATTACGAGAGTTTAGTATGACACAGTCATGTTTCTTCTATAAAACAAATAACTAAATTGAGACTTTTTTTGAAGAAGTCGAATGGGATTAAACAAGCTTAGAGAATGTTCTAAAGGAATTATTAAGTATTAAATAGGATTAAAATATTTACAGTACTTTTAAATCTTGAATTTGATAAAAAGTTTTAATTTTTTTTTTATAAACCGTATTTTATGTAAGTCAAGTATTATTACAACCTATGAACTTTCCTCATTAAAATCAGTACTTGATTGAAATGTTCATTTTCTTGATCGATGGTTATTCAAAGATGTTATTTGGTCAGCATTGAGATTTCATTACATTGTTTCTCCCAATCTGTGAAGGTGCGTTTAGACATTTTACAAACAATGGGAAACCCGATTATATAACTTGACTAATAGCGATATTAGTGCTATTTTTATTCTATTTCTTTTGTTACAGACGGTAGATGAAAAACATCAAAAACGAGAAACAAGAACACTAGCATAGAGAAAAACATTTAAATGAATATTTGTTTCCTATAGTTTGTGAAATGTCTGGACGTATTTAGAGGATTAGGTATGTATTTTTGGGTATTCCTGGAAAGTCTGTTAAACTCAAAAACTTCGAACGGTTGCCAGAACAAAATATTTTTTCCGTTTAAGCCCTTCTTAATTTTTATATCTTTATTTTAATGAAAATTACCCCTTCCTCTGTTCTGTTGTTACAAAGAGGAGCATCTCACCTGGCCTTGTTATCCTGGTTGGGTTGAACCTGGCGGAGTAATTCATCTTGAAGAAGGACTCGACGACAGCCCTCTCGTACTTGCCCTCGCCGTTCTCCGGGGAGAAGAGGTACTCCGGGTCTATCATGTAGTGGACCCTCTGGTAGCCGGTGATGCAGAGCAGGGTCAGCAGGATGGGGATGATGATGAAGTATCCGGGAGTATGGCCTACCGTCAGGCCAAGTTTGTAGAACCAGCTTCCCAGCAGCGAGTCTAGTCGGCAGCGCATCTCTGAAAATTATATTCATGTTAGAATAAAATTGTAAAAGAAAATCATTATGTATCAATTAATGTAAATTAGTAAGAAAACTCAACAACCTATACTACAGAAATTCAATATTAGGTTATAATTGGAAAATTCCAACCACACAGTAATACTTCTCCAGAAAGCAGATAAAGAATAAGAAACCTGTAAACGTTTCGCCAATTCAAGAATCATCAGAACAGAATAGAAAAGCAAATCGAACGTCACATCACTCCATCTTTTTTTTTTTTTTGTTCTCCCCTACCTCGCCTTTTTAGACTATACGGGTGTTTTCCCGGGCCAGGAGAACTCGTAATTGTATTGTCTCTAACTTTGGTTTTCAGGTTGCCATGCAACGCGCGGTGCTGTACACACACGTTAGTCCGTTCGGCCACCCCGCCTCCTACATCGCTCCATGAAACCCAATCGCTTCTAGCGTAGTATACACGAAGGATCTTCATCCGTTTTGGTCTGCGGACTTGCACTTTGCAAGACCAAGACCACCTAACTGTTGTAAGACCAAGACCAAGATTGGTAAAAAAAAAAAATCAATTTTTTGAATAAAAATTAAGGCAAAATAGTTACTAATAGTTGACAATCTTAGTTACTATATGTAAAGAATTGGTATAACCAATATACTTTTGCATTTAACTGTTTTAATTTTTCATTCAGGGTTAGTTAGGTTTCTCCTCTCTAAAAAAATATAGTAATATATCTATAGTAATAAGCTAATAGGTAACTGCCAAGACTATTGCGCAAGACCAAGACCTAGACTAAGATTGAGTGCGCAAGACCAAGACTCTTGGTTTCGCATTTGGGCAACACTAATCGCAACTATTATGTATTACAAGTGAGGATTAGAAAAATGTGTTTTAGAGGAGTGATCTGAATGTGGCATGATACTGGTACTGGTACTGTTGAACAATAATTTATAAATAATATAAATTTATAAATAAAATAATTTTCACCAAAGACTGACAATATTTTCTGTGATGGAAGGGACGTTATGAAGCTGCCAACAAATTTGCTCATTGTAGAGCTATTTGCAGATAATGTTAATATATCAATATTAATAATATTTTGAATGAATTTCTTGGGAACAAATATGTATGATTTGACTGCAACCCGTTAATAATAAATGATACATAATGATGATAAAGATCTCTGACGCAGTTGGATTGATTTTAGTTCTTGTCACTTATACCTCTATTATTTGGACAGTGCTCAATAGAGCACTAATTAGTCTATAAAAATAAAATGTAGAAGTCTTCGTGGTGGGGCGCCCCAAGCCGAGCGTTGGGGGTTGTTTTCGGCATGCTAGTGTGAGAAAAGATGTCGAAGTATTTTGAAGTTCATATCATCATATTATCAAAGATTAAAGTTGGACCTTTTCATTATCGTTAGAATTGTTAGGTGGGGCCGCGGTGGCCGAGTGAGTTAAGTAAGGCGCCTGCAAAAATTGTACGCTACGAGTTTAAAACCCGTTGGCGGGGTTAAACAAAAAAAAATATATAAATAATTAATAATAAATAAATAAGTGCAGTCCCTACTCGATTTCTTAGACCACAACGACGCGGATTCGATTCCAGAATGAGGACCGTAACGTCCCCACCGTGGATTTACAGGAAGGTGAGAGCGACCCCTGTGTCTAATAACATAGGTCCTTTGGAGCTCCAGATTTTGGGGATTGGGCACAGGGCTAATAACCCTATAGCGTAAAAAAAACACCAACAGGATAGAGACTAATGCAAAAGGCTGCCAACCCAACCATCCTGATAGTGATTGTGAGTGATTGTGATCGCGTCCGGTTATTATAAACCACGTGCTCCCTGGATATCATCTAGTCATCTACATAAGAAGAAAAACAAAAGATAACAGTTTATCGCCTAGAACAGCCCTTATGCTGCGAGAGGACTAATGGCGGAAGTCAAAATTCAACAAGAGGAGTTAAAAAAAAAAAGAATTGTTTGGTTGCTCAAATGTCATGAATCTGTTTAAAGTGAAAACATCTGTAGGCTTGTTTTGCAAGTGAATTAGATTGAGACGTGAGATATCCGATGTTTAACGCTCGGGTAAACTCGGCTGGAGTCGAGTGTTTTGAAGTGTGAGTTGAAGTGTTTTTTATGAGGATTAAAATATCTCAAAAACTAAAAATCGGTCCTGGATATTGTTAGCAAAGGAAATGTCCATCATTTCATTTTTTTTTTGTAATGAGCTATAATTCAAAATTGTATCTTAACGCAACAACGTGTTAGGAAGGCGAAAAGGAGAAAATGGTGTCGAAAACCAAATGATAACGAGTTTTATTGAAGATATGGATTAAAATATCTCAGAAACTAAAAATCTGGCCTGCATACTCCATGCGAGGAAATCGTTCAGCATTTCATCCACTCTGTAATAAGCTATAATTCAAAATTGTATCTTACCGCAACAACGTGTTAGGAAGGCGAAAAGGAGAAAATGGTGTCGAAAACCAAATGATAACGACTTTTATGGAAGATATGGATTAAAATATCACAGAAACTAAAACTCGGACCTGCATACTGTAAGCGAGGAGAATGTTCATCTAAGATTAATGTGTAAAGTTGCGTTAGAAATATATCGAGATGCTTGTGTAATAAGTTCAAATATTTTGGATTGAAATCTTTGAAGGCTTTATATATGTATTTCTTTTTGGAAGCACCGAAAATTTGAGTATGTATGTGTAGGTAGCAAGTTTCTATATTAGTTTTAATTTTTATTGTGGTCTGAATAATAAGTATAATAGTATGCTGCGCTGATTTAAGGCATTTTCTTAATGTTTGGATAGAATCAAGATTAAGCGTGTGTCGCGGTGCGGGTAAATATGTTTATACAGTCGCGATCATAAAAATTGCATCACTTAGAAAACATTTTATTAAATTTTATTTTATTCACCAGTTTACTACTGCAATATCACTGGATATCTCTTTGCCGACGATATTCTAAAAACAATTGCAATGTAGGGACATAAGCTTCCTGCCTAAAAGTGACACTCTTTTCGTTTGAAGTTAGCTAACAGAAATAATTTTAAAATCGATAAAATAATTACGTCGGGGTCACCACTTTGTCAGGTTGGTTGTAAATAATAAAGCAAATTATCTCAGTACCTCTTTTAATTTAGGAAAAATAATAAATTTAATTTTGACAAAATAATAATCAAAAGGTATCTTCTTATTAAACAAAAAAAAAAAAAAAAAAAAGAAAAGAAATCAGTTCTCCACATATAAAATAAGTAAGGTAGTAAACACAGAAGATTATATAGACTGAAATGGCTTATATGTTGAAAATTGTGTTGCGTGTTAATATCGGCTAATTTACTACTAATATTTCTGGGTTTATTATCTTACTTATTACATATGTGGAGGATTCATTATTTTCATTTTGATGGTTAATAAGAAGATACTTTTTGATTATTATTTTGCGATAATTTAATTTATTATTTATCCTAAATTAAAAGAGGTACTGAGATAATTTACTACCAGCCTGCCAAGAAACCTTTAGTGGTCAAATCGTTCGTTTATTTATTTTTTTTTTTTTTACTCCCAGTTTCTTTCTTTCGCTCCATCGTACATTTTTTTCCCTCAAAACTTTGACTACCGTTGATTGGTGGTACTCTATCCTCGTTACTATTTACTTCATGTAACGTCACAATTTTAATATTTTTTGACGATGACAGTTTTTGATATAGTTCATAATTACAGCTTTTGTCCTGGCATTAGTTAAAACCGAACTGAGAAACATCGTCCAAGTTTTCTTGTAACCTTAATAAATAAAAACAAAAACATTCATCAACATAAGAATAAAAAAAAAAAATAGGTGAAGCAACTTCTATGAGCTCGTCTGTGTGTGTGTATATATATATATATATATTTTTTTTTTTTTTTTTTTTATTATTTGGGTTTTATACAACTCAAGGAGTCATATCCCCAACACCCAAAAGCCACTGCTCCCTGTCCATCCAATCTCCCTCACGAAGCCCTCTGGCTGCCATGCTTTCCTCCACGTCCTCTATCCATTTCTTCTTTGGCCTTCCACGCTTCCTTCTTTCAGGTGGCATATAGTTATAAATTTTCTTTGGCCAGCGGTTCTCATCCATCCGCATTAAGTGGCCATACCACTTTAACCGTTTGGTCCCGATCAGGTGAAGGATGTTCTTTTGACATCCGACCTTGTCTCTAATTGCTGCGTTTGGGATCCGCTCGATTCTGGATATGCCACAGCTTCTTCTCCAGAAATCCATTTCCATGGAAAACAACTTATTTTCCATCTTTTTTGTCAGTGTCCAGACTTCTGATCCGTAAGTGGCTACGTTTTCTACAAAGGAATGGTATATCTTTTTTTTAGTTTCTAATCTTAGTTCTTTCCTCCATAGGGTTGAATTTATCGAACTTATTATTCTTTTCCCATTATTTATTTTATGTTCGATATCAACCTCACTACCACCCTTTGAAGATAACCAGTATCCGAGGTACTTGAACTGTTGGCTGATATTTAGCGTCCAGTCATCAATTTCAAGGGGCAAATTTGGAGCGTTAAAAACCATATACTCTGTTTTACTTTCACTGATTTTCAGACCCCATCTGGAATACGTGTCCAGCAACTTCCTCATCATATAGCTAACATCATCCGGATCCGATGCGATTATGACTTGGTCATCGGCATACTGCAAATTGTAGATGACATCATTCCCGATTTGAACACCCATTCCACAGCACGATCTTTTCCAGTTTTTAAGGGCTTGTTCTATATAAATGTTGAAAATCAGGGGTGAAAGGCAGCAGCCCTGTTTCAATCCTTTGTTAATGAAGAAGCTTCTAGACACTCTATCTCCAATTTTTATAGCCCCCGTTATATTTTTATAGAGCTCTTGAATTGCTCTGATGAGGTATCTCTTAATAGATGTGGCTTCCAAAGCTTTCCACAATTTCGCTAGAGATACTGAATCATAGGCCTTGTGTAAATCTACAA